GTGTGTTTTAACCCCCTCTTTTGTTTAATCCCTAATAAAAAAACTGTTTTTATTAAATCTTCTAATTAAAAAGCCCTCCGACTGTGACCTTTCCAGTTTTCCTCTGTATTTTAGCCAGCAGTAGTCAGCAATATGACATCATTACTAGGTGGCAAAATAGCTAATGATCTCTCTACAGCTGTGTTGTGCATGAGTTCTCTCATGCTCCCATGTTGCTGTCAGTGCCTTTGATTCTGCCCCACAAAGTAAATAGGATTGGACCCCAGACACGAGCAGCTCATGCTAATTGAGAACTCGTTCAAAAAGTTTGCAATGTTACATTGTGTCTGTTCTCAATGGTGGACCTTTGAGAGCTACAGATTCCTGGTGTCTTGCTTCCTTTTGACCAGCATTGCTAGGTCCTCAAACAGATTTCATTAGTACCTGGCAAACCTCATGTGCTAATGTCGTTAATTCAGTGCAGTCACTGAGAATTTGATGCTTTTATCAATGAAATAACAACTGCTCCTTTGAACTTTATGCTTGAGTTCTACATCTCAAAAATCCACCCATGTATTTCAGTGAAAGTCATCACTTTTTAAACCTTATACTGTAAAATGCTAAAATCTGATTTAAGTACATATTTAAGTATAATAATAATAATAATAATCCTTGCATTTGATATAGCGCTTTTCACGTCGGGAGGACGTCCCAAAGCGCTTCACAGAACACACTGTAAAGTGAATTGACTGTATATGTGTGGGCGAACGCGGCAGCCAATTGCGCACAGCAATGTCCCACAAACAGTCGTAGATTGAAAATGACCAATTTTATTATTGTGTTTGGTTTTGGAGGGATTATTATTAGGTGTGTGAAGTAAGGAAACTTGCCCAAGGTTTCGCTCTGCCTGGAATTGAACTCGGGTCTCTCACTTGCAAAGCGAGTGCTCTAACCACTGAGCTACAGGACTCCACAGGACTATTAGAAGGTTATGCTTGAAGGTTTAGTTGAGGAAGGGCAGGACAAGGCTCATGTGGAGCATAAACACCGGCATAAATCAGTTGGGCTGAATGGCCTGTTTCTGTGCTGTATATTCTAATGTAAGTACTGTATTACAAATTTTGACTGCACCTAACTTTACTGTAACTAGGAAATCAGCTGAGATAAAGCTGCATAAACCATTGCTCCTGAAGCTAGTGGATTCTACAGTCTAAGGTAACTGGATAGTTTATTGTTAGGCAAAGCAAAACTCCCCATAATTGCATTTCTGAAGCGCTGCCATCCTATAAACTAGACACATAGTGACAAGAGGCATCTGTGGATTATATGTATCCAGGCATTTATAAAGCAAATGAATTAACAATGAGTCAATGTAAAGCCATTGGAAAGAGAGGGAAGAGAGGAGAGAACATTATGTCTTGAGGTTCCCAACTTTTGTTTATATATTTTAAGAACATACTGGATTACTGCTCCTAACTGGGTAACAGGAAATGGCACACATTCTCTCCCGCTTAAATATTGCCACTGAGTTGCTACAGAATAGTTGGCTTTTCACTATTGCTCAGCATCTCAGGCACAGCCCTCATGTATAAAACTCAGCTTTACCTCCTTTACACACAGGACTCAGTCATAGCTCCATCAGCAATAGATCCTTTGCACTCAGGATTCAACTGGAACCACATCTTCACATGGAATTCCCAAATCTAACGAAGACCATTTCTGTGCTGCACAGTGCTGTACAGCCTTATTAAAATAATTTATCAGTTTCATATGATTAAAACCATTAGGTTACTGATCAGATGAACATTTATGTAACTAACCAAGTGTTCAATTAAGCTCCAGAATGAGTCCTTGATAGATGGGGAGTCAGTCATTCTTGGCCTAATATACCCAAAATCAGGTTTCTTTTCATACACTTGTTGCTACAAAAGAATATAATTTCTAGAAATCTTCTTCAAGTGAACAAGGTACCAGTCCAGACCTGTTACCATTTTCATGTTTGTTGGATTTGAATTTGTTTTGCTCCTTAAAATAAAATCTATACACACAGTGCTAACATGTGCCCCACCTGCTGATATTGCAGGAAGCCCAGTCCAAAATGATTAGCCTGATCTCTCGCTGAATGGAGAGATGATCTCTGGTGTGACCTTGTCATCTGATTGCAGTCAGTAGTCTTTGTTCTGTCCTGCAGCACTATGGGGGTCCAGCTATTTCCAACATTACCAAACCCTCTGCTAGCCCTTTGTTGTAATGCTTAAATAATACAATCAGCACATTACAGAGAGGTTGAGAGGCAAGACAATAGGAGGAGGAAGTTACTATGGTAATGTTGAGTATTTTAGACTGAAACGATGGACAAGGCACAAACAAAACAATACTCTTTCAATAGGATTTTAGATTAGGATTTTAGAATATTACACACATATATATATGTATATATAAATCGCCTGCAAATACAGTCACTACTGGCATTTACAATATATCCAGCGAAGTGCTTTGGGACGTCTTCCTGACGTGAAAGGTACTATACCAAATGTAAAGACTATTATTATTATTACCATGAAATTGTACATTAGTAGACAACATTTTTTTACAGATCAACTAAACTTTATACTTATCTAATATGGTGCTGCAAAAGCAATGCTCTAACTTCCCAAGTAGATCACTTGGATGTGCTTGAGACATGAGATCAAGAGGTTCTTGTTTTGAATTTTGGAGGATCCACTCAACCTTTGAACTTTTTAAGCTGAATAAAATGAGTGACATTCCTCAAATGTATCATCAGAATAGAGTGCCGAAGTATAAAAGAGGTCTTTTGCGGGAAGAGGGTACATAATGTTGACGATGTGATAAGGTGCCCTAACAAATGCAAAGATTTATTACTACAAATCTCAAACTGCTCCTTGCCAGACATCTAGAACACTTTAATTGTAGAGTCATTCTTTTCTACGTTTGTTAAAAAGGAATACATTTATCAACTTCAATATTGTGGGATCTTATTCCAAATTTGAAAATGTACTGCATTTGAGATATTTGCTGTGAACATCAACTGCCAGGGGGTGGAACCATCGAGACGCAAAGTAGTATTGTTTTGTAATGACGACACCTACTGGTGTTGCTGTTTAAATTCTGATCGTGGAAGACTGAAACAGCTCTCACATTGAATGGATCACATGAGAAAACTAACTTGGCTCACAACCCACTCCGTATCAAGACAACATTCTCTCCCTTTCAGCAGCGCAAAAACATGGAATATTTTTTCACTTCACCACCAAAAACTTGCATGTATATGGTGCCCTTCAAGTTGAATAAGATCTCGGAGCGTTTTTGCACAAACCATCCGTAGGAATAGATGCAATACTCCAATACTTTTCCCAATCAAATACTTATCCAGTTCTTTTTTATATACATAATAATCCTTGCATTTGATGTAGCACTTTATCATATCGTTGAGATGTCTTAAAGCACATCACAGAAAATACTATAAAGTGGATTGACTGTATTTTGTGGGCGAAATGCAGCAGCCAATTGCGCACAGCAGTCCCACAAAGTCTTGGGTTGAGTGACCAAATATTTTTTTTTTTGAATGGATTATTACCCCCAGAAAGTGATCTGCCAATCGACTAACAACTGGGCTCCTATTTATTGATAGGTAAACAGGTGTGTCGAATAATAAAAGATGAAAGGATAAATCAACATAGCTATCGTTTGGGAGTTTCACCTTTTGCACATAGCCACATAGTTTGATCCTGCACATTATTCCTGGCAAAGCTCCAACAAGACCTTAGCAAGCTTTAGAGTTTCAGAACTATTGTTCCAAATGCTTTTATGGCCAGTTTTGCAGGGGGAAGAATGTCATGTGTGGTTTCATTTCTGCTGGCATTAGTCCAGATTGTCAACATTGCTCCCTAGCAACATGGAGAAGTTTTCACCCTTAACATTACATATGCCTAAAGTCCATTTGGCATTCCTTTTTTTCCAGCAACAAGTTAACCAATTGTTTCAATTAAAATGGATTATAGTTTATGCAGGATCAGCTCAGCCACACAGATGTAATAATACGAACTGCCTGTGAGTTGTGCTGCCATACCAAAAGAACTTAAGGAACTTAAGAACTTAAGGCTACAAAATTAAGGGTGTAAATTAGGAATTCTGGACACTGAAATTCTAAAAAAAAATAAGGTACTTATATTTCAGAAGACGTGAAAAGCGCTCTATCAAATGCAAGGATTATTATTATTATTTATTATATTCAGATGTGATTTTGCCCCTTAAAAATATTTTATATGATTCCTAGAAGGGATTTGCTAATGAGATTATTATCTTTCCCATTGTTGGAGGTGTGGTGTAGCTCCTATCTTTATGGGAATATGTTCTTCTTTAGGGAGAGCTAAGATATAATAGTACTAACCCTTGCATTTCATATAGAGCCTGATCACGTCTTTGAGATGTCTCAAACCGCTTCGCAGAATATATTGTAAAGTGAATTGAGTGTATATTTTGTGGGTGAAAAATGACTGTTTCCCTTCCTTTGAATTTGGAGTTTGTTTGGGGAATTTTGTTTTGGTGATGTTCTTACATTATCAAATGAAATTTTTTTTTGCTTAGTGGTTCTAATTCAGTCGATTACGTTTATATAGTGCCTTTCTGACATTGCTGGCTGGGCACCTGAGCTGGGGGTAGAAGCCGAGGGAATGGGGAAGGCAAGGTCAAAGATGTATGTTTTGAGAAGTGCCTTGAATGAGAGGAGGGAACAAGCGAATTGGAGAGACTCTGGGATGGAAATCCAGAAAGTAGTGTGCGTAAATTGGCTTCTGTGTTCGCATTCAAAATACAGTGCAATCCTGTGCAGAGCTTTGAGGCATTCTCCTGATGTGAAAGGATCTATATCAAATGCAAAGATTATTATTATTTTAATATAGTTTGGACAGCATAGCAGTGTAGACCAGGAAAAAGTTACCATGGTAGCTTCAAATAAGCAACGGTTAATTGTAAATGTATACAGCAGTTAACAAAACAGGTAACTTTAATAAACCTTTATTCAGGATATGAAATGGGATCCATTCTAATCCTGTATGTCTGCATCTCCCTTACATATCACAGCTCTTCTTCCTCAATACCGATTAGCAGTCAGTACACAACATCAGAATATGCACACATGAATATTGTCATTTTTCAATAGAAAATGTTCTAACGCAATGCTGAACTGCAATAAAATTTAGCTCATATACCGACACATTGAATCAATGTCATTTTGTGAAGCATTTGCTTGAAAGATGCTATAAACGGAAGTTATCTTTCTGAGATTATTTCCATTTACACATCAATGTTTTACGCTGATTCCTCTTCACTGTAGAATAGTTAAAAAGATATTTAAAAACAGTTGCAGCACATTTTTTGTGGTTTAGTTTCAAAATAATCATAAAAATATTGAGTTAAAGGGGACCACATTTATTTAAAATAAAATCTTGATTTACAAGGCAGAAACTGTCTTTTTATAAAAAAAACTGAATTCTGTAGTGGATTCACCTAAACAAAATGTAAATGGTACATTATAGGAGGGTGAGAATATGTTGTGCTGTTATCTTCTATCTGCAATACCAACCTAAGAACATTCAATTTGTCTCAAGTGAATATGCGGTGTCAATAAAGTTTGAAAATTCTCCATCAATCTACCCAGACTCATTTGATTCATTTGTCTCATCGGAATACTTGCAGTTGTTAATTCCTGATGAACAAATCATTATTTTCTCAATTTATTTTGTTTTCTTACTTAGGGTCAAAATAACCTTGACAAACTAGCAACCAGGTAACAAAATGAAATGGAACAGTGTGGACCGCAATTCCAATTTTTTATGACAGTATTTATATGACACTGCATAGGCTGTGGTTCCTTGTGAGCAACTGTGGAAAGTTTTTTCTGAAATGCCAATGTTGTTTAAAGGCATGAAATCATCAGCTGCATCAGAATCGCTACCATAGACATCTGTTTGAGAAGCCCACATGCAATACTGCACACAATCACAATGACATTAGTAGCACTTTACTGAAAATTACTGATAAAACGTTGCCACAAATCAAACAGATTGAACAGGAACTGGTTGTATTAAACCATATCAAGAAGAATCGAACTATCCACTGTAGATCTTATCTCTCCCATTGTTGGCCTCTGACCTTACCTGAAGTAGTTGGAGATTATATCCAAAGTCCAAACTTTGAGAATACTAGAATTTACCAAATGTATAGTTGGAAGAGTTAATTGCCAGATAATCCAAACGACAATGGCTTTGACAGAAAAGTGCGTGGGTGTAAACATGTATTTCTGCAAGTCAAAAAGCTGAACGACACCTGCGGTGAAAAAAATGGACTAAACAATTGTTAATATCACAAAGTCACCATGTTATAAAGCATACAGTTATCATCCACAGAGCCGTCTTTATTAGCATAAACAGGCAGAGTTTGTTCCTCCAGCATCTCATTTTCACTGAAGTTTCCCTCCTTTCCATACACCTTGATCTTCTCCACTGTCAAGACAGGACAGGTTACTTCCTCTTCAGGTTTCCATGTCATATTTTCTTTAGGCTGTTTGATCCATGTCTATAAAAAATAAAAATGCAACCAATTCCCCTTATTACAAATCTATTACTTTGTTGATGTGATGAATGGGGTACAATTTGTGGTTTAAGGCGCACCAAGATGCTACCCTGGACGTAGGGCGAAATATTGTTGTTGTTTCCCTAAACTGACCTTGGTGAAGACCAGCAAGTGGCGGCAAATGTTTTTACTCAGCTCTTGATGCCGTCAATGTTTTTGACGCCGAGGTCTGGGCTTTTATTTTCTAGATTTTAGGCCCTGTATTGGGCTCTATGTCATTTTTTTGTTTAAATATTTGTTTCCCAGCATTAATCTGCCAAAAATCACGTTCTCTTTGAACAATATATTAACTTTGAGTGATCAGGCGGGTGAGGCCCAGTTGCTAAAACTCAGTGGTATTGTTAGATACAGGGCGACCCTGTTCTAGGATAGCCGGGTTTAGTGAAGGTCCCTTTATAGCAAGGGTATACTCTGCCTGGCCTCCTTCCGTGTGCTATGAGTATTTGCAATGACCGTCGCTAATATCACACTGCACAGGGACATCATTGGCAGGAAGCGACCCTCATTTCACTTCTTGCACACTGCATATACATTCTATATTTAGGAAGCACATGATCTGAAAACCCAGCAGGTATTTTTTCACACGTTGCTTTCATATGGGGATTATGTTCCTAGAACCAGACGAAAACGCCAAAATATGGTTCCCCCTTGTATTGCAATACGATTTCTAATTTTAGGCAACATCGCAGGAATTCAGTCAGCCCTGAATAACTGTGCACTGAAGTGGAATTCAAGTGTTACCAGAACAAGTCAGTACGGTGTCTGAAAACAGCAGAGCACAGACCTACCGAAAAATCTACATTTTGATCCCCAAACACGCCTTTAAACATCTTTGCAGGGTCAGGAATTGGTGGAAGTATCAATATCTGGAGCCTTAAACGTAGAAACAAACAAGAACAATAAATAATGAATCACACAAATAAAGTCAGCTTAGCAACATAGGATTAGGGAATTATATGAGCTTTGAAAGCCTTTGAATCACTGTCACTGGAGGTCATGGCAAATCAGGGTTTATGGTTATCACAGTTAAATCATGTGAGCTGGAGATTGCTGTAGGTTTATTTTTTGCATTTACTGTAGATGCTGCAAATTATCTCATGATAATTCAATCATGACTGTTCTAGTAGGAAGGTTGGACACTAACACAAGATCCAAACCATTTATTATTCAATACAGAACTTTTTTGAAAAAAATTGCTGACAGAACTTTTGTATATTATTCTGTAACTTAAAACCTTTTCCATTGTAAGTTTTGCCTTTTTAACTTCAGTGCTGGATTTCAGGCTGGGAAGAATGTAAAGTACTTACCGTTTTAAGTAGGTGAGGAGCAATATTGCTGCGAAAGCCACAAATATGACAACAATAATGAAGAAAGGAATTCTCCAATTGAAGCTTTCTTCTCCTATAAAAGTATATCAGACTCAATATTCAGGCAGACCAGAAAAGATGGAACCACATGACCAAATCACACTCTTAACTACTCGTGATAGAACTACTGCATTTTACAGAATAGCTTTCAAGCCTTGAGTTCATCTGATTCAATATACATAAACATAACTTTGTATGGCTGCCTTGATAGTTACGTAGTTACTGCCTAGGTCAGCATAAGAAAAATATGAAAAATTATGATCCCTTTGTCCCAATTGCTCGAATACTTACAAAATACCCACCCTAAACTCTGATAAGAAAATTGCTCTACGTGTGTGCACACAGACTGGAGTGAGTCATCAAAACAAGTCTGATCCTATCCTTCACCCATTACCTATATTTTCTAGTATAAGCTGTTGGGACAGCTTGTTTTTTGCCCCCTCCCCTACGCAGCTCTGGGACACTGAAACCAACTGTGTCTGGTATATTTATAGAGTTGGCTTTTACCAAAAGTTGATTCGCTGCTCCATTCACTCCACTTTCCATTCATTCCACACCTATCAGTATATATTGCTCGGACTTTGATAGTATATTGATGGCTTTCGGGGCTTCTGACAGGATAAGTTACTTCAGTCCTCTCGGCAATCTTAAAGAGAAAGAAAAAGAAAGGAGTTAATAGAAGATTTATTTATATTTCTTAAAGCCACATTGACATTTGATTCTGAAAATATAAAAATAAGGAAATGTCACATTGCCACTGGTGAGAGGGACTCACATTAATTTCCTCCCAATCATTGTTGTCAACCTTGATTTTTACGTTATAATCAACACACTGTTCTTTCAAAGTTGAAGGGATCTTCCACTTTATGGTAAAATTCTGCTTATTCCTGGACACACTTACATTGCTTGGTGGGCTGAGTTTCACTGCAAAAAAAAGAGAAACAGACCTTTATTTGTTTTGGGAAATGAGCCAAAATTTACATGTTTAATTAATGCAACATATAAAAGCGATTTTTTTTCTGTAGATTTGACAGAATATGGAACGTCTTTTTATTCTCCTCTCATTATGACCGGAGACTTGTTTAGATAAGTCAAGGCATCAAGTCAAGTGTTGAGAACTAAGTTCAAGGCATCTTTATTCTCATTATTAAAATCAACTCTGGCAAGAATTCTCATTTCTAATACAGCCTCTGAAAGTGAGATTACCAGTTTAGTAAACCCTCGTAGGTGGTTTGGTTCTGTGGAACTGTACAGATATGAATTCATAGACTTTCATCTCACTGATATCAATTGGATTTAAACTAAAGTCGCACAGATGAAAAGAAGTTTGATAAACAATCGCTTCTATCCATTCAGCTCCTTGTGCACATCTAGTTACTAAAAGTTGTCTTCTTTCCTCCTAACGAGAAGACAACTGCTTTAAGAAATTGATTTAATGTCTTATCAATGTGTTCTAATGAGAGACTTAACAACTCACCAAACCCTTGACTATGTAATGTATAGTAGTATGACTTTATATCCGGAGACTCCGATCCAACGCAAATATTAAAGTCCAATTCACGATTAAATTCATCTTTCTGAAGTTGGCAACCAACAACCTTGTTTTCCTTCATAATGTAGGTTTTACAATTCTGAACGCCTTCCACATCGCTTTGCCTGCAACAGCGAACGTACATTAATTCTCACCAGATGACTTAAAACTTGGTCATTGAAATTAAATCAATTGGAAACAAAATGTAGTTTCATACCAGTATTGCAACCAATATGTAGTGTTTGCTGGTGCTTTGTTCCCAATGTCCCAGGTACAATTTATGTATTCAAAGTTGTACAAAATGCATCCAAAATTTCTGACTGCTGTCTCAGGGTTTCCTGCAAGTGAAATTTCACAGAAAATGGAGCAAAGATTGAAACGTTGAAAAATAAGAAGCAGCATTTGAAAGCAGTTTATTATAAAGGGTGAATGTTGTTATTTTATTTATGATGTATTTCTATGGCAGGGCTGCAAACGAGCCTTGGGAAAGATAAACAAACAAATTCAAGGCTCCATATCTGTGTTTCAAAATGATAAGGTTGATTGAAACTATTTTCATCTTATGCCAGGTAAACGATTGCTAGTACTATTCTAACTTGCATTTGTTTTAAAAAAAGTGAAGGATGCAAATTACTGCCAATTTAAACTTATAGATCATTCTCTCGAGATTTCTTATGTTCTTGAATAAAGACTACTTTTGCAATTAATTAAAATCTTGCCTTTGTATTGATACTGATATTAGTGGAGTCCTGTAGCTCAGTGGTTAGAGCACTCGCTTTGCAAGCGAGAGACCTGAGTTCAATTCCAGGCAGGGCGAAACCTTGGGCAAGTTTCCTTACTCCACACGCCTAATAATAATCCCTCCAAAAACCCAAAACAATAATTAAATTGGTCATTTTCAATCTACGACTGTTTGTGGGACATTGCTGTGCGCAATTGGCTGCCGCGTTCGCCCACAAATATACAGTCAATTCACTTTACAGTGTGTTCTGTGAAGCGCTTTGGGACGTCCTCCTGACGTGAAAAGCGCTATATCAAATGCAAGGATTATTATTATTATTATTATTTCTCCATAACTAACATTTCTCCCTATAATTTAAAATGGTGCCTTATCCCAAAGCTATTTGCATCACCTACAACAACAACAAGATTCCATTTATAGAGCGCCTTTCACGTCGGGAGGACGTCCCAAGGCGCTGTACAGTTGGGTCAGGACCCGAGCAGGGGGAAATGTCAACTTGTTCCATGGAAGACAATGACCTTTAAAGTCAAGATAGTGAAACCTCAGTAAGTAAGCTGTACTTTTTAATTCTGCCCCAAAATCTTCTCTCCCCCTGTAGTAAACGTGACTAATGCAGGGGATTTGTAAAGACAACAACAGATTTCCAGTAACTTGCCTGAACACTCATTCTTCCTACACATGCTGGCAATGTTGGCAGATTCTTTTTATAAATGTTCATCGTACATCTGCAAAGAGTACTGTATATATAATAATACCTGGGGCAGGGCTTAGTGATCAGGAGCAGGAACTGTAGATGATTTTCCTTTCCTAAGCCTAGGGACAATGAGATCAATTGCAGTATTCCTCTATTGCTATTGCAGCTGAGCTCAGCAAAGAGTAAGTATTCAACCCGGGACCTTCGTGACCTGTATGTTGTCTATAAACGTTAACTAACATAACCAAACCATCATAGATCTTGCCCTTTTGCCTACAAATACACATATACAATTTGTATTACCTGGTGGTGGTCGTATGTATATTTGGCACCAACTGCTTTCTGCGCAATTATTGTCCCCGGAGTTCACTTTTGCTCTCACTCTGAAGCTAATTCCTTCATTGAGATTCACCACTTCTGTACGATTCAAATGTGGATTTATTTTAGTTTCCTAAAGAGGAACAGAGAAATGATAGACATTCAGTGTACTGTACGCACTTTGATAAAAAGGAAAACTACAGAAAATGTTACCACCTATACTTACTTCCCAATTGGGGGAGCCATATTTTTGTTGGCTTTCATATCGGACTAGATTTTTCACACAATCTGGAGGTTTCCAGATCCACGTCCAGGTAACAACACAAAGACCCCTTAATGTAAAATTCAAGTGATCAGGGCAAGGGAGGAGCACTGCAACACAATCAAAAGATTCACTTTGAGCACATCAGAACCTGACTCTTGCTAAAGATAATCCAAGGGTTACACAGAGAAGACCAATCACAATAAAGACCATTAGGGGTAGAAGATTTGGAAATAATCATCTTTTAATAGTTCAGCCCAAACAATCTGGTAAATAGACAGGTTTATCCACAACAGTCATTTTCTAAGATTTTAAGCAAGCCCATGAAACCCCACAAAATGAGTCTAGTGACCTCAACCACGTTTCCTGGTAACCTGTTCTGATGTCTGTCCTGGAAAGACCCTCTGCAGCCTTAAGCTGTGCACTTCTAATAATAAAAATATTAATTCTTGCATTTGATACAGTGCCTTATCACGACTTTGAGACGTGATAAGGCGCTATTTTTAAGACCCTATATCACGTCTTACTTTTTCAATACACTTAAAAACTGATACACCTCGATAAAGTTCCCTCTGAGATATCTCGTTTCAAGTTGCACAATACCAGACCTCCTTAAATCGCAAGACCAGATCTGTAGACAGGATTCCTTGGGGCATTCTTGCACAATACTAGACCTCTTCCTGATGTCGTGGCTAACAAAAACAATGGGCATTCATTCATTTCATGGCTGTTTTAATTACCCTTTATAACTCTGCACCTGCAATCTTTGCTCTTTTGTATGGTATATCTAAATGCGTTCTAGATTTAGTTTCTGTATGCCAATTAGCATCTTAGATTCTCCATGAAGTCCTTCTAAACCCATTTAATCAAAGAGCTGTGGTTATATATCAGTTGCATTTAAGTCACATTTTAACCCAGTATTTTGGAAGATTGATAGTAAAGTAATAATAATACTTGCATTTGATATAGTGTCTATCAGAGTGCTTTACAAAGTCTGTGCAGTGTAGTGACTGTATTTGTAGGTGAACGTGGCAGCCAATTTACCAGGGCAATGTTCAACAAACAAATGTTCAACAAGTAAAGTGAATGACAAAGTTCTCTGGAAGACTGTGGTGAAACCTGGGCATTTGGTTCCTTAGTTTTTCCTTTCTCACGATCAGCCCTGGCTTTCCTTCACCTTTGACACATGACCTGCTTATCCCCTTTTCTAAAATCAATTATAGCCTAAAGCCTTATTCACACCTTTGTTTTTCACCTCCTGATTTTTCAAATCTATTCCTCGCTGGTCTCCTGAGTTCCACCATTCATAAGGCCCAGCTAATCCAAAACCGTGCCATCTGCATTCTCACCCACATCAAACTCTACTTCTAAAGCCTTGACAAAGTTCATGCCTCGTAATAATAATCCTTGTATTTGATAACGCCTTATCGACATGGAGTCCTGTAGCTCAGTGGTTTGCAAGCGAGAGACCTGAGTTCAATTCCAGGCAGAGGGCGAAACCTTGGGCAAGTTTCCTTACTCCACACAGAGCCTAATAATAATCCCTCCAAAACCAAAAACAATAATAAATTGGTCATTTTCAATCTACGACTGTTTGTGGGACATTGCTGTGCGCAATTGGCTGCCGCGTATGTCCACAAATATACAGTCAATTCACTTTACAGTGTGTTCTGTGAAGCGCTTTGGGACGTCCTCCCGACGTGAAAAGCACTATATCAAATGCAAGGATTATTATTATTATTATATTATCACGTCTTCGAGACGTCTCAAAGTACTTCACAGAATATACTGTAAAATGAATTGATTGTTTATTTTGTGGGAGAAATGCAGCAACCAATTGTGCACGGCAGTGTCCCATAAACAGTCGTGGACAGTCGAGTGACCAAACTATTATTAATATTATTTTGAAGGAATTATTATCCCCGGAAAAGCTATCCGGCAATTGACTAACAACCAGGTTCCTACTTTCTGCTAGGTAAACAGAGGGTTGTGGAGTAAGGAAACTTGCCCAATGTTTCACCCTGCTGGGGATCGAATCCAGGTCCTCTCGCTGGCGAGGCGAGTGCTCTAACCCCAAAGCTACAGGATTCCAATGGAGCAACTTCAAGATCCTCACCCTCGGCTCAGCGAACGCAGGTTGTACTACCTGAGAACCCTACCACTTGCACGGGCTGACACAGAAATTTAAGGTCCCCCAGCTCCTGTCGGGGCTTGAGGAACCAACTCACAACCTTCGGACCCGGAGCTACCATCCAGGAGGTATGTAATCCACATTCCTCAAGTGTCCCAACTGGAGGCCAAAACGCAGTTGAACACAACTTTCTAAGTCATACACCGCGCCCCCCCCACCCGAAATAACTTTACGAGGTGCGGCAAAGTTGCCTTGTTCGTGCCAAACTTTTAAAACAAGAGCAGAAATTGTGCAAGAGTATCTCCTGGTGAACTTGATGTTGAAGCCGCCTTCCCGGCCCGCAAAGCGACTCAGTCACCAAACAGACGCATGTCATTGGCATGATAACATGTGTGTGTGTGTGTGTATGTAGGGGTGTGGGGGGGAATTGGAGCACTGAGCTCTCTAGAGTCCAGCCTCCCCCCCCACCCACACACCCACACACATAAGTCTTAAAGACGATCTGAAACCCCAAGAGACCAGAGAAAACAAAACGACCCCAACAAACCTGAACAAGAAAAACACCCCGAACGAAACAAACCGAGAGAGAGAAAGAGAGAGAGAGAGAGAGAGAGAGAGAAAAAAAAACACACACACACACACATAACCGACATCCCACCCAGAAAAAGTAAAGCGTAAAAGAGCGCACCGACCTGCGGTCTTGTAAGGACTCGCTCCTGAGGTTACACTGCTATCGCCCGGACAGGACAGACACATCAAAAGCAACACGAAGCTCAGTAACCCACACATCGTGTGGCTTAACTTCTTGTGGACCACCATCACACCCCCCTCACACAACACAATGTTGTCTCTTCCTCTGCCACCACCCACCCACCCACCCACCAGCCCACTCTGCTCCCCCCCTCCACTCCACTGTTACATCCACATTGACTGGAGAAGGCTCAGCACTGCGCTATGGCGCATAATGCGGTCCCAGTGATTTAAATGCAGATTCCCTTCCAGCCAGGGCGGGGGTTCCAGCTCCAACACGTCACTGGCACAACAAGTAGGCGTTCAATCTATCATCAGGTTTTTTTTTCTCTCTCTCTCTCTCTCTCTCTCTCTGTGTTTGGCCCCTTCAGGGCGATTGCACTTGTTCCTAAACTTTCAAACCATCTGCTGCAAACAGATGCCTTTCCGGCTCTCAACACACCCCACACCCCCACACCCCACCCTCACTGCTGGAACCCCTCCCTTCACTGTCTGCTTCATTAAGGAGGAGGCACACAAAATACTGCAGATGCTGCAAATCTGAAGCAAAACCAGAAGTGGCTGAGAACACAAACACACACACACACACACACACTCACTCACTCACTCAACAGGTCAGGCAGCATCTGTGGAGAGAGGAAAGGGAGTCAACCTTTAGGGGTCCACGACCCTTCGTCAGGGTCGTGGAACCGAAATGCTGACTCACTTTCCTTTCTCCATAGATGCTGCCTGACCTGCTGAGTGTTCCCAGCGACTTCTGTTTTTGTTTCATTAGGACGCGGGTTCGATTGGTTGTGGTGGTACCCGATGGTTTCTTATCGTAAAAGATCCCAAATCTCGTTGTCGCGTCATCCAGATCTGCTATTGCGCTTGAAAAACGTGTGATGGCATGATTTGAAGTGTGACGAAAGAAAGGATTTGAAGTGTGTTTGGGTGACGGTGGGCAGTGGGTGCAACGTGAAACCAACCGTCCAACTTTCTGCTCAGACTTGCAGTTATGTGATCGGTTGACTCGGACATAATCATTGCACTTGATCATTTGATATGGCGCCTTAACACATCGTTGAGACATCTCAAAGCGCTTCACATATCATAAAGTGAATCTTGTGGGCAAAAGGTAGCACCCAATTGTGCACAGCAGTGTTCCACAAAGAGTCATGGATTGAGTGACCAAATTATTACCATTTTTTGAAGTGATTATTAGCCCTGGAAAGGGAACTGCCAATCGACTAACAACCGGGTTCCTACATAGGAGCATATGGAGTAAAGAAACTTGCCTCAAGTTGCTCCCAGTTAAAACATTTTTTAAAACATTAAACCCATTATCCAGATAAAAACATGCTAAATTTAAATTTATTTAAAATACAATTTCCATGTTCCCAGAGAAAAAACTTTTACCATTTCAATTTTTAAATTCTTAAAACTGTCAAAAATATTTTCTTTAGAAATAACATTGTTTATTCGTATCTCTACATATAATTTAGCTGCATTCCAACCAGGAAAGTAATTCAAGGCTCGATTACGGAAGTTCCCTCCTCATCGGCCTTCCCAACTCTTCCCTTCACAAGCTGCAGATCATCCAAAACTCTGCAGCTCATGTACTCTCACGCACCAGGCTCTGTGACCCCTTCACTCCCACCCTCGCCTGACTCCACTGGCTCTCCATCCCCTAGAGGATCGAATTCAAGATCCTCGTCCTCACTTTCAGGGCCATCCATGGTCTTGCCCCCTCCTACCTCTCTGACCTGCTGACTCCCTACCAACCTGCCCGCTCCCTCCGTTCAGGGGGCTCCAGCCTGCTTCATGTCTTCCGCCTGACCCTCCCTACTATCGGTGGCCGAGCTTTCGGCCTCTCTGCCCCCACACTCCGGAACTCCATCCCACAGTCCCTTCGCCTTGCTTACTCCCTTGCCTGCTTCAAGGCCGGTCTCAAGAACCTCCTCTTCGATTGTGCCTTCAGTCGCCCTCCCACCTCTCTGCCTTCTCTCACCTCTATCCCACCCCTCCTCCATGCTCAGGTCCTGACCCCTGACTGTCCAGCACCTTGGGATGACCTCCTGACGTGAAAAGTGCTCTATAAATGTAATTTTACTGTTGTTCTGACAAAGGGTCATGGACCCGAAATGGTGACCCACTTTCTTTTCTCCATAGCTGCTGCCTGATCTGCTGAGTTTTCCCAGCTCTCTCTGTTTTTGTTTCAGGAAAGTAGGTTTGTTTGTAAATCAATCTTTTTCACTGACATTTGGAAGATCTTTTCAAATATTAATTTCACATTACTGAAGAACTTTATTTGTTTTGAGTGCATAAATTGCCTTGAAATGAAATAGCCATGATCAACAGAATGGAAAGTAATTGCGAGGTGTGCTATTAGATTTCTTCCAAGACCAAACATTGTCAAGGAAACAGATTTGGCTAATGGTTCAGGTTTACAGCTACACAGGTAAAATAATTGCCATCTTCGTATTGCATAGCTAATGGTTTCGACCGTGCTTTTGGTCATCTTCCTCCCCCTCCTCCTGGCTCAGTCCCGGGATCCATTACCGTAAAGCGCTCTGAGACGCCGTCCAGCGTGGAGGGCACTATATAAATCCAAGTTGCAGTTGTTGGTTACTTCAACTGCAATAAAAACAGCAAGCTCTGATATGCTGTGATGCTTTGTACTGTGGGATAGATTTCAAAGTGACAACAACAACTTATATTTACTGTATATAACATTTTTCATGTGAGTACTGTGTACATGCAAACTGTAATGAGTACTGTGTACATGTACTGGCTGTTACCTATTACTATTGATGGGGAAGTTCATTTACAATTCAGAAATGTGAAAAAAGCATCACGGCTACTCTGTAAAGACAGAGGAAGCAGTCAGCCTGCTTGCAGTCAGAAAATGATAGAATCACTAGAGAGAAGGGCTGGTATTACTGCCTTCAGAAATGCTGAGAAAACCACTTATTGAGATTACATTAGCACAGAAGATATTAATTCATCAGAAAATAAGACAATATTCAATAATGCATGATTAACACTTTTCTTTATTTTACAGGTCATCAATCTATTTACATAGAGGTCTTGTTGGCATTAAAATATGCTTGAATAAAAAGGACTTAATTATTGTTGCTTAAAATGAAAACACTGTCAAACGGGGCACGGTTAGCCTAACAGCAAAGGTTGATGGAAACACAACTGGATTATGCTACCACAGCTTAAAATGCCCAAGCTAATGTCCGAGGGGTCATGCTTTTGGCATGGAAGCAGAATTAGATCCTTTTACAGTAATAATTACAAATGCTGAAATCTTCATATAGAATATTAAGTTCTTACAGTTGATGCTCTTGAAACGATAGGATTTCCAGTTAGCAATCTGCAGGCACAATGGATCTAAATGAATGAATACAATGAATTCGTGACAATGGCCTACTATGATCAGCTGTACAATACATTTCAGAATGCAGTGCGTTTTAAGCTGGCACGCAACAATTTAAATTTTCAACTTCAAAGACAAGAGCTATATTTTCCTCATTGAATGAAATTTACAGCTTAATTTTCATATTTAAATTGACTTTATATTTTGTGTGTGTTGTGTTAGCACTACACTAATTCCGTGCACGGAAGTGCTGAATAATCCCACCTCATGGAAAGTGGGAGAGATAGAGGATGAGTGGAGGAGGGTTGTGCAAAGTAGAAAAATGCTTGGGTAATATAGGAGACAAATAATATTTCCATTAACTTTTGACCTAGATACATAAACAATTCAATGCTTTCCCTCAACATTTACAGAACATCAAAACAGCTGTCACTGCCGAGAGAAAATTTTCATAGTATTCATAAATTGTCTCCTAAGTATTAACCCAGTACAACATTTAAACGAAAGCCACTGAGCAACAGTGGGTCTCCACATGGCTGGCAATGACCATTTTATTTTCTGTACACTTGAGAAAGGAAGAATAGCATAGTAAAGATAGGTTAATAAACAAATATTGGAACTGGGATTACTGACAATCAGTTGAATTCTGCCGTTTGTGATAGCAGTTACACTGATGGCTTTATTTTGTATTTTCATGAGATCTTTGTATTTGGTAGCAAAGCCTTACGATCTCTAGTTTGCATAGCTCTGTGGTGGCATGGCACATAATTTATTATAACTGCTCCTCTATTTGCATAGTGGATGTTAGGAGATACTGTACTAGTTTCAGTATTCTGGCAAACTGATATGTTAAACAAATTAAAACATGAATAAAAACACAACAGAGGCTAAAATATAACAGAAATAACTGATTCGTATTATGGGGGAGGAAGAGGACACAAAAGTGAACTAATGTTCATAAAATGCCTCATGAGTTAACAATTTTTAAAAAACATCTATTGAGAATTGCAAGGTTAGTGCACCAAAATAAACACCTTCCTCAATTTACTGTGAATACTTTGCATTGGGAAAACAGTTCTTTAACCTTTTCCATTTATAATATTTAGAATAAAATTGCAGAAAATTGTTTTTAAAAGACACCAACGACATTCATATTCTGTAAGCTACAACTTGTAAGTATTCACAAGGTTCAAAATGAAATAGCAGCAGCAACAAATATCTCTAAATCATTCAAGCTATTTGTTTTCCATTCGACAAGCAAAGATTAGCTGAAGAACACGAATTCTGAATACTGCAGATTCATTCTTTCTTTCCAAACATACAAATATTTTTCTGATGCATCTTTTCGATATGTTAACTATCATCAGCAAAGGCAAGTATTTTTCATTCCTTAGTCTGTATGTATTTTGCTCTGACATTTTTTTGAAAATAAAAACCATGTATTTTTAAATAGTCCACAGTTAAGATGTTTACACAATTACCGCTATTTTGTTACATTTTAAATGTACGATACTGTGAATAATCACACATTAACTCATTTTACTTTCAAACACATTCAAACCAGCATTCTGTACAACTAGAAAATTACAAGAAGGTTTTGAAATATATGTTGAGCCTTGTACTTGTGATGCAGGATTAGACTCCTCAAAGTTAAATCTTTTCAAAATGTCTAATGGATAAATTCAGCCACCTTGGGCAAAACACTGTTTGCAGACAACATATGACCTGAATAAGAATGTTTTTTAAAATACAAAAACTTGCAGTTGTATACACTTGGGCCCTTCGAACCGCTGGGTTCCTCCTTTGAATACAACTCCCGGCAGGCCATGGAAAACTACCATTGCACTTAGAACAACTTGTGTTACAGTTTCCATTGGCCACAATGAAAGCTTTGGCAACAAACTTTCCTGAGAATGAATAAAGATAAAATGTTTCAAGCACCCTCCTTCCTCAGCGTGCAGCCCTGTCAGACTGTCGAGGGGGCGTTGGGTGAGCCATGAACTGGGGCACCAGAAGTCGTTCCGCTGATAGCGCTAAAAACATACAGTGAGTTCCGCAGCTGTGATTTCATGACATCTTCTTCTGTTAAAATCTTAATCAAAACAGGAAAATGTCAAAATGCATGTTGTTTGAAAACAAAGCTTGAAATGAGTCAAAAGCTTGAAAATAGTCATGCTTTGTACCAGTGTATAAGTTACACCTTTACAAAGATGTTCATCCCAGGCAAGTTTGAGAGATTGAATTTATTACCAAAGATCAAGCACTGAGCATTTAAATTGTCACAAAGTATTGCAGGAGTTCTTGTTCCCGTATATTTGATGTTGGGTGGAGAGTAATAGAGAAAGAATGATAACAGGGAGAAAGAAAAACAAAGGCAAAAGGTGTAAGAGGGAACCGAAGATTATAGACAGAAGGGAAAGTGAGAAGCACACAAAGAGCTACAAAATAGGAGGGAAAGGAGAGTCCCGAAAGGAGGGAGAGAGAGAGAGTATGAAAAAGATCGCAGAAAAAAAAAAGTGCCACAATATTTTCTAAAATGTCAATTATGAAGTGGAGATGAACGCAGAGGTTGGTGGAGTTTATACAGAGGATTATTTGGTAAATCTAAACAACATCTTAAATATAAATTGCAGATTACATTTACCCCATTAAGTCCTTCATAACAAGGGAGCACATTTGAAATAAAGGAAGACAGTACATATTAAAAGAAACATCAACCATTTTTGTAAGGAACAGTCAAGAATCAGCTAAACAAATTATTTAAGTGCAAGAAAACAGGCGAGCTGAATAACCTGTTGTCATCCCTAATGCATTGTTGTCAACAAACTGAAAAGCAGACTGAATTCTTAAGCAGACGCAAACAAGGTGGTGGGCTGAATACGGACATTATTGTTTGGGTGTGAAGGAAGTTCAGCCGGATTGATCAATTTATGAGCAGATGATGTGTTATGATCAGTCCACTTAAGTTTATTGCTGGCAGCAGAAAGCCCAGGCAAAGTTGAAATGGAATAATGTGCCAAGTATTTCACTTATGTGATAAAAGCTTAAAATATTAAAATCTACTCCCTCGACTGGATAAGACAATGGAAAGTGGTAAAACTTGAAAGTCAGGCCTGCCTCCAATTCACTCCAAGCAGGAATGCGAGTCAGTGCTGGAACTCAGTATTTGTAGCACCTAAATTGGCATCTAAATTTCTGGGTACTTTAGAGAAGAGGAGGATGCATTAATGGTCAAGGAAAACTGAGGTAATTACAAAGCAAACTCATAAATTTACCCACAAAATCAACCAATAAGAGCAAAATGTTCACTAAATACCCACTAGCTACCCACTATGAGGTGCTTGAAATCGACATCAATTATTAGCTGGCGTGTGCGTTATTTCTTACATGCATTCCAACCAATCAATGCGTTCCATTCACAGTTTCACCAAATTCATTATTTCCACCATTGTGAGATTTAGGCAGATTGTCAAATTGTTCAACTGAGATGCAATGGAGACGCCAAAGATTCTTCAACCAGCAAAAGCACGGGATGTGTTAAACTTCACATAAATTTGGGATTCATTTCCGTAAAGGAACACTTCCATTTCTCTTCACACCAGATGGTTCCTGCCCCACGTGCACTTAGCAGGAGAGATGCTAGCACTGACCTGCTCGTGGATTATTTCTGACAATTCTTTCACCATGTCTTTGAAGTTTGACTTTAGCCCTTCGTGGTACTCCATCTGGTCCTCCTTGATCAGACGCTCATTTAAATCCAGAGCAAGGCTGCAAGCTGCAACAAATTGCCTGTGTGCAATATTTAAAGAGAGAATATCAGTTGTTTTTCTCCCCTTGTACCATTCAACACAATTTGTCAAACACAATTTTTTTCTAATTTTCAGACACTTCCAACGGTCGCAGCCTATCCATGAATATCCATTATGCTTGATCAAGATAATACAGTATGTTTTGTTGACTCACTGGAAGACATCTTTTAGCTGCTTCACTTTTTTGCTTGAATATTTGCTGCATTTATGTTCATCGAGGAATGCCCTTGCATAAGCCAGTGGTCCAGCATTCACCTACAAATAAATACAATGATGGAATTGCATCCTCTGCATAAAGACAACACCCCAGATCTATACTGCAAACCACATTTTACAGTGAAAAGATTTGGCTTTTGCGGACTTGTAAAGCTAAAGGTAAAAAAAAAATTCAAAGGAAAAGTATTCAACGTCTTAATACCTTTTATGTTGTTCTGCTACAGCAAATCCTTTTGCAGTCACAGGCATTACATAAACCCGCTTACCGTTTCCTCTGAATTTCTTTAATAAGATAATAAGAGAACCATCTTTCACTTCTGAATAAATGGTCTGATTCGAACATTTAAACAAGACCCAGCTCCGTCACTTCCTGCAATCCTTTTGCCCTGGCTGTTTCCCTCACTCAGCAAACACCGGATGCTTCATGTCCCCAATCTGATCTGCCCCACCATTGCTGGGTGAGCTTTCAGCCATTCTGCCCTCACTCTGTGAAACTCCATTCCGAGTTCCTCCGGCTTCAACCCTTCCCCCCCACCCCCCCATGCACTTTTAAAGCCTTTCTTAGTGACCATGCTTTTGGTCACCTTACCACGCCTCCCCCCCCTCCATAGGATCCCCTACTCCAGCTCGAGCTCCCACTCAGTTGGATGAAGCATTTGAGGCATCCTCCCAATATGAAAGTTGTTATGTAAATATAAATTGTTATTATCATGCTCACTTGCACGGAAACACAGCCCTGGAGTTTAAGTTGCAATTGAATCATATCCACTTCATTTGAGGCGCACAGCTTTTGTAGTTCGGCTGTTCGGTCCTTCATTTCATCAGTAGCAACATCAATTGGTTTCAGGTCAACATGATGTTCGTACATAACTGCAATCCTCTTCTTCACATATGGAAACGTGTGTATTGCTGGAAGCAATTTCAAAAACATTAGGTGAAACAAAGTTTGCGGAGTTAAAGTTCACCTTTAATAGACACAAAGGTTCAAAATCTTCTTCAACCATTTCTGTGAGGAAAAATATTATACACTATTTTTGGTCCCTTTTCTTTTTTCACTCCTTAATGCGTGGGTGACATTTCACAGCACAGAGAAGCACCTCTGCACCTCGCGTTAAGAGCCACGTGGTAATTTTTCATTAACCAGCCTGCCCAGTGAGTATCTGACACTGGAGAGGGGACTTCACAGCCGAGCTGTTCTGGGTTCTGTTCTTACTCAATGTCCAAGCAGGTACATTTATCAGCAGGTTTCAATGGAAACCAGACAGAAGTGAGAATACAAGATGACCTCACCTCTCTCTAGCCCATGGCTACAAAACTAAGTTCAAACACAGAGACAGGAGTAGGCTGTTCAGCTCCTCGAGCCTGTTCCACCATTTTATAAGATCATGGCTGATCTGTACCTCAAGTCCAGTTACCCACCCTTGCCCCATATCCCTTAATATCCTGACCTGACAAATATACATCTACCTCCATGTTGTTAATATTAGCAATTACTGCCCCCATGCTAAAATCAATTAGGCCAATAATCCAATATTTAGTATGTATGACTTTATGAGAGCTGTACTGGAGAGTGCCTATATACACCTGCTTTTTTGGGGGGGGTGGGGGAGCCAGTTGGGGAATACTGAAACTGTTTTGTAATAGTTTAGCTATTTATTAAGTTGATAATTAAGCTGCTTTTCTGATCACCCCATATGTACTTCTCACTTGCTCTGCCCACTTATCATAATCTGTCTCCATTTGAACATGTGCCCAAGTGGTGCTACAGCAGACAAAGTTTGCTCAGAGCAACACAGATACAAATCCCAACTACTGTAGCAAAACTTGGATTCTTCCATGTGTGTAAAGCAACCAAAAGGGAGAGATGTAAACAAAAAGTGAAGAGTAGCTGAATGACACGCATTAGGGAGGGGAGGGGACCGTTAACAGCTAAGGGAAAAAACAGGCAGGTTTGAAAAATGAGGAAGAGACAACACAGTGCATATTGTTTTGTGATGCAAATTTCTGATCTGTGGCTACCATTGTTCATACACCGTGTAGATTTGTATACATCTCATCTGCCTGCACGTGGGCTCAAGAGAACTGTTATCTTAGTGAATCTGCAGTGTTGTTGTGAGGTATAAGCACGCCTAAAGCTTGAATGTTTCCACACATGGTACATTTTGTTCCAGACACAGGAAAAACGCTATGCGTAGATGGCATACTTAGAACTCTGACGGTTTGGTTATTTTTTAAGCATTGTAATGGGTTTCTGTGTCTGACACCTGGCTGATCTCCCCCAAATGTTACTATGCTTAAAAACAACCAAACCTCTCATATTTAGGGTGGACGATAGACAAGATCTGTAAAGAAACACAACACATTTTGGGGGATGGTGTGGGCAATGCTTACGACTATTGAAAAAAGAGATACGAAGATTGTTTTCCCAGTCTGTCGATTCACCTCTCACATGTTTGCCAACAACAATAATAATTAATACTCAAACAAGCCAGTCAAACTCAGAAAATGTATACAATGTCTAGTTTCAATATAGTTAGTAAATAATAGTATATAGTTAGTAACCTTGTCATCAATGGAATATCTCACACAGCAATGCACAGCTTTGGCTGTAGATTTGGATATGCATCTAAGGTTTAGTCATAGACATAGTAACATGTGCCTACTCGTTAAAATGGTTCGTCGCTTGCACTGTTCCTCCACCCCTCCTTGCTTCTTTCCAGATAACGTGTAGGGAGTCTCAAAAACAAATCGGCAAATATTGTGGTTTTTCTCAAAATATGTTTTCCTGTCAGACGATTCTTTTTCATCAAAATAGGGATTGACAAAAGTAATTTGAATGTACGCATATTTGGGGTCCAAGTCTTTTGCATTCACCTAAAAATAAATAGTGTAATTAGAACCTTAAAAACATACTAACATTTCAATTCAATGTGCCTAGTTTCTGCCTTGAATCACTGCCAATATGAGAACATAACCGTATAATTTTGCAACTGGTTAAGACACATATAGATAATAATCAACTGTATGATCAGTTTGGCTCTTTACAAACAGAATCATGGGAGACTGTAAGATAAGAAAAGTCATTGAAAGGTCACGAATTCCATTCATCCTACGTACCTTATTTTTACATTATGAAATGGTTGACAACATCACTCCTGACCAGCTGGGATACCAGAATAACAGCAGAAAACCCACATTAAAAAGGTTAACAACAAAGTTGTCAGAAGTTTGGATGTGTCTCTCACCCTTACTTTTGCTGATTCTGCGCATGATAAAAGGCCAGTGTAGAATTCATATGACTACACTGCAAAACTTGGTTAAAAAATATACCTTGTTAGAATCCTGGATGATTTTCACTGTCTCAGCCCCAAATTTATCACCATAAAGTTTCAGCAGTCTCTCAGATATTTCGGGCAGCCTGGTCAATTTGGGTTCTTTATAGATGTATTCCTTTCCATCTTCCTCCTCGAAGAAGCTCTTTTAACAGTAATTGAGACAAGAGTAATGAATTTAAATGCCTTCATAAAAATTTACAGTCAGCACTAAATCACATCAATACAGTAGGCCCACTAAGGAACAGAAAGATAAATGATAGGAATCCTTAAACTGTCATATTATCCAGTCTGGGATGTATTCAAACACAGATTCTAGAGGTGAACGGTTAATGTCTACTCATTTGAGACATCAGTTCCCCTCCTTATTAAATTAATTAGATCAGGCAAGCAAGTGATGGGGCAAGATGTTTTGTTCACAGCAGGAAAATGATCAGATGAAAGCTCTGTTTGCACTGCCACAGAGAACCCTAAATATAATGCCTCAGAGTACCATGTGCTGGAAGAATAAAATGACTTCCCCAAGTGTCATTACAACTTTGATCTGATGGCTGAATTTTTTTGGGGGGACATGAAGAGATTGTGATGTCATCAATCTAATAATTGAAAATGCACTGAAAATATTTGAAAAAGCAAGTCTAACAACTAATTTTGAAAAAGAAACTGGATGCAACATTGATAATGTGCCCTGTTACTCACCTGTCCATAAAAAGCCACTCGAAAGAAGGTCCCTAGCAGCCTCCTCCCCGTATTAAGAACCAATACAATTTTCTTATAAGCATCATTCAATGTGCTGTATATGAAAGAAAGTTTCTAAAAAAAAACAATAACTAATGATCAGGTTTGTACAAACAGTTTATAAATATGCAAGACATACCATACATTATTGCTATGCACAAAAGCTCATCAAAGTTACATTCTTAGAAAGAGGAACACAGGAAGATGTCAAGATGAGAGTTTCAATTCTGTGATCCACTCAAAAGATATTCTTTTGATCAGCTGGGAGAAATATGTAGGATGTAGACAGGTTTAGTATAAACTGTAAAGACTCCCCCACAAGGGGTAGGAGAGATGTAATTACTGGTTCTTTACCTCTCTCTGTGATAAGGTTCCCGGGCTCTTAGCATTTCTCGGGTAAGAACTAATACAACAGACTTTAAACCATCGATATAGGTAGAAATGTGAATCAACTGAATGAGACTCTGTCTGTCTGGGTAATCCCAGGTTTCCCTTTTAAAATGGAAAGAATAAACTCACCTCAAATTCCCGTCGTTTCTCGTAAATTGGAATTATGAACTTGTAAATCTCTGCAATCAGCTCGTAGCGCTCTGCATTCCACAGTCCATTCGCACACTTCTCCAATAGCTCCACAAGAACGTCCTACCCGAGCAGGGCATGTTAAATATGTAGATAAATAAAAGCAATGAAACTTTCCCATGTACAACAAAAACAAAATTTGCAAAAACGCCTTTCACATTGGAAGAAGATCCCAAGGCGCTGAACCGGCAGGGATCAAGTCCCGAGCATGGAGGAACAGGGTTGGAATGAGGGAGGGCAGAGGGGGTAGGAGGGCAGCTAAAGGCACGGTCGAAAAAAAGGGTCTTGAGTCGTGCCTTGAAGGAGGCAAGGGAGGGAGCAAGAAGAAGGGACTATGGGATAGAGTTCCAAAGGGTGGGGGCAGAGAGACTGAAAGCCCAGCCGCCATGGTAGGGTGGGTCGGGCAGGAGACATGTAGCAGGCTGGCTGGAGCTTGCAGAATGGAGGAAGCGGACAGATTGATAGGGGGTCCGCAGGTCAGAGATGTAGGAGGTGGTAAGGTCATGGAAGGCCTTGAAAGTGAGGATGAGGATTTTGAATTCCATCCTCTGAGGGATGGAGAGACGGAGCCTGGTGCGGGAGAGGACATGTAGAATGTTTAGAGACATCAACACTGCAGCTTAAAAAGATCTTGAATGACTTAAATAAATATACACTTTGCTTAAGCTCAGGACTACAACAAGGAGCGTTTTTTTTATTGGGTGACAGGCTTTATCATTTCAACACTTATAATAATAGACTTCAATGTTTCAATCAGTATTCTAATTAGAAGCATACTAAAAGAGTGAATACAAATGTGCAGAAGCCAGTAATGTGCACCATGATAATTTCTCTAGATAATATCACAGTTTGATCGGAGACACTGTGCAGAGACAGGTGCCAGATCACAAGCAGGATCTAAATCGCTTCTTGGGTGTTGCAAATGTATTCATCTGTGTCCAAAAATTATCCATTAATCATAAAGGTTACAGTTTTTCCAGTTTCCAAAAATGTATTCAAGATCAATATCTTGGAGCAGGTTTACCATTAATCATTACAAAAGTTGATGTATGCAACCTCCTTCCTGGTTGCGTGGCATGGACCTGGGCTATTTCTGCCTAAAGTGTGGAATCCTGTAGCTCAGTGGTTAGAGCACTCGCTTTGCAAGCGAGAGACCTGAGTTCAACTCCAGGCAGGGTGAAACCTTGGGCAAGTTTCCTTACTCCACACAGAGCCTAATAATAATCCCTCCAAAAAACCAAAAACAATAATAAAATTGGTCATTTTCAATCTACGACTGTTTGTGGGACATTGCTGTGCGCAATTGGCTGCCGCGTTCGCCCACAAATATACAGTCAATTCACCTTACAGTGTGTTCTGTGAAGCGCTTTGGGACGTCCTCCCGACGTGAAAAGCGCTATATCAAATGCAAGTATTATTATTATTATTATTAAAGTCATGCCAAAGGTTGGTGAATCATGTTGCTGGGATTGTTCCTTTTTTTTTGTTTGTTCAGCTGAAATCTACTGGACAATTCTGATTTCTGAAGCTAAATACAAGTAAAATATAAACCATAAACCATTTTCCCATGGCAAGCTGCTAACTTCAGTAGGAGGAAGGAGCTTCCACAGCTGACCTCAGTGACCAGTTTTGGTGTGAATTTCCTTCAGATGTTACCATTTCCTTTATTTCAGTTTCTGTTATTCCAGTTTTTATTATTATTAACAACACCAGGATAAAATACGTTTCCAATTGAACAGTTAAAAGTAATGCTGGGCTCCAGCCTGCTCCATGTTCCTTTCCCGGCCTGCCCCACCATCAGTCATCGGACCTTCAGCCTCTCTACCCCCACCCTTTGGAACTCCATCCCACAGTCTCTTCACCTTGCTTCCTTCAAGGCACGTTTCAAGACCCTCCTCTTTGACCATGCCTTCAGCCACACTTCTACCCCCATCCTCCCTGCCCTCCACCCCTCCTGATCCCAACCTCCTGCTCGGGTCCAAATTCCAGACTGTCCAGCATCTTGGGATGTCCATCTGACGTGAAAGGCGCTACACAAATGTAATTTATTGTTACCCCAATATAATTATAAAATAATAATTCTTGCATTTGATATTGCATTTACACATCAGGAGGGCATCTCAATGCCCTTCACATAAGTTACTGTAAAGTCTAGTGAAACACTATATCAATGTACATTGTACTGGAATGGAAAATTGACTTTTGGTGACGACAAACAGTGAGTTGCATTTCTTCAGAGTTTTTACCTCTGTGTAGTGGACATCTTGCATACCAGCATCCTCCTTCATAGCAGCTTCTTCCTCAATGTTGGGAGTTATTGCTTTGAAAGCAGAGCACCCTTTAGGAAAGGATTCTGAAAAAGAGTCAAGATTATTCAGATAAGAGTTTGCTGGTTAAATTTTTTTTAAATGTTTTGATAAATGGTTAAATTTGAATGTTATAGCATAACTATGTATTGGATTATTTGTTGGAATCAATGTGCAATCATGAGGAATCAGAGGATGTGAGAGTTGCTGTGTTTTTAATTGCACCACAATCTTTAATATTTCCTTTCTATTGAAAGCTCGCTGCTGAATAAATGATCAGAAACTCCCATGCCATCTTTAATAATAATGATCCTTACATTTTATACAGTGCCTATAATACTGAATAATTGTAGAGTGCTTCACGGGTAAATACAGTTAAGTGTAGTGATTTTGTATTTGTAAGCAAACTAAGGAACCAATTTACACACAGCAAGGATTCACAAATAACCTTGAAGGTGAACAATAAACAGGAAGAGGAGATTTGCACCAATGTGGAAGTTGAAGACCCTTAAATAAAGAGGAAGAATAGGTGCACAAAGTTAACACGCCAATACGTGTTTCCTTGAAATAGAAGGATGTGGGTTTTGTGTTCTTAGACTGCTGACACTGGGAGTTCCAGATTTAATCTGCACAGACAGTGGAGGCGAGCACTTCCTTACGAGGAGGCCGGTAAAACTGGTGCAATAGTCACCTCAACCACAACCACCCACTTTTTAGAGGCCATTGGAAAATAATACAGGTAAGTACTAGCAGGGGAAGCGATTGTATATTTGTAGTCAAAAGCAGCAATCAATTCAAGGGTGGCAAGGTCCCACCAACAGGTATCAAATAGGCTCCTTGGCATGTCATCTTTGTCAGTGTCTTCATGGTGTTGAGATGGGACAGAATAAAAAGGGAATACTAACTGCTTTCATTCGCTAGGTGTTACGCAAGATAGGTTGCATCATTTTGGGTCATTAAATTTAAATTTAAATAAATACAATAGCTGAACGTATTAATGTTGACACAATGAGACTAAAATGTTAAAATGGTCTGCTGTCTGAAAGAAAGAGCGTGGAGAAAGAAACAACATTTTATTCAAAATTTAAATCAGAGGAGAATGGTTCCCTTGTGCTTCCACAGCAGTCCGGGCTCTCTTGACAAGGCAACAACATGTATATTTACATGCATTGGTTAGTATTACACAAAAAAACTATTAAAATATAACATTTTGCATAACGACACAGAGCTTGATGTGTCTCATCTGATACTGAAGCTCACCATTTGTTGGCAGGCAGCGCATTTTGAATTTTATGAAATTTGTTGTTCTTATTCTCATTGTGTCAGATTAATAATTGTTGGATTTGGAACAAGTTTAATAGGCACCCAAAATGTAAACTGAGAGATGTAGAAAGAACAGGAATATTTTAATGAAAAAGAATGCATCACAAATGGAGTCAGTTTAATGCTGCATTTGGTGAAAATCCTGAAATCTCCTCCAAGTAGTGTCAGTGTGAAGCTTCAGTGAGATTTAGGCTGTCTACGCTCACTATTTATCCTGTGAATCAGTATAAATTCAGCACGAAGACATTTCTCTGTTCAGCTAACATTCTAGTGTGATTCATAAACAGGATTTATTAGATAGATTATGAAATGAAGATTTGTTCCTTACTTTTTCTGTAAAGGTATTCTGCAACCAGTGCAGCCACGTGAACATAGCACATTGATGCCTGCAAAGGAAGAACATGCATCCTAAAGTAAGGCTTTTCACTGTAAGAATGAGCAATGACTTTGTGTCCAATTTAGTATCACTTAAATGAGTACATCAAAATTTAGCAGAGTTTATATTCAGTCCACAACTACCACTGCACACAGAGCTGAGGCAGAGTAAGTGAATATTCAGACAGTCATTTCACAGTCATAGAAATGTATAGCACAGAAAGAACCATTCAACCCAACAATTCTGTACCAGCTCTCAGAGCAAGCTGTTCATTCAATCCCATTACCCTGCCTTATCCCCATAGCCCTTCAAGCCATTGTTCATATATTATACTTACCTGCTTCACTCTTGAAACACACAATGCACTTTGCCTCTAACCATTTTACTTGGCAGGGCATTCCACATTTCAACAACTCGGAGTGAAAAACAATTCTCCTAATTTTATTTATTATGTGGTTCAACATAAAATTTCTCTTTTTGTACTGAACTTTTTACTAAGCCAGTCTGGAACCTTGGTGTCTTGTTTGACCCTCAACTATCCTTTCTACCCCACATCCATGCCATGTTCCGCTCTGCCTTCCCCCACCTCCGCAACATCACCTGGCTCCGCCACTACCTCACACCGCAGGCCGTCGAGACCCTCATACACCCATTCATAACATCCAGGCTCGACTGTGCAAACTCCTTGCTTGTTGGTCTCCCCAATTCCTCCCTCCATAGGCTGCAGATCATCCAGAAATCCGCAGGAGGTGTCCTCTACAATACCAGGCTCTGCAACCCTATCACACCATCCTCGCCCGACTCCACTGACTTCCCATCACACAGAGGACACAGTTCAAGAACCTGGTCCTCACTTTCAAAGCCCTCCATTGCCTTGTTCTCCCCTATTGCTGTGATCTGCTAACCCCTGCCAACCTGCCCGCTCCCTCCGCTCAGTGGGCTCCGGCCTGCTTCACATCCCCCGCCTTGCTCGCTTGGCAGGCGGGCCTTCTGCCACTCTGCCCTCACCCTATGGAACTCCACCCCGCAGTCCCTACGCCTCGCCCCCTGCAAGACCCATCTTAAGACCCTCCTCTTCAACCGTGCCTTCGGTCACCCTCCTTTCCGCTTGCTCTCCACCTTCCTCGATCCCGACCCTCAGCTTGGGTCCAAAACACTGATTGTCCAATGCCTTGAGATGTCCTCCTGATATGAAAGGCTCTATACAAATGAAATTTGGTGGTTGTTGAAGTCACCTGAACTATGACACAAGAACTACCTGGTCTCATCTACTTGGAGCAAATAAAGTTCTTTTTATTATGTGTCAAGTTTTTATTTTGAACAATTTCTATGCAAATTTGAAGGGTTATTTAAGGGTCAAAACCCACGCACTCTCTCTGGCTGAGTATCAAGCTCCACCAATGTTAGGCGTGAAGGGCGCTATATTGTTGTTGTAAGTTGTTGTTTTGAAGCCAGAACTTGGTTACCTCGGATGGATCGCCATTTTTGGCGTGGATCTTTGCCATACTGTCCAGCCACGTCTTCCTCAGCTCTGGAGTGCTGGCATACGACTTTGCCAGACTGTACTGCAGATCGACTAACATTTCAGGGTCCTTTTCGTGCTCCTTCATTTGAGCTGTAGCCATCAGCACCGTACGAATTCTCTTCGTCAAATCTTTCACTTCACTCGGAAAAGCTGTCGACTGTGAAAGGATAATAAAAAAGGAAAAACAGTCAAAAAAACAGTATGAAAATCCTGTGGTTTTGCTGATTTACATAATGGGGGGGGGTCAAATGATTGAAGCTAAAACATAATGTTTCATAAAATCTTTATAATGGAAAGTCCCATTATAAAGACCAAGTGGAACAGATGGCTATTTTTACAACAACAAAAACAACAACAAGATTCCATTTATAAAGCGCCTTTCACGTCAGGAGGACGTCCCAAGGCGCTGCACAGTTGGGTCATGACCCGAGCAGGGGGAAATGGTCAGGGTGAGGGGAGGGAAGGGAGGGAGCGAGGAGGGGGGAAATGGTCAGGGTGAGGGGAGGGAAGGGAGGGAGCGAGGAGGGGGAAGAGAGTCGAGAGGGGAGCTGAAGGCTCGGTCAAAGAGAAAGGTTTTGAGACCGGCCTTGAAGGAGGAGAGGGAGGAAGCGAGGCGAAGGCACTGGGGAATAGAGTTCCAGAGCCTAGGGGCTGAGAGGCTGAAGGCCCGACCACCGATGGTAGGGCGATTGGGACGGGGGACGTGGAGCAGACCGGCGCCGGAGGAACGGAGAGTACGGGCAGGTAGGTAGGGGGATAGTAGGTTGGAGAGGTAGGAGGGAGCAAGGCCGTGAATGGCCTTGTAGGTGAGGATGAGGATCTTGAAATCAATCCTCTGGGGGATGGGGAGCCAGTGGAGGCGAGCGAGGGTGGGAGTGATGTGGTCCTGAAGCCTGGTGCGGGACAGTACACGAGCTGCAGAGTTCTGAATGACCTGCAGCTTGTGGAGGGAGGTGGCGGGAAGGCCGGAGAAGAGAGAGTTCCCATAGTCCAGCCTTGAGGTGACAAAGGCGTGAACCAGGGTTGAATGTAAGTTAGACTCCATTGTTCAATGTGTGGCTTTAATATTGGTAATTTATTTCTTATTTTAGCATTATTGTCAGTGAGGATTGCCTACCAACAACTGCAACAGCCAAGTTTTAGGTGGTTTCTGGTGACTCATATCAATGAAATTGGAGCAGTCAACTCTCAATAAACCCTCCTTGCTAATCCCCACAAACATTCCCGGCAACAAAAATTGGTGGCCACACCCTGATGACTCTGCTAATTTACCTAATCATTTGCAGAGCAATAGATTTCAAAAGGGCTCAGGTTTCCTTCCTTCCACCCCCTTCACAATTACGTGATCCAAGCTGAAGCAGTGGAGGGGTGTTACAATTGGCCTTGAAGCTCTGGGTTAAGGAATGCAAGGATAATTATATTTAATAATTATATTTATAATTATATTTAATAACTATATTTAATTATAATATAATTATATAATTATAATTAATATATAATTATATAATAAAATATATATATAATTATAAGGATAATAATTTAAAGGAGGGAAAAAAGCAGACACCATTCCAACTTCTGCTCGCTTGGAATAGAATTAGGCCATTCAGCCCCACCAAGCTTGTTCCACCATGCTATTAGATCATTGCTGATAATAAATAATAATCCTTGCATTTGATATAGCGCTTTTCACGTTGGGAGGACGTTCCAAAGTGCTTCACAGAACACACTGTAAAGTGAATTGACTGTATATTTGTGGGCGAACGCAGCAGCCAATTGCGCACAGCAATGTTCCACAAACAGTCGTAGATTGAAAATGACCAATTTATTATTGTTTTTGGTTTTGGAGGGATTATTATTAGGCGTGTGGAGTAAGGAAACTTGCCCAAGGTTTCGCCCTGTCTGGAATTGAACTCAGGTCTCTCACTTGCAAAGCGAGTGCTCTAACCACTGAGCTACAGGACTCGCCTCCAATTACCCACCTTTGCCCCTTATTCTTTGATAGAAAGGTTACCTAACTGTTAAAGGAAATTAAACACATTTCTTCCTCTTGACATTTACTGAACTGATTTTCTTGATTAGAGTTATTTTGCTGTTCATATGCATTACTAACAGGCATTTCTGTGGGTGTAGTACACTGTACAAAATACCATATTACACACGGATATCATCAAACATGGATGAACTCTCCACCTCACAGAGCCAGTGGAGAACCTTGGTGCCTTGTACTTCTCTCCTTTGAACCCCACATCCGTACCTTGACCTGTTCAGCTTTCCCCGATCTGTGTAACATTAACCGCCTCTGCCACTGCTTCTCCCCTCAGGCGGCTGAGAGCCTAGTCCATCCATGTCTTTAAAATCATATCCAAGCTTAATTCACCTACTGTCTGCTCACTGGACTTCCCAATTCTTCCTTCCACAAGCTGCAGACCATTCAGAACTCTCTCCCGTGCTAAGCTCCGCAAGCCTCTCACCCCATCCTTGCCCAGGTCCACTGGCTCCCCATCCCCCAAAGGATCGAGTTAAAAATCCTTGACTTCACTTCTAAATCCCTCCACTGTCTTGTCCCACCATACCTCCGTGGCCTTCTAAAACACTACTAACCTGCCCACTCCATTTGGCAGGCATTGCCCCCCAAACCAAGATAAATTGCTCCATTACTGCAATTATAAAACCAGATTCCCTCAAGTACAACCCATATTATACTCCTGACAAATGTAGAAATGTTGAGCATAAAGTCATTTACACTCCAGCAAGTGTAATGCAATTACATTGAAGGAATCAAACTTGCAAATACCTTGAGAGCTTTGTCGCTGTTGGCAAAATTATTGATGATGGACAGAGATTCCTGAAACCTGGATCCTCCAGTCAGAACCACATCTGCTATAAGTCTACTGACTGCAATTATGATCTAAAGGAAGAAACTACAGATTATTTCCTGTTTCAAGATAATGGGATGTTTTGTAAATGTTATCAGTGTTAGAGAAAACCATGATGATTTAAAATTAGTCGTAGAATCGGGGCAATTGTGACTTATGAGACAATAGAGATGGGAATGTAGGTGGGTACATTGGAGATGTGTAATAGCTCTTTTGGGACTGAGAGGAAATGTGGGGTTGGCCAGGAGAGTTTTTGATTAATAGAAGTTCCTTTAGGGTTTCTCCAGGAAATGGGATCAGAGTATCTGTGGTTAGGAGCTAACACAAGCATGGATACTGTTAACCAAATAGCTTCCTTCTACACCCTATTATGCTAAGGTCTGAGCTGATCGCATTAAAAGCTTTTGACACTTAATGGGCTGCGAATAAGGCTGTGTGCACACTCCAGGAACTGGAATAAGAGTCACGGATATATAAACAGGTTACATTTACAGCAAGTGTCCAAGTTGGCCAGAAATAACAATTTAAATGCATATAGTAAATTCCTTATTTTATGGGCAATGTGAGCATTTTCACAAGCCCACCAATGTGATTAGAGAAGGGAGGGTGCAGTGTCACAGGAGGCACAGTTCATGCTGGAATTGGAGAGCTGGTACTGACCTGCAGATGTGTTCTCAAAAATGTCCTCTTTTTGGTGTACTCAAAATTGTTCCTCATCAGCAAATACAGAATTGCAGAGGCTTCGCTTCTGGTTGAGTTTAGCTTTGAGGTGCAGCCCTTTAGGATTTCATAGCAAAACGATGCACATATATTTGCTCTTCCTTTGAAAAATGTTGAAGGGAACTGCATGAAGGGGGTGGGGGGTGGGGGGGGTGGGAGGGGAAGAGAATACATTAGAATATACAGCACAGAAACAGGCCATTCGGCCCAACTGATCTATGCTGGTGTTTATGCTCCACATGAGTCTCCTCCTGTCCTTCCTCAACTGAGCCTTTAAGTATAACTTTCTATTTCTTTCTCCCTCATGTACCTATCTAGCTTCCCCTTAAGTACAAAGAGAATTGTTATCCCCACAAAATATGCAGTCAATTCACTTTACAGTATATTCTGTGAAGCACTTTGAGATGTCTCAAAGACATGAGTCTTTGACGTCTTTGAGTCTCCACATGACGTGGAGTCCTGTAGCTCAGTGGTTAGAGCACTCGCTTTGCAAGTGAGAGACCTGAGTTCAATTCCAGGCAGGGCGAAACCTTGGGCAAGTTTCCTTACTCCACACGCCTAATAATAATCCCTCCAAAAAACCAAAAACAATAATTAAATTGGTCATTTTCAATCTACGACTGTTTGTGGGACATTGCTGTGCGCAATTGGCTGCCGCGTTCGCCCACAAATATACAGTCAATTCACTTTACAGTGTGTTCTGTGAAGCGCTTTGGGACGTCCTCCTGACGTGAAAAGCGCTATATCAAATGCAAGGATTATTATTATTATTATTATGATAAGGCGCTACATCAAATGCAAGGATTATTATTATCCCAAACTAAAACAGAATGTAGGAGTACCTATTTAATTAGCATTAAGTGTCCAGGTCAACACAAAGTCAATAGTGCTATCAGAAGAACAACAATAGGCTTAATTTAGTTTACCAATATGTTTGGTATTAAGTATATGCTTATTTTAGAAACATGCAAATACTTTGTCAAGTTTAGATACATTTTTGTATATATTACTAAACAAAATAAGATGCCAATGAATACCTTGCTAATGAAGGCTCTTAAAGATGCAAAGGCATGTTTCATAGCTGTCTCAGACTGGCTGTTAACCATTGAGAGGTGAATATCGAACACTTTCTTCATTAGAGGGTTATGCCCATCGCCTTCGAGTAACTGATTCTGAAAGAGAAGAGATTTCTCAGCGATTAAATACTAAGGAACATCTTGCTTAATCTGGGTTAAGTTGGGTTTAACCTGGGCCTTCTCTCTGATAAAAGTAACAGAAACAAAAGTGGTTTCTGTACTGCAATGGAAAAGTAAAAATGCAAGATGTGAGTCATTTTTTGACTGATTATGAAAAAAATTACATTACAGTATATTCTACATTCCCCCACCCCCATAACACAGGGGAGGAGTCAAAGTTGGGGGAGGATTGGGAGACATAATGCGTACCTCGGCATACCAGTTTTTTGCTTTTAAGTCTACAACATTGCAGGGAAAACTGAAGTCGACATGAGTTGTACTGAATAGTCCCAGTGGTGACTCAAGAATGCTTGTGAGGGTTTTCTCACAAGCACATTTATCTATCTCACTGTTGGAACAGGAGTCCATTACATTGGGGGTAGAGGAAAGAGATACTTTTAGAATATATTAATAGAGTAAAAGCAATTCATTTGAGGTGGACAACTTAGATCCGTTGTTGTGCACTGCACAGTGTACGTTTAGGTCATCAGCGTATTTTTGAAATGTCGAGGTTTAAATTATTCATCAGTTTCTTCCAAGGTATACAATGTGCCTGAATTTCAATCAATTCTGAGCATTCTGTGGGGTGAGGGAAGATTAATTCTTCTTTATTAAGAATTCATCCAACTGCATTTCACTGTACCAAAACAGCAACTCCATGTTATTTTGCCCACAAATAGTCAATTCACTTTACAGTATATTCTGTAAAAAATTTGGAGACTATTGAAGACGTGATAAGGCGCTTTATCAAATGCAAGGAATATTATTAGTTCTGCTCAGAGTGTGGACTAATGATTAAAATGTAAAGTCACTTTTTTAAAATATTTCGTTTAAGCATAACAGGGCCAGGAAAATATATTAAAGTGACATATGGCAGAAAGCAAGCAGATTAGCATTTATTTTTGTAGACAAAAATCATGGCTTACCTTGACATTTTGAGTAAAACACGAGATTGTATCTAATACTGTCAGGCATACTTCAGTAGTAATGCTGCCTTCAAGTAATGATTGGTGACTAATATCTGCTTCACAGGCACCAAAACCTAAAGGAAGACATTTGAGAACACAGTTGAGAGAGCTTTGCAAGAAAATACTGTTCTTTAGCACCCCTAAAACTACGTCAACTATTTACTGTTTTGAGTTTCAGGCAAGTGTCATAACATAGAATAAACCAAATGCACATATGGACATAAAAATATAATGTATTTATTTAGACAATATGATAAACGCACATATCAATTAGAACTTTACACCTGTCTCATCAGTTTTAACTCTCAGCATTTTAGTGTGCTTTGAACGATGGACAGAATTATTTTTAAATTTATACAATCAACATTGTAGATTAACACAAATAGTTTGAAATTTATTGCTCCCTCTTCTAATACCCTATGGTAGAGTCCAATCTTGGATGTCAAAACTCTAGTATATTGCATAATTGCTTTGAAGTTCATCACTGGTATCTTTGTTTTTAAATCAAACACAATACAACAACGAAATTACATTTGTATAGCGCCTTTTACATCGGGAGGACATCCCAAGGAGCTGGACAGACAGAGCAATAAGTACATAAGAGCCAATCTCCCAACCTAAATCATGAAATTAATTGGTCTCTCTTCCTCCATCCTCAGATATACAGCTAACTATTGTTGTGGATGCTCCTCCCATTAGCCATTCCATTTATACAACCCTTCTCTTCACAGAGGAGCCTTTCAAACTCTCCAGTCTAATTATGTTTCCTTTATCATATATCTCAACTTTGCAATGATGTTGAGTTATTAACTATATAAAAAAAACTGAGCATTAACACACTTTGGAAAATGGTGCACAAATCAATAAAGAATGAGAATATTGGAATAATCCTGCACATGAAAGGGTATAATTCAGTTGGAAATATTGTTAACTAAATAACAGCCTCGGTAGCTATGACAAAGGTGGATTGAGTGACATACCAGATTCACCCAAATAAGAATGACTAAATTCTATACATTGAATTATTATTGCAACTTAAAGAAGACGCCTGGACATACTGTGGTTAAGGGTGAATGAACTGTCCATGTTCCCAAGCTGCTGAAGTCTGGCATGCATCAGTCCTGCTCTATTACGAAGTGCAGGCATGGTCTGAGACTTCCTGTCAGATGCAGAGTATTTAGATCCCAATCCTTCTTGCATTCTTTAAGATAAAGCGTTTTAAAATAACACACATTATCACATTCAGAATCTGAATTTATAATAAATGCATGACAGCAACAAAAATAAGCATTGCCCAATTTATCTTTTTAAGACTAAAAGCATGGAATGTGTGAAGATCACAAATCCTCCTTGATCCATCCATTTAATCTCCCTGGTCTGTACCCTTTTCCGGCAACAACATCAAGATTACATTTGTATAGCGTCTTTCACGTTGGGAGGACGTCCCAAGACGCTGGACAACACATGTACACTCATACTCGGTGGAATATCTCATTATCTTAGTCTACCTTTACACCCCCTTCCAGGGCAGATATTTATCTTGTCCCCTTTTAAAGGAGCTCACCAAAGTAGAAGCAATTGGTTTTGCTCCGAAGTTATTCCACATCTTTACCACTGGGTGAGGACAAAAAAAGCTTCTTGTAAACATGAGGTTCACTTGAGGTTGCTTAGTATTAAAATAATTTCCTCTGGTTGTTTAATCACAGCCCAAGTAAACTATTTAAGTAGAATCATTAACTCCTCTAAAACAATTCAAACATTGAAACAATGCACAGACATGAAAATAAATTGTAGTCTCAGTAGTTCAACGCTGCTCATGGAAAAAAATATCCGAGTGTTTTAAGATATATTATCAATGTTCACCTAAAGAACAAAGATGGAAAGGATAATATGCGTGAGTAATTTGGGTAGGAGAGGCAGTTGGTATTCGAAGGATCTTCAACAAATTTAAGTCAAGGGATGTGAATGGCAAGCACGTTTTAATGTTGACGCAAGAAAGGAAAATATATTTTCAATGTTGACAGAAAGAAAACATGTTTACAATGGATAGGTATCCAATGGGGTGGGGAAAAAACACACCATGATAAGTAGATAAATAAGCTGTGAATATTGATAGTAACCAGTCAAAGTAAAGTTTCTGTAATCAAGTTTATGGGAATGCCTCTTGAAGGCATTCATTCTAGGACAAAAACAAAATTATTCCAACTTGTTCTACTCAAATTTGGGTGCATAACTGGATCACTCCATTCAAAGGATCCATTTTGAAGTAAACATTTAATCCAAAGTTGATCATTTACTATGTGAATATTAGCCTTGATCCTGTTGGAACCATCTTTGGAAAGCAACTGGTCAATATTGGAACTTTGCTGGATTCCAGAGTGTGTGCGTGTATATGTTATATATTATATATATAATATATCATATATATTTATTCATCTCTCTCAGCAAATTCAATAAGCTGCAAAAAGTCTTTGCCTGTGCAGAATCTGATTCATTAATTAGACGAGATAGGGTTTACTTTCTTGTGCATCAGATAGCTCATTACGCCAAAATTAGCACACAAGGCATTAAAACTGCTTGGATGTATCAAGCTTGGATATGATTTTAATTATTATTCTGATGTTTATTCAAAGGGAAGGAGTAGTGATTAAATTATCCTATATAAATTATGAAGTTGTAATCTACGTCAAACAAGCTATTCCAGAGTGTCAGGCTGATAGAATAATCATAACTTTGGCTTTTGGCAACATCATTGCTTTAATGATGTTAAAGCTTTGTTAAAGCTTGCTTTACCAAATTGTCAAACTTAAATACGTATTTTTTGCAATTGATATACTGCTGATAACTTAAAAACATAAATAAATTCAGCCAGAATATTGACAGCATGAGGGCTTAAGGTCGTGACAAGTTAAGGCAGGATCGAGTAATTAGGAATTCACTGCATAAAGGCATCTCCAGATCATACATGATCCATCGGCCTGCACATTCGTGACTCCTCTGGACCATACGGAAACGGCTCACTCCCTTTGAAATTAACTATCAGGCCATAAAAATAAAACATTTTAAAACAGTACAGTACCTTGCTATGTGTCTCTTTCCCACATATCTGAATTGATGAAGACACACTCTGGAAAGACAAAGTAAATGATTTCTGCACTTTATGTTTTTTTTGTTAAAAAGAAATCATAATATTATCAATTTTAAGGATTAGCTGTTAAACCAATTTTTTTTAAAAAGTGGTACATTTGGTTTTGCTTTGCAGGTCCAGCTGTTAAAAGGTCATCCTAAATTTGTTTTACTCTTGTTTATTTTCAGCACCTCGGAATAAGGCGAACACATACAGATCCCAAATGCAGAAGCAAATAACAGGTTTTAATAAAACACACATGCTGGTATGGTGTGTGAGGAAGTGGAAAAAAGGATATTGTTTTTGAAGAATCTCAAATTCGCTATTTTATGCTTTTTACATCATTTTGGAAGTATATTTTGCCTACAAATACAAGGTCACCACACCTCACAGTAAAATCTTACAGTACAGGGCATTTGTCAAAAATATATATTGTGAAGTGAACTGACTGCATATTTTGTGGGCGAAACATGGCAGCCTATTGCGCACAGCAGTGTCCCACAAACATTTGTGGATTGAGTGACCAAATTATTATTTATTTTTCTTTGGGGATTATTATCAGTCGTGTGGAGTAAGGAAACAATCGAACCCAGGTGTCTCACTTGCGAGGCGAGTGCTTTAACCACTAAGCTCCGGGACTCCAGAAGAACCACAAAGCGTGCTGTTTATTATCAAGTAGGAATAGTCATAGTCCAGTCATGCATCGTTAGATATTTACAGGGGTTAGAAAATTTGTTACAAACACGGATACTGCACAATGAATTGCAGTGTGTTTGATGCAGCAAATTTAATGGTATCACTCTTCAGCTTTACTTTATAATGGAGGTTGGGTTTTGAAACCAGAATCTAATTTTCTTTCCTGCAACGTTTACAAGATACTTACTCCAAAATGGTGAGAAAGGCCATGAGTTCTTGAGCTGACAACTTGTTCCAATAAGCCACCAAAACATCTTAAAATAAATGAAAGTATGTTACTGATGCCTAAAGGCCAGAAAGGTAATATCTGGACAGGGCATGAAGGGATTTGAAAATGAGTGAGAGGATCTTAGAATCGATCTGTTTGCTAATTGGGAGCCACTAGTGTGATGGAGGTACATAGTTTTGTCCAGGTGAGTATCCAGGCGGCGGAGTTTTGAATTAATTGAATTTTGTGTATGGTGGAGCTGGGGAGACCAGGGAGGAGGGCATTGGAATAGTCCAGTCAGGCCGTGACAAAGGCGTGGATGAGGGTTTTGGCTGTGTTAGGTGTGAGGTACGGACAGAGGCGAGTAATGTGACGGAGGTGGAAAAAAGCGGTCCAGGTCAGGGAACAGATGTGGGGGTAGAAAGCAAAGCTGGGGATCAAACCTGACTTCTAAGTCGCGCACGAGTTTGGTAAGTCTGAGGGAGAGCCCAGGGAGTTTGAGGAGTTCAGACCAAGAGGAGAGAAGACATTGACAGCAGTAGAGGAAGGAAGGAAAGAAAAAAGGAAAGAGCGCACAAGACCAAGAGAGAGATAGACTTTTACTCAATCATTGACCGAATACACCTTACACAATAAATAAAGCATTAAAAATTGTGGATTAGCACAGTTTCTGCAATTTAGAATGATGATTATTGGAACGTAAATGGTGAAACATGCGACCTCCTACCTTCAGAGACAGCTTTGACAATGTGAACGAAGCACATGAGAAGGCTACGGATTTCATATTGGTTCAGCTGGCTATACTGCGATACTCCGCTCCCTGTTGAGCTCCTGCGGTCATTGCTCTAAAGTCAGGGTTGTGAAGAAGTGAATAAGTACCAGCAAATATACTGCATTTCACACATGTATTTCATTTCTATAATAAGGTCCTTCATGGTGGATGCAATTTCACATCAACATAAAACACCACTGTTTAACATTCATCACAGGCCAAACAGATAGAAAACACAAAGATATCTCATCATAAATTCCAGAGTAAAAATAACTGGTACGTGTCAGCATTTTCAAAGCTGTAGACTTATCGTGGGTTGCAGACGACAACTTCAATTCACTCCAACTTTGCTCTGAAGCAAATTGTAATATCTATTGCCACCTAATGGAGGATTCCCAGCTCTACACAGAGGATCTCACAGTTCCTAACTTATTGCTGCTGCACCTTTACCCACAAGACCTTCGGGGAGTCTAGCTTCCACCGTTTGAACAAAATAAAGTGAACGGTAATTTGACATCATGCCCTAGATCTCCCACATAAGCTGGGGATTCTCCTGGATGCCAAAAAATCTTCCGTATTAATGTTAAACTGCAGTTAAAAATTCCGCAAAACGTTTTTTTTGTCAGTACGGTAGTTTGTATATTACACTTTCAGTCTGTGAATAAAAACAGGCAAGAAGTTGCTTCCAACAAGCTGAAATACACACCGCTTTGGAAAGCCACCAAAGCATATATTCCATCAATTGACATATCGGCCTCATAGCAGATTTATCATTTTGACCAATTGACATTTGCTGACCATGCAAGGCCAAAAATCTGTTCAACAAAGAACTAATGCTTCTACTCAAATGAAGATGTTATACAGCATACAAATATTCAACATTTACATTAATTAAAAAAAAAAGAGGTTATTTTACCTGATCTATGGAATTTTGTCTTTCATCGGCTGCACTGAATTCCATACTCAAGGAGCCTCTCGAATCTTCGCGTTTCAGCCCAGGAGTGTAAAGAGCTCCATAACCTGTGAATAGGAAAGACAAACTTTTTAAAAAAAATACATTGCAGTAGTTAGAAACCTTTCAAACGCTATATAACAACGTATAACAATATGCCCCTGTGGAAGTTTGTCCTACTCCTAAATGTTTAAAACCTTTTACATCTCGGTTGCCTTTGAGATCATTTCCTCAGTTGATCTTATTAAAATGTTATTAAAAATACTACACAACTTCCAATTTTCATTTTCAAGATTCTTGCTTGTTAATGTTTCAATTTGTTAATGTTAATGTGCATAGTGTTAAATAAGGAAGATCTGAAATAAATATTTGTGGTATTAAATCTACATGATTTCCTCTTTGATTCTGAAATATAGTGTATGAAATGAATCACTTTCAACGAGAATAAGCTTAATAGAATTCAACAAATTTCCGAATTACCTGAAAGAGCTAAATCTTTGTCAATAAAACTACAAGATTTGCGTGGAGATGAACTGCCATTTGCTGGTGAGAAGTTGAATGCTAAGTCGTCTCGGATGGCCTATTGTAGAACAGGATTTAGTTAGGAACACCAATGATAAGTTGCAGCACTAGATGGCACTATGCGGTTGTGAAAAATCAGGACACACATACTCACACTGCTCGAGAAAGTCAGATAAAAAGCTGATTCCTTTACACTGAGCCTCTGTGCATTTTCGAACAACAGTTTCAACAGTGGCAGGTACAAAAGGGCTATCCTAGCCTGGTGATTCTGAAATGGAAATAATAAGTTGCCAAATAATAATAATAATAATCCTTGCATTTGATATAGCGCTTTTCACGTCGGGAGGACGTCCCAAAGTGCTTCACAGAACATACTGCAAAGTGAATTGACTGTATATTTGTGGGCAAACGCGGCAGCCAATTGCGCACAGCAATGTTGCACAAACAGTCGTAGATTGAAAATGACCAATTTATTATTTTTTGGGGTTTTTGGAGGGATTATTATTAGGCTCTCTGTGGAGTAAGGAAACTTGCCCAAGGTTTCACCCTCTGCCTGGAATTGAACTCAGGTCTCTCGCTTGCAAAGCGAGTGCTCTAACCACTGAGCTACAGGACTCCAAATAGTTGAAACACCAGAATCCAGTGAATGAAATAAGAACACAGACACTTGTACATCATCAAAATTCAGTTCCAGCAAAGGTCACGTTTGATCCAAGAAGTAGACATTCTCTTAAGGAACATAGAAATTTATAGCCCTGAACGAAGCTACTGAGTCTGCATCAGTTCTCAGATCAAGCTGTACATTCAATCTCACTGCCTTGCCTTATCCCAGTAGCCCTTCAAGCCTCTATCTTTCTACTGTCTATTTGCATCTTGAAACCCACAAACAACTCTGCCTCTGCCATCAACTATATTACTCCATTATATTATTCAAAAATATCACACAGTCGTTGTAATGCATTGACTTATTCTGAAAGTACGGCTAAATTAGCACCATCTTACCTTGTGAGCATATCGATCATCAAACGTGTGCTTTATCAGAAGGTTCTTCAAAATAATAATAGCTGTGTGTCGGATATCGTGAACTTCATTAAGTGCTACAGCAAATTCCCTCAGGAGTAGTCCCAGCAGAAAGTGGTGCTTGCAGAAGTCATCAGTGAGGCTGCACTCAAGCTGCAGATCTGTCAAAAAGAAAAGACTTATAAAAGAGCAAAATCAATCATTGTTCTAAACACAATTTTGATCATGGTCTGTTGACTAATTCTACAAGCAATGTATAAAGAAGGGAGAAGAAAACTGACAACTTAGTGACGGGGAGAACTCTGTGCACCAATATATTTTTAAGTACTTCTGAATTGAAACCTATTCCACTAATTTAAAGCTGCCTCCTACATATGTATCGGGCTTGCTTTGTTACTTTAAATGCAAACTGTGGAAATTCCCTTTTGAATTTATTATACTGGATTTCCATGAAGTGCAAACTGAAGAAATCAAGTTTATTATTACTGTACCCTGAATCCTCTGAAGTCGACTTTTCCCGAAGGACATCGGCAAATTCAAAGGAATGAAGTGTTCATGGTTGCATATTATTTGCAAGAAATCCAGCTTAAACTCAGTGAGTGCCTATGGATAGAAAAGCACATCAGCAATAAGGATTGAAGAAGAAGGTCACACAGGTAACTGTAAATTATAAAATAAAAACTTTGCACTTATTCCACTTACACCCCCAATGCATTGTTGGGGGTACACTGTACTGTCAGAGGTTCCTTCTTTCAGATGAGACATTAAACCTTGCTGTATGCAAATTCACCATGTTTGCGTATACATAGGAGACACTCACTGCACTTTATAGTAAAATCATATCAAGTACTTTGAAATGATCATAAAGATTGCATATTCTCTTGCGGTTACCCAAGCTTTCATCAGCAACCATTGCTTGATGCATTTAAGGAACCATAAAGCATCCCAACAATACACTACAGCAACAGAGGAACTTTCAGCCAAACACGGCATTATGATAAGCAGTGCTCTGCCTTATGAGACCACTCCTACTTTAACATCCAGCCTTTGCTGCTGACGACCTTGTACACTGTAGTCCAATGACATGCTGCAGGTTGTAGGTGGGGGTGGGAGGGCGGGGAAAACAAAAGCTTTTGCAGGAAGATGGCTGAATTTATCAAGCCTTTTTTTGATAAACACATCTAGGCTACAATTATTTATTTTGAAAATCACGAGAGAGTGCAGTTTTCAAGTGTTATGAATTTCATATTGCGCACAAGAACTGCATGCTTTAAAATATAGTACTTATAAATCAAACATGTTTAATTAACTTTATTTAGATATTATTTGTATAGCAGAAATGTGGCCGCCATATTAGATGATTCATTTGCAAAAAGGATAGATTGCTCACGCTGATGAGTTTTCAAACCGGGGATGGTGTTATCCTCTGAATATTAACATTGCAAGTCATCAACTAGGTAAGTCACAGCAACATGACCGTTCGAAGACAGATTTAATATCACATCAGCTGTTGCTCTTCCTCTTTCCTGCCTAATACGACCATAACTTTGGGTTATCACTCTTGGTCAATGCTTTCATCCAAGAAGATACATGTTGCTATTTATACATTCAAATACAATTTGTTTCTATTGATGGTGTAAGCACTGGGGCATGAACAACATTCACATTTTGGGAACTTGTTAACATTAGCACACACAGGTGCAGCATGAGTGGGACTGACTACTTAGTGCCGGATTAAAGGTGACTTTGCGCTGTAAGCTCACATCACTTGAATTGAACCCAAGTGCCTAACCCACTCTACCATCCGAATCCACCTTTGTTTTTTTTAAAAAAAATCTTATAATAATAAAGGATTTAATGTGGAGTGCCTGTGTATTTTGTTGCTAAATGTGGCAACAAATTTGCACATAGCAATGTCCCACAAAAAGCCATAAAGTCATGATATTTGATGAACTCCTTCAACTCTCATAACAGTTTTGACCAGATACTACATGTGTGACTGCTCAGTTGACAGATACAGTACCATCTACATCTATATAGTGCCTTTCACATCAGGAGAATGTCTCAAAGCATTTAGCATTCAGTCTGTGTATCGTATTGTTCAAGTGGAGACTGGAAGCATTAAAATACCACTTCATGATTCGGGCCAAAAAATGATTTAGATGCAAGAAATTACAATTACTAACTAAGAAATAAGAATGATTGCAGTCAATACAAAATCTTACCTTGGGGTCTTTAGGGGAAAAACAGCTGATGTAGTCATTAATTAGGTTAAAGATAAATCCTCTGTCCATAAAGGTCAAACAACGCTGTTGAATTAAAAAATATGAATGAACAGTATTGTAGAACATAGTATGTAATAATCCACTTGGAGCTATTTTGTTCAGCTCTTGTTTCCTTCATAACAGCGCTAAGTAAGAGCCTTTGTCCCCCAAACAGTCCCATTTTTCCTTAGAAGATGGGCAGCAAACTATTTCAGTAATGGGCCAAACTTGAGCCAGATATAAGCCACAAGCAATTCTGCAGAGCAGGATTCCCTGAGCAGTGATCAGAACCATGTCAACACTGAACCTTTGGGACATGCTTGTTAGTCTGGATGACATTAACCTGGGAAACTTTACTGCCATTTAGAGAGCTTTGATTGTCATAACAGATGGAATCCTGACTCTTGTTTGCGAATATTTTCCTCAGTGCGTGGTTTTGGTATGTAGGAAATAAATAACCAAGAACCAAAACAGATTGGTATGCTTTTATATAGTTGGATCAGCAAAGCAATAATGCCCCATGTTGTGGTGAGAAGATGTTTGATTACAATGGGCCTTGAAAGTCCATTATATAATAATAATAATCCTTGCATTTTGATATAGTACTTTTCACGTCTTCTAGACGTCTCAAAGTGCTTCACAGAATATACTGTAAAGTGAATTACTGTACATATTTTTGTGGGCGAAACGCGGCAGCCAAGTGCACGCAGCAGTGTCCCACAAACAGTCGTGGATTGAAATGACCAATTTATTATTGTTTTTTTTCTTGAGGGATCATTATCAGGCGTGTGGAGTAAGGAAACTTGCCCAAGGTTTCATTATCCAACACATTTTGGGATATATTAATTAATAAAATATCCTTGTGCAGTTTTGTAGTAATAATAATAATAATAATAATCCTTGCATTTGATATAGCGCTTTTCACGTCGGGAGGACGTCCCAAAGCGCTTCACAGAATAGACTGTAAAGTGAATTGACTGTATATTTGTGGGCGAACGCGGCAGCCAATTGCGCACAGCAATGTCCCACAAACAGTCGTAGATTGAAAATGACCAATTTATTATTGTTTTTTTGTTTTTGGAGGGATTATTATTAGGCGTGTGGAGTAAGGAAACTTGCCCAAGGTTTCGCCCTCTGCCTGGAATTGAACTCAGGTCTCTCACTTGCAAAGCGAGTGCTCTAACCACTGAGCTACAGGACTCCACACAATACAAAGTACTTGCGTTTGATGATCATAGTTGAACTAACCTTCATGAAATGAGCCCAATAGATATTTGCATTCCTGGATTCTTCTGGAATTTCTCCGTACCTCAGATTGATGTGAGGAATCAGTGCGAGGAGTAGGGAATGTACTGCATGTTGATAGGAATCTGGAAATCTTTGGTTTCTGGGCAGCTGATGTATCAAAACAAATATTTACAAACGTGTGAGGCATATTAGTACTACAGATCTCATTCCGTTAGTAACTATAATATTGTTTCATTAAGTGAAAACATCTAAGACTAGAAAACATTTACACAAGAACACATCACTGTGAACTAACAGAGTTTTTTTTCCCTCGTCATTGAGTAACTCCTTTGGGATCACCTTGTCATTAAGGAACTCCTCTGAGATCTGGATGCATTAAGTGATGATACAACAAGATACACCTTCAGCCCACAGTTCACCAATTAGTAGAAAGAAAGAAAATCTGGATGCTTCTCCATCTAAAACACTATGTTGGCAACCAGCTCGAGCCTTACAACAGGTCATATACTTGAAATGTAACTAAAACCTTGGTAAATAGGGAGACAGATTTGTATTTGTTCATAATTGAGAATTTTTGAAACATTAGATTATCAACACTGGAACAAGTTTTATGAGTGCAGATTTATCAAAAGAAATCTGAATGATGTGAAACAATAAAGTAAACATCTTAATATTTGACCAGAAATAGCTGGTTAACATGTCAATTAGAAAATATCACTGAAACCACAAATTCAATTCTATTCATTTATTCTCCAAATAACCATATTTATTGTGATCATATAAATTATCCTCAGGAACAGATTAAAACATTTTTTAAAAATAAAGAACAATTCTGGTTATTTACGGTGCCATTTGAAAATTAAAAGTATCAGAGTCACAAAGCTGTGTGGAAACAGAGATAAAGATCTTTCTTACCTTCAACTTGTTTTTCTCAATTAGATATTGAGCCATTGACTTGATCAATATTTCAAAGAAAAACCACGAATGCTGAAATGTGAGAAAGAAAATGATGACCACCAAACTTTCTTGGTAAAAGGCAAAGCTTTCCTAGCACTTGTCGCAGTGACCTGGCATGAAATATTTTGCTTGTTAATTTATTACAAGTTTGAGTGCATAACTTTTGTTCACTGCAATGATGAAATCACCAGAGCAATAGGCAAAGGTAATAAAAAGGACAAAAAGAATGGAAGAGGGACAGCACCAAAGTACTAGATAGCAAATGGATAGAACAGGAGCAGTAACATACAAAGGGCACAAGGTAAACCACCATGCAGTTTAATAGTTTGAGGAGGAGAAAGAAAAGGAATTAAGCTGCGTTACAATACTATTAACATTTGTTGCAAGGCTAGCCCCTCCCCCTTAAAGATAACCAGGAAACACAAGTAACCATATATCTGGAGTATTAATGAAATGTTCAACCGGCCTTCAACAATTTGTTGATGGTGAGAAAATCTGCAGATTGTTTGAGGATTGTAGTCATTGATTTTGCCAGTTCTTCGTGTGTTGCTTTGTTTTCTGCCATTGTGTATTCTTCTGTCCTGAAAACATACTGAGAGAGAAAAAAAGAATGAACAGAAGCATTCTGAAACAAATGAAAAACCTTCTGTATGCTTGTATTTCCAATAAAGGAATTTGCTCAGTTCTGAAAGTTCTGGTTTAAATTGATATCACACATTGCATGAGGCCCCCACTCCAAATTAATTGATTTTATGAGAAGGGTGTTGTTAGTGGATCACATGCAGAGCAAATATGGATTTCAGTTGGATGAATATAATCCAGGCTGCCATACAGTAAATAACATCACTCACAGAGAAGGAGAAACTGAAATTGCATTTTAATCCAAAATATGTAGGGCTTAACCTACAGTAAAAGTAGCAGGAAAATTCTGACAGTGGAGGGAAGGAGACAAAATAAAAGCCCATATATACAGCAATCTGAAGAGTTTTATCAAGTAAGGTTTAGCTTTTCTGCTACATACATTCTTGTTCAAATTATTTTTCAGACCAGCGTAGGTGTGGTGTGGCAAAGTCAGGTGAACAGAAATAACATGTGCTTCAAATCACTCTAAGAGCTGAGTATTCTGAGCTGACTGCAGTATTCCCTCCAGCACCAATGTAAACCTTTCATCTTTCATTTTCACTCACGTGGCCTCTCTGAACGAGATTGCCAATCGTGCAAAGTATAGACATCTTGGTATTTCAGCCATTAAGAACTGACTTTCATATTCCCAACACAAAGGGCTTTGAGACACAGCACAGAGTAATTTTCATCACATCAATCAAACTGGTTTCAAAGCCAGTTCCCTGAGGTGAAAGTCAGTTTGCTAATGCACTGCATCACTCAGCTTTCACAGGCAATATCATTACTAATAGATAACCACTATCACCAGAAAGGAAGTGTGAGGTATTAAAAATGTTAAAACACAAAATAATTTGCAAAGGGATGAATTCTAGTGTTCAAAGTCCACATTTGATAAATTTTTTAATCTTATTTTCAAGTTAATTGATATTGTTACATTTATTCATAATACAATAATTTCAACTTCTACAGGATTAATAAAATACCTTGATGAATGATCGTAAATAATGGTCTAGGTCCTCTTCATGACAGTTGGAGATTATATGAATTATTACCCTAAAGAGATATTGAAAGGATAATAATCATAGATTGTCACTGAATACACAATAAACCAAACTTCAAAAATGACTTCTTTATTGGCTCCTTATTCTTCATACCAATAGTAAACTATATATTTGGCAAGTTGTTTGGTCCTTTACTTCTCAAAAGACATTTAATATCAAATATCTTCCTTCCTCTATTTTATATTCTCCAATGCACATTTTTGTTATTTACATTCAGCAAAACAGAAATGTTAGTTATCAACCACACTGATGTTTAGATGAGCTAAGCTAAACACTTGCTGATGGATCCAGCTTAATGTACATGGAATTTTGCAAAAGCAGGGCTGTGGTTTATTTCCAATCAAATTGAAAGTAGTGAGTCATCCTGGGCTATAATTCCACTGGCATCCATCCAATACCTCAACCCAATGGCCATCCTTTAGATTTGCGTCTAGACAGTCATAAGCTATTTGACTGAGGAGCATTACGGCAGTACTGGATTGCATACTCATCCAAAGTCCACATGTGCAGACATTTCAGCTGGGAATCACTGGATAGCAATCAGGAGCAATAACCTTGACTGATATTGCACATCTTTAATACAAAGGTTTTTGAGAGAACATTGACAAATCCAGTTTAGCCCCTCACATACAGACAGAGAAACAGACATGCAGACATTCAGACAGTAACACCACAAGCAGCACAAATGCATGCACATCCATCATTTTGAACAGATTTATGTATCAAAACCATTACTTTACAGATGATACTTTTTCCTCCCCTTCATCTTGAGGGAGAACAAAATGATGAATCATTTACCTCGTGGCATTCACTGCAACGTCCCCCTGGCTGGTTTGTGTGAGAATTTGAAAAAGCTGGTTGAAGACCGTTGGTAAGAAGTTGACCATCACACAGGGTTCCACAGCATGCAAACACTATAACAAAATAAGAGTTAAGTGCAGTTTAACAGCATTTAATGCAAGTATCTATGTAAACTGCTAACTTTTTAAACTGAATTACCCATACAGATGCTACTTGCATTTATGCTTGTAGCAGGCTTAGAGTTGAAAATTACAGTGAGAAGTATGACACTTCCAGCAAATGTTAGCGATACTTTTTCATTAAGTTTCGCTTTTAATCAAGTAAAACGCTAAGCGGGAAACTGAACTTGATATCAATTCTAAATATGATCATTAGGTACAAACCAAAGTAATATAAAAATAGTTATTTCGAGGTAACTGCAGGTTGCCAAATACATTTACAAGACTATGTAAATGCAGGTCTTAATGGTAGACTCGTCGCTTTATACACATTATAAACATCACTGCTTATAATCTACATATTGGCACAGACACGATGCGCTGTATGGCCTCCTTCTGTGCTATATAATTCCATGAACTGCACATTAGGGGGCAGCAATGTACAGCGCCAGTTCTGGTCACAAGCTGCACACAAGAGTTCTGTTAAAGCAATCAATTGCCACAATTAAAAAAAAGCAGAAATCGGAGATTTTATTTGAATTGTATATCAAATGTAAAGCCTTCTAAGCAGTCGTAATAAGCTAAAGTGGCTTGGTGCATCTGAACAAAATATTGTATCTGCTCATGTAAAGAAATTTCCTTTCCAGGTTTAGGTAACAGCGTCGGTGTGGCAATTCGAGAAGCCTTCTTAACCTCAAAGCATTCAACAGTAACCAGAGATGAACATTAAAGTCAAGAATGGTGAAGAATAGCTATGGGATAAGTGCATGCCTTAGAGGAAGGCAGCTACAAGGCAACTAAACATCCAGAATCTCAGAGATCACAAAAATTAGATCATTTGTTTCCCAGAGTTTGTGTTTTTCCACCTCCTCCCACTCGCCATCCTTTTTCAGTCTGTTTATGTGGCAAAAAGGAATGGAGTTGTCCGGAAAGCGGAGATTGAGCCCTGAGGGGAGAATCACGATTTGCTTGATATACCTTGTACATCAGTTTCTACTGGACGGATTCCTGCCATTGTAAAGAACAGCAAGTAAAGAAAACACCATACAAAAATTGCACGAATAGGAAATGTTTTGGTTGATGTTCATACAGCACGCTACAAATATTTTTCCTGCCCGTCGTGAACTTTTCCACAGTTTTCTAAAACCTGTTACAGTTGAACTAGTTCAGTGCCTCCAATTCCTCCCTCCAGGGTCCAAGTCAATGCTGGTAATAATCAAATCTCAATCCCTTACCGAGACAAAGCCAAAGTGTGATGTAAGTGTTCAACTCGCCAAATAAATGAATCCTGCTAAACTTTTTAACCCTTTTCACATTTCAGTTTTTAACCTTCTGAGGAATATGTCTTATGTTTAGAAATGGAAATATGACTTTGTTTTAACAGTTTAAAGTTATTTATTCCTTTTGCAAGTTTCATTGAAACCATGTTTATGATAAATAAGTTGCATTCCACGTGTAAAAGGAATTCCAGATAAGTGTGCTTCTCAGGACGACAGCAACAAAAGTACATCCAAACACATTGTCAAAGTACAACAAACCAACCTGAAATATATATAATCCATAAACATCTATCAAAATGCATTTCTTTGGCGTTCACCTACAATTACACTTTACAGTGATGTGCTTCAACACATCCCTCCCGACATGAAAGGCGCCATATCAAATGCAAGGATTATTATTATTAAATGACTGCTAATGTCATTCCTAAACAATTAATAATAATCTTTGCATTTGATATAGCGCTTTTCATATCTTCTAGACATCTCAAAGCGCTTCACAAAATATGCTGTAAAGTGAATTAATTGACTCTATATTTGTGGGCATAATGACTAAGTATAGAAAAGAATAATCCTTACATTTGATAAAGCACCTTATCACGTCTTCGAGATGTCTTAAAGTGCTTCATAAAATATTCTGTAAAGTGAATTGACTATAATATTTTGTGGGTGAAACATCTACATTATCCTACAGAAGAGCAAACGATAAGAGGATTATCTACCTTTAAATGTTTTATAAGGTCTCCAGTGATCGCTTGTGTTCCTGATGGACTTTGCTGACAGTGATGGAAGAAATTGTGCAAATACTGGTCCTGTAATCAGAAATCACATACAAAGACAATGCATTTCATAATGAAATGACAACAACAATTGTGATGTGTACAGAAATACATTTAAGTAATCCAAAATTAGATTGCCAAGGGACAATTAGTAGATTGATTATTTTTTTCCCAAACATTCTCAAAAGCTTATCAGGAAAACACACGCTCAGCAGATTGTAGCCCTGTTTCAAAACCAACTCTTGAAGTACTGTATTCATTGTTGAAAGTGTTTCAAAACATTTCATAATTTGTTTACCTGAGGACTAGATTGTGTTTAACAATGTTTTGTCACCATTTTTGTTCCTTGTCTTAAAAGTCTTTAAATTGAGAACAAGTAACAAATTGGCATTTACAAACATCTGATAAATTGCCCAAGGTGGTGTTTGACTTCGTGCACTCTCTCTCGGTTTCTTTCCATGTGCTAAAGTGTGCTAAAATGTGAAATCTAAGTGACAAGTTCCTGAGTCAGCATGATGCACTCTTCCCCAAGGCGTCTACAAAGTACAATCACTACATTTTATGGTGTATCCTGTGAAGCAACATCCTCCAGATGCAAAAGGCACTGCATCCAATGTAATTATGATGATTGTTGTTATTATTATTTTTCCAAATGTTACTGGGAAACTGTTCAGATTTCATCTCTGGAGGAAAATAAAAACTGCTGTCCAAATTGTGCCAAATTCAATAGGTTCAAGGAAGGAGAGTAAGGAGAGGTTGAACTAACAAGAAGTGGAAAGTCAGATCTCCAAAGCGGTCGCTGGTTTTAGAATCCCCCCTCCCCCCACAAAAATCATCGAGGGGTGGACTTCCCAGTGTGGGAAAATACTTGGTGTTGGAACGTTTCTACGTCTAAGTTTAATTTAATTGGCAGACAAGACAAACGGGTCTTCCACTCCTCAAACTGAGAGAGATTCCCCGGGGAGAAGAGTCTGCGAGATATAAATGGACTTGCAAGGTGATCCCTCCCACTTTTCTCCCTTCCAGCTACACAAGCAAATGTTTTGATTCCAACTTTGAGGCTGGGGCCTCAGGCCTGGGAAAGTGAATGCTTCTAGAATTACAAATGTTATGCATAGTGCAATGACCCAGTAACTTCTAACTCTGCAGCAGCCAGATGCAAGGGTAACCATCAATAGTGAGGTTCAGATTTTATAGGAAATGCAAGTAAGAACCTCTTCTCAGCTTCCCTTGTTTAAGGCAAGGCAGGTGAGTAACTATGTAACCACATGTGCAAGACACTAAATCACATAACTAAGGTGGAGACTAATAGCTAAATAGCTTAGGAATCTGCTTTACGTGCAGCATGTTTTACATGTAGGTTGAAAGCTGGAAGTACTTACTTCAGTGTAAACTGTAGACACTAGATGATTTTTAACTTTGAATAGGGGTTTTCCTCCATCCACCCACTTAATGTCAGGAACAGGGTGCTGCAAATTTAAAACAAAGTGTTGTTGTAACGTGACAGAAACAAAACCGTGAACCATCACAGTCTATTGTATTGTGTTAACAAGAATGCATTTCATGATGATAAGAAGCCTTATTTGGACTTTTAAAAGCATCACGTAGCAAGCTAGCAGCTTTGTATGTAAAACTGCTCTGCTGGAACTAGGGATGAATCTATTTGTTGTAGAGGAGCCTTACTCGCCCCTACAGTTCAACCACTAAGCAACTCCGACCACTAAGCAACTGAAGGCACTGCTCATGCTTTGGCACCTGACTCTATGCAGCAGGATATGACAACGTAAAGCAGAAGTATGCACAGCACACGATGATTCACAAACCCTGGCAATAGGCCAAGTCACGTCAGTGTCATTCTGTAGAACTCAGCTAATCATTAACATTTATTTTTGGGGTTATTCTGACTACAAACAGTCAAAACAGTTACTGAGAGCAAACAGAACAAAGGTCCTGAGCTGAGCACACAAGTCCGTTTTGCTCATCTGCTCTCCGATTTGAGGAATTGAGCTTCACTGGCTTGAAAAAAAGAAGAGGATCATACCTTGCCTCCTTCTCTTCTAAATCATCATCGAAAGAGCTAAACAAAACTCAGTTAAACTAGTTTACAATGTCTCATCTGCTGTTATAACTAACCCATGCGGCTGGTAATGAAGTAGTACAAGATCTAGGTTCTCTGTAAAGCAGTAAATTGTTCAGCAAAGCACTCTCTTCCGGTTAGCTGGCCTAAATATAACCTCGCCACACCACCATTATAATCTTGTGAAACCACTTTCTTCCTCTCCCGACACAAGATGACAGTAAAATGTTTGATGGCACAACAGAAACAGAGTTATTTACTGATTTAAGATTTATGATACAGCGTCAAGGGAATTAACAAACGTTAAAACATACTTGTGACATTTATGCAACCCATCAATTGAGCTACAATATTGCAACACTCTCTCAACTGCAATCTTGCAGTTGGTACATAAGTTGCATACCATACATGTACAAATAAGTAAAACAACTTTGATCTGTTTTATTTGAATAGCAAGCTTTATTGACAGATGTCCAGCTCTTGGGATGTCCTCCCAATGTGAAAGGCGCTATACAAATTTGTGGATTCCTGTAGCTCAGTGGTTAGAGCACTCGCTTTGCAAGCGATAAACCTGGGTTCAATTGCAGGCAGGGCGAAACCTTGGCCAAGTTTCCTTCCTCCACACGCCTAATAATAATCCCTCCAAAACAATAATAAATTGGGCATTTTCTATCCACGAGTGTTTGTGGGACACTGCTGTGCGCAATTAGCTGCCGCGTTTCGCCCACAAATATACGATCAATTCACTTTACAGCATATTCTGTGAAGCGCTTTGAGATGTCTAGAAGACTTGAAAAGCGCTATATCAAATGCAAGGATTATTATCATATACAAAATGTAATTTTATATTGTATTGTATGTACATCTCACCTTCTTGGTGTCTGAATCGCGATTCCCGAGGTATCCATGAGGAAGGTTAGCAGAGACTGGCAGCTGCTGTTCAGATGTAACTACTCTGCCGTCTTTCAGTAGTGGAAGCCAGCAACAGCCAACTGAGTGAACACAACAAAGATAACCAGATTACATGGAAATAGCAATACATTTCTTACTTGAAAAACAGTCTCTTAATTTAAAAAGAAATGAAATTGATAAGCACTTAAATGAATAAGAAAAAACATGGAGAGAGAACTATCCACTGAAATGATTCTCCTGGACACGGATGCGAAACATTATTAAAAAAAAAGTAAAACAAAGAAGTGGACCGATGACCATTCTAGGAGCTAATCTGGTGATCTCTGAACCCGGAAAGGTGCAGTACTGATGAGTCTGTGTGGTTTATTGATTTAGGGTATTGTTCAGTGTTAGGATACCAATGGAAGCACCCTTCTCTTTTTGAATAGTGTCATTGGGTCTTAAACAGACCAGACATCCAAAGGGCCCTCCCTCAAGCAATGTACTTAAGTTTTATCCTAGACTAAATGAGCTCAAAGAATCAACATGTTGCTTGAACCTACACCTTTCTGACTTGGAGGCGAGATTGTTCCATGTGAACTAGGCTGACCTGAAGAGCTATCATTTAGCATCAGATATTCAGTCACTGTGCTGTTTGGCATTTGTCACCTTGTTAAATTCAACATGAAGACCTACCTTGTGATTCAACATTTTCCTGTTTTTTGGTAGTTCCTTTACTGTTTATGTCACAGCTGATGTGGTAAAATGTGAACAGAAGATGGTGTTTTTCATGAAGATGCACAGGCAGCTCAATTTTGACCTATGAAAATCACCAAACACAAGTGAAGGTAAATAACACCATCATGGAGAAGGGATTAATGTGCATTTGAATACATAAGAGCAGTGGATTTACCTCATTATAGAACTCCGGACTTTGTTGATGATGTTGGACTGTAGCATATGCTTGTGTTGTAAATACAGGGCCTCCTGGTTTGCCATAGATACACTTTAGACAAATTATAAAAAGTGTGATTATTACTGGAAGGTAATTTATATATTAAAACATTTCAGCACCAATAAAACAATATGAGACACAAAAAAATGATAGCAGAATTAGGTATAAAGCATATGAACAGAGGATAATCATACAATACAAATTTACATCGCGCTTTTCACATCTCAAAGCAGTTGATAATGCTGGATGGATGCTTGAGCTGGGGAGAGGAATTGGAAGATGACTGAAAACACAGTCAAAGAGATTTGTTTTGAAGCGTGCCTTGAACGAGGCATGAAGTTAAAGTGGAAAATTTTACCTTCCATACAGACTTTCCAAAATGACGGCCAAAATAATTCACACAGACTAATAAATGTTATTCAATTTCAATCCAAACTGTTTCAATACCCATGGATTGCTCCAAACCAATCTGTACAGATATGCTAATCTTGTCACTAACCTTCAAGGGGCGCGAGTTTTCTCCATCAGAATCTCGGACTTCCACACAGACTCCAATGTTTCTTGCCTTGAAACATATTTGCACAAAATTGAGAAGTTAGGTAACTTCAGGAATATTTTTGTAAGTTGCCAGTGTCATGCTTTGTATTGGTAAAACAAATGAGATAATTTTTATCTACATTACCTTAGCAAATGACTTTTGGTTGTCATATTTTAGTTGGTTGGGGTAAACATACAAATGGTTTTTGTAGCTGGCAAATGGATGCAAATATTTTGCAATATCTGGAACAAACTCTTCGATTTCAAATGATACACAGCTGCAATTGGCTTCCTCAAAAGGCTTTATCGGGATGTATGATGATGTAACACTGCCTAAACAAGACAAAAAGTGGAATTTAATTGATGTTACAGCTTAGTATGTCTATAGCATCCCTTTACAAAGTTATGATGCTCAATAAATTGTGGAATCCTGTAGCTCAGTGGTTAGAGCACTCGCCTTGCAAGCGAGACACCTGGGTTCAATTCCAGGCAGAGGGCGAAACCTTGGGCAAGTTTCCTTACTCCACACGCCTAATAATAATCCCTCCAAAACAATAATAAATTGGTCATTTTTTTATCCACGACTGTTTGTGGGACACTGCTGTGCGCAATTAGCTGCCTCGTTTCGCCCACAAATATACTATCAATTCACTTTACAGTCTATTCTATGAAGCGCTTTGAGAATTCTAGAAGACGTGAAAAGCGCTATATCAAATGCAAGGATTAAATTAATAAAAAATTTAATCTAACAATAATAATCTTCGCATTTGATATAGCGCCTTATCATGCTGTTGAGATGTCTCAAAGCGCTTCACAGGATATACTGTAAGGGGGATTGACTGTGTATTTTGTAAATGACAATACTCACTGGAAACGTCTGGAGGAACGCATTCGATAGTCACATTTAAATTTCCTGGGATCATCTGAAGTTTAGACATCTTCTCTGGCCTAAATTAGACAGTAGGAAATATAAATTAATGTATAGATGCATCATCTATGAGAACAGCGACTTCGGAAACCGAGTGTCTAATTCGAGCAGTTTAATTAAACAGTAAATCTTATCAAAACAATTACATTTTGACATGCTCAATTAGCTGCCAGCTTGACTCCCAAGCAAAGGTTTACAAGTTCACATTCCAAAGCTCCCTGTTTGCCAAAGTTCAACCCTTATTTGCCTCAAAGTGTCATCTGACTTGTTCACTTGAATCATGTCTGCTGACGTACAGGGTTTGACACTGGTACAAGCTGTGAATAAGTTTGCAGCTAAAAATGCATCACTTTCTGGAAGCAAAGAAGACTGTGAGGTGACAAGCAATTAGCAAGATGCCAAAATGATGAAAAGGAGAGAACATTTAAGGGGTTTTAATAATTAAGGGCATTCTACAAAAATACATCATAAGGTACATATCTCTACCCTTATCAGTGCTCCAGTCATTTTTATTCACTCCACGTTACAACATCACAAGTTCTGCGCTCAGATCCGTCTGCACTGAACTACTGATCTCAGCTGGGATGGTGGGAGCTTAACCAATTATTAAAGGTCTCAGCCAAATATTGGAGAGAAGCTTCTTTCTTTGTGTGCCGATCAAAACAAATCCTTACTTTAAATACTGTTGGACAGTTTTGCAGCCAAGTACTCACTTCCTGAAGTCTGCTAGCAGTTTAAACAGGTCTTCGTTCGAGAGCTTATTACTGTCCTGTTTGTACAAAGATGAGAACTTTCCATCTGTGTCCAGAGAGCCCTGAGTATCTTTAAACACTGGCCTGACGAAAGAAAAGAAAGTTAAACCACTTATTGCAATTTCACCCCAACTTCAATTAGAATCAGAACATTTGATTTAAAAGGTGGGTCTTAAAAAGACCAGGTGAAATGTGAAGAGTCCCTTCCCCATTAGTCTAATCTACTCAATGTGACACAAGGTTGGGAGTTTGGAAATCTGCGAATGCAAACTCATTAGGGATATTAAAAACTCACCTTGCAGCCCAAGCAAAAGCCATTTTGTAGCACCCAAGCCTGCTGCATATCTGTTTGGCAATTTTAAGCACTTTTTGGGCCGTCTAGGAAACAGATATTAAAATATTGTTAGAAAGAGGTTGCACAGTTGCAAATGCAGATCAAAATAACTTAGAAACTTCAGTTTGCTGAGGAGCATTCTTGCTGCTTAAAACATTTCCCCATTTGCTCACTCTAAACCATTAGAACTCTTCTACTATGAGAAAAAAACAATTTCTTTTCATAACTGACTTTTGCAAAAGAAAAACGGTAGTTACTTCATAAAAGACACAATACCTTATTTGCATCAGAACATTTGATGTATGGTTCTGCACACTGAGCAATTCCTCCTTGTAAGACCTTTTCTATTCGTGCCACCAGGAAAATATCAGGGTGGGAGGCTGTCACTGAAAATATGCCCTGCAATAAAAACACATCATAAATGTACAATGTAAGAGGGGGCAGCAGTGGCTCAGAATATGAAGTCCAGTGTTCTTTCTACTAAATCTAAGCATTGCCAAATAGTAAATCTATTGAAGTTATTTCCTCACAATCAAAACAAAATTATTATCTATGGCAACGAGTGTTGCAAGGCCCATATGTTTTGAACGACTGATATCAATCGCTGACTAAGTGCTGCTTACTCCTTTAGTTCCATTGACAATTTTCAGATGATTTGTCTGTCCCATTTTTAAGGTTATGAATGCATATTGTAAATGGTGTCCTGCTATAGAACAGTAGATGGACCAGGGAGAGAGCAAGGTAAACAGGGGTATGTGGAAGTTAATAAACTGAATGCTGACATGTTAAAATTGCACTTAATTCCTTCCACAGTAAACTTAGTTAGCCAGAAGTTGTGCCAAAATTGGTACCAATCAAACTTGAAGAGGCCGACTTCAGGGCGGAAACATGTTCACCATAGACGGGCGGGCATTGAATGGTTTTTGTAACAGCTGAGTCCAGCTGATATCGTCAGTTTATAAACTGTGCACTCTATAAAGCTGTGCACCATTGGGGAATTGTGCGGAATAACACAATGCCAGAAACCATGATAAGAACAGACTTTATTCCCTAATAGGATTTTGTTAAACATTTAGGTTCGGTCAAAGCACCACACAGTACCTGTTTTGGATAGCGCAGCAACCTCTCAGATACTCCTTGAAGGCAAGCGTCATTAGTAGTAGACGAGCCAGCACTTGCTAAGCTATTGCCAGATCCATTATCTGAGTCCCTTGGTAACATTTCCAAGACTGCTGGGGGATTCAGGTCCACATGGAAGTCTTCTGATATCTTGCGATTATTCTTCGCATCAAACAGTGCCAGGGTAACAAAAAATGGCTCAACCTGAGAATTGAAAACAAGCTCAGGTATAAGATGGGGGAAATATTTAATGTGCTGGACTGCATAATGCTTTTGATATAACATGGAGGTGCTGAAAAACTTCCACTCAATGTGTTGGGGTTTGCGCGAATTAACTAATTTGATTGCTATGCGACTCCTGGCATACAGTCTGATGTTTCAATACTTTTACATGTTGATTCAAATGACGTTGTGCCAACCTAGAAAATACCATACACTGTTGGGTTACTGCTTTTATTGAGATTGCTTGTGTACATGCAATAGAGGAAAACTTTCACTCAGTGGTTTGAGGTGATCAAGATCAACAAGGTGTTAGATCTCACATGTCGTGTTATCTGTGATTAATTATCAGACAAACTTAAGACTCAGGTGATGCAAAAATAATATTTCAAAGACAACTTACATTTGTTGCCGTTCTATCTGTCTTGTCATTCACACAGCCTTGCAGAGTGAAGGATAAGTCATGGCATTTCACCATAAAGCGTTTGCCAAACTTGTCCTCAAATGGTTTCACATCTGGTTCAATTCCTGAAAAATCCAGTTTCTTAAAAACAAAACAAAATAACTGTTGTTCTGAGGAAAAAGCTTCAACATCAAACAATGTGCCATAGAATTAGAATCATTTCTCTAAAATTATTCCCCCCCGCAAACCACCCTTTCTATTTTAAGTATCATACTTTCACATTCCACACAAGATAAACCTCATCCACAAGGAGCAGAGTTCAGCGGTAATTCTAGTCCACTTCTGGACAATTTACAGGGGCTTCACATCATTGTAATATATGACATTCTGCACCTTTAATTCTGTAGTTTTACTCTTACCTGTGTGTCTGGGTCCAAAGCAAACAATTTATATCTGCCTTCACTTCTGTTGACCTTATTCAGGTAATCAGATTCTCGGGCATACTAGAAACAAATAAAAATAATCACATTTTCAGGCAGGATCCAGAACATCATCTTACTTCAATTCTATGCAGTTTAACTATGTCTATTGACTGATCTTGGCATCATCAGTAGTGATTTAAAAAACGCGGTTTAGTTTGTCTAAGATCTAAGCACCAAAAATAGACTGAATTATTTCACTGTACAGCCTGGTGTATTTATGGTTGAAGAAAACAAACACATACGACTTATAACAATTGCATTGCTTGGGGAACATGAAAAGTATGATACATTGTATTTAAAAACTTTTCTTTGCCAATAACACTTCATAAACCAGCATTAAGTCCAAATATTTATTGTCAACATATTAATTCCAAGGGATTTCAAAGTATCGTGAGGATGTCCCAAGGAGCTGCATAGTGAAGAGTTTGCACCTGAGTTGGGGGCTGAAGTCAATAGGGGGTGGATGGTAACGGTGGAGATGGGGAGATGACTGAAGGTACAATCAAAGAGGAAGGTCTAAGACAGATCATGAATGAGGCAAGGGAGGGAACAAGGCAGAGGGGTTCCAGGATGGAGTTCCAGAGGGTGGGGCAAAAAAGCTGAAGGCCCGATTGCCGATCGTGGAGCTTCTAAAATGAACAAAAATACTCCTGAAAAAATTGAGTATGTAATTTTTTCTGCTTACAAGAATCAAAACACTAAAGTTCCTACAAAGCAAAAGTACCCAAGTTATTCTGACAGTGATCAGTGAGAATACCTTCATTAGCTCTGGATGCATGCTTTTCTCCAAACTCTCCATCATACTTTCAGACTTTCCTTGGCTGAATGATTCTTCATCTATACGTTAAACACAAAAAATGTCCTTAAACTAGCACACAGCTTGCAAACACCAGTAATATGCCTGCCACTCTGCTAATCAGACTGCCCAGAAGACCAACGGATTCAGAGCTTAAAAAAAACTGCAACTATTTAGTTTTTTTTTTAAAAAATCCTAAGGATGGCTTAGGTGAAAACATGACCTTCCAGATGCAATTTACTTGCAACTCTACCATTCCCTTGTACCTAGCAAAGAGATCTCTTTGCACTTATGATAGTACACAAATCATTTACACCGTTTATAGCCTGTAACTTCAGCAACCGATTTCAGTTGAGTTGCTACACATGGCTGAGTTGTCAAACCCAACTCTCAGCCAACTTCTGCCTATCTACAAAGCGTATTGATAACGATGGCATTTTACGGATAATTACCCAGTCCACTTTCAAGTGATTCTCCGTTTCTCTTCTCATGCATCACAGTGTCAGCGTAGCTCTGAATGCTCTTCTTTAAAGTAGACACCCACTCGTCCATTTCTTGCTCGCTGTCTGCTGCTAAATGACAGCTGCACTTCTCCTGCATTCGGAGTTCAAAGCCATATCGACGCATCTTGGAACACTAGAACATTGAACAGCACGAGCTCAGATCTGTTCTTCTATAAACCTTTATTGCCATTTTATGAAATAGACATATCAATGCAAAAAAAGTTAATTTGGACAGAATACAGTTAATGATTACCCGGTTACGGAGATCACTTGCTCAGACACCATCTCTTTTCCACTATAAAGTGTTTGCTTGAGGAAATACAGTAATAGGTCTGCTTGGCACAGACCATTCCCATTGATGGATTTATGATGTGTAATACAAACCAGCTAATGGGCAAGCTAATGGAACAAACCATTAAAGTCACATTTTCACCTCACATATCAATCATCCAAATATTTCTCAAGGTGTGTTTAAAAGGAATATGTTATTCACCAAAGTCCAAAGCATACGTAGTTGAAAAGGGAAGTGAATAGCAAACAACGGTAAAAAATTATTAGAATAAGCATAGATGTGGTTTAAAACGAAATAACTTTTTTATATGAAGTTAATTACCTGTACAACATCATTGCAAGAATCCAAGAAGATTGATGCTTTGGACTCTTTACAGACTTTCTCATCTTTGCAAAAATTAAGTGTGTAAGAGCCATCAGATTGCTGTGTCAGGAAACAGAACCGCCGCTTAAATACCTGGAAATAAAGAATCAGTTCATCATCTTTCTGGTAAAATAATTATTTTTATATTTAACCAAAACTCCATTGAAACTCCATCAAGATCAATGCACACAATATAACTACCATGAGAAGAAAGAGGAAAACAATGTAGAACAGGAAGCATGCTAGCATCTTTTTATAGCAGCTTTGGTTTACTGTTTTAGATTGAAGATGAACATGAGCTATCATCTTTATTATTATTACCAAGGTAAAAAGCACGCATAGGCATAACGGTTGGATGAAATACTAGCTCATATTTATCTTTGCATTCAGATTTTTGAATAATGCCTGATAATAATTCTTCAAGAAAAAAAATAAATTGGTCACTTCAATCCACGACTGTTTGTGGGACACTGCTGTGCGCAATTAGCTGCCGCATTTTGCCCACATCTATACAGTCAATTCATTTTACAATATATTCTATGAAGCTTTTTTTTGAGACATCTAGAAGTCGTGAAAAGTGCTATATCAAATGCAAGGATTATCTATACAGTGAATCAAAAAGGAGTCAGCTCCTTAAGGAGAGGCAGGGTGTGTTCCTTTTGAGGTGGAAAATCAATGAGAGAAAATTAAAAGCAAAGATTTTTCAGCAACTGAATGGTCAGCAATTAGCATATCAATCTAGTCAATTAAATTACACCACCCCTATTACTGCTTGCCAGTTCAGTAGGTTAATTTCATTTCCTCTTATACAAGATCTCATTTCCTGGTGCAATGTGATGCAATAGTCACAGTTTAATATGAAAACAACGCTATTCCTATTCATGGTAAAAAAATAAAATCACTCACAAAAGAGTTACTTGACTATCCAACAAATAGGCTATGCTTTCTCTCGTATTTCTGCACATTTTTAAAAAAAACTATTCCAATTCACGTTGTGGAGAGATTAAAACAATATCTGCCTTGCACCAGATCCCATCTTTCTCATAGAGCTGAGGTCATCTTACCCTCATTGTAACACTGATGGTACTGTTCATGTTGGCTTTGAATAGCCATCCTTGTTTAATGATTCCTCCTTTCTGTGAACAAATTGACGAGACATCCTAAAAGGGACAAGATCAGGAGTGAATTGAATATCTGCACTAATGTATCTTGAGTAACCAAACTGTCCAGCTGCCCACCCAGGTTCAAACACTCATCTCATATTGATTTGATATTACATTACAACTAATAGGTACTAAATCTGAAAAGTAGAATCTATTCACAAAGCATGGTTATGTCTGAACCAACGGATAATGCTTTGTGAGGGAGGCAGTGGGGTGGGAGGAAAGCAACAAGTCACAGAACAAAATTGTGTAGATCTTGTCATCATTCTTCACACTTACACATTCCCAGGCTTGTTTCTGATATTTAAAGTGCGATCCTTCTACACTCACATAACTACCATTGCTCCCTGTCTACTCACACAATTATAATACATCAGTTGGGGATCCATGAAACGAGAACCCGGGTTCTAATGTGTCATGTCAAAATCAAGGTGTGGCTGTCACTCAGTATTCCTAGGTCGTCAGGTCACTGCTGAGATCACAAAGCTGAACTGCAAACGTGTACAGAAAGTCAGTACAGTAGTCACAGCATTTCCATTGGTTGCTGATTGAAGCAGGATGTATACTGCATTTGCTTATAATGGATACTGAAACACAGCATCACTGCACTGCTAGAGGGCTCGAACTGCAGCCCTGCATGAGCCAAGCATGCCTTCAGCACACGGAGTGAGAGCATTTTGGGGAGGGAAGTAAAAAAAAAGTTCATTGTGGTCTAAATTTTAGTGTTTGAAATCAGTCATGATATAACCTAACTTGAAAGAAAATCGACACACATTTATCTGCGTGTTCAAGATTGTAACAGAAGCTTGGGTTCTGAACGCTTCACAAACTGCTCATAAATTTATCCATGACGTCCACGTGAGCAGAATCTTTCAATTGTCAACACTCTTGTAACATGCTCCCAGTCAACTGGTCTCTAGATTACAGGCAGCAGAGTTTGACCTTTTGCTTAGTGCCTTGCGGAACACACAGGAGGATCTGGTTTACCTCATCTTTATCAGCATCTTCATCAACTTCAAATAGATGCACAGGCAGTTTCTCTGGTTGAAGCCCTTTGCTAATGGAACACAGAATCACAATGGTAGATGTATTCTTCACAAAGGAAAAACATCAAGAAACAAAAACATCTACTTTGTGTATTTACAAAGCAGTGTGAATGCATCCATTACATTTGTACCGCCCTCTAGACTATATGGGATTCCTGATGAACAAATCCCATATTACTGCTGTTAAATCACATGATTGGATGATGCTATTCTAACTCCAGCTGCCATCACACCTTTACTTAAGGGAAAAAGTAAAACAAGGTTTTGGAACATTAACACTGAACAGCTGAGGTGATGATTAAACAGCATAAGTGAATGATGTCACCTCAACTCTTTAATAATTTGGTTCATGTTACTGTACATTAGTTAAATCTTATATAATTATTTACCACTTATAAACCCAATTAAAGTAATATCCTGCTGAGAGCACATACATTTAATCTCATTTTCAGAATGCGTTCGGGGGAGATATGGCTAGAATCTCGGCTGGATGGCAGCATTAATGAAAGACATTTCTATTGAGTACAAACAGAGTATCACCCACAAAATCTATACATGGATGCTAGGAAAAAGATGCTGAAAGTTGAAATTCTTGTGTTCCACAACATTACTAGAAATCCCTTACCTGGGCAAGATCCTGAAGTCGCCTGAATAATCTTCATATTTGCAGTTTACTACCTGCCAGTTGGAGTTATAAGTCTTAATGCACTGTAAATGGAAGAAAATTAAAGTTTACTTATTCCCAAACGTTATTTATCTGCTTAGAAAACAAGCTGCAAATCTAGATAGGAAAAAGCTCCACCTTAAATAGGTTTAAGATTATATACATCAAAGATAAGTGATGAGGGGTAATTACACAGTTCACGCATTTTGAGCAAAGTAGACCTGGATATGAGTTTGATTAACCTGAGACCTCTGCACATGTACAAATAAACAGATGCAAGGAACTCCACTATCTGTGAGTCAATGCAGGAAAGGGGGAAGGACAGTCACAGGCCTGAGTTGGTTGACAAGGCTTGGAAACTGGATGACTTTACTGGGTGATGGCAAAGCATCATTTAGAAGCCTTTAATTAGCAGTCGCGGAACTGACCTCAAAGCAAGATTAAAAGGCAAGATTAAAATAGGATTGTGGGGAAGGGAAGAATGATTTTATAAATCCAATGTCATGTCAGAGTTATGCTACCACTTTGCTTAGTTTCGTAAAGTGCCCCCACTTCATAATTGTGAGATAATGGATACATCTAAACTATCCTAGTTTGTAACTGTAATTTTACACAAGTGATATAGTATTCTCTATGAACAAGTAGGCATTCATTGGAGTACAGTTCCATCTGATGTACCTCTTTAACCAGCAGGCTTTGTGCCAGTTTTGCAGTAGCTGCAGGCACTGTGGAGTGGAGTGTTCTTCTCTGACGTGGAACTGTAGAGATCTGTTCAGAAAAAGATAATGCAAAGTTCAGACAGAATATAAATAATATTTGGTATTTAATTGAGATATTAACAAAAAGTAATTGTTAATATCAGCATTACATCAAGACTTGGACGTATCGGTTATCTCCCAAAGCATGGTCCTTTGGGATGTTGAACCTTTGCTCTCGAGGGCAGATTCAGCTTCACATCATAGCTTTAATTTCAATGTTTTGAATGCTTGGTTCATGACTCAATCTCACCACTTATTTCTGGGTTAACACGATGTCATTCCAAAGTTGCCCCTTTCGAGAATATTTTTAAATAAGATGAAGTGGGAAAGATAGTGAGTGTGACCTTTAAATTCTTAAAAAGGTCTAGTTACTTACAATTTCATTGTGGGCAATTTTTCTTCTTTAAGTTATACTGGTTTAATATTTTACCTACCCCCAATTTGCAACAGTCTTCTGGCAACATTCTCAAGTGTTCATCACTGTTGATTCCAATCGTATCCCACCTAACATTAACATACACATACATTTTCCATCACTAGGCAATGGATGGATTTTTAAAAATATATTAATGTTCTTCCGAAGAAGAATAGGATTGTTTGCCAAGTTAGTTGATAGACACCAGCTTTACAAATGCACAGTATTTACTTACAGAAACATCATCTAATGGGAACTGCAATAGGTCCCGCAGAGGATCACTTTGAATCTGTGACTTTCTTTGCACAATAACATCCTCATAATCCAGCGGTTCAATTATTTTGTTTTTTTCCTGTAAAGAAAGCAAATTGATAAGTGCCATCCTTGTAGGGTCAAAGTGAACACAAATAATAATCCTTGCATATGATATAGTGCCTTTCACGTCAGGAAGACATCTCACAGTTCTTCACGGGATTTACTGTAAAGCAGTGACTGTGTGTTTTGAAGGACCAAACCCCAAACCTTCTCTTGCAGATGCTCATGATGGGATTAATCCTATTTATTTCTATGCATTTTGGTGTTATGTTTAGGTTTCTTCCAGCTGGTGGTGTACACCAAACCTAGAGAGGAGATTTACAACTGTTTAGGCCTGGCTGAATATACAGCCAATCTATTGTGAAATCTATTTCACTGAGCACCAGAGAGGGTGGAGCCAGGAAAATCCTGGATTCAACCGAACACACGTCAGACTATATTAGTCCAAGAAGTGTTTGATTCTGACCCTGGATACACAAAGGAAATAAAAATCTGTTCCTCACAGTGCCTTATTAAAAGTCAAATATCTCATGTTTATGCAGAAACGTACTAAATCAAGTGGTGTATACTTTACTAGATGCTCTGTGGAGATTGGCACAAAAGAGATCCTCTGACTAATATGGTTATGTAAAATGCAATATGGTATTCACAGTTTTCTAGAAATCGATGTGAGCAGTACATGTGCTGATGCAAAACAAAAGTTTGTATTGACCTTATGAAGTCCCATTTTTTGCAATGAAGTGGGTGCAAATTTGTCAAAAGGACAGGTTAGATGACAATGAAAATTACTCTTAAAGTCTACAAACAGGTATAAGGTGAAAGATCAATATTTCTGGAAGATTGTTGGCCAGGAAACTCAGAGAACTCAGTCTCTCTTCAAACACTGTCATAGGATCTTCAGTGTGCACCTGGACAGGCAAAGAAATATCTTCCCAGTGACTCTGGAAACAGTAATATGAACAATCCCCCCAAGGGCTATTTTCTTCACCTTTTGGTGGTTCAGTGCCCAAACTACAAATCCTGGCATTGTCTGGCATGAGTCTTCATCTGCAGTGATTGAAGAAACCGCAGAAGAAAATAAAGTTGAAAGCTGTACATCTGCACATGTACAAGTTTAAATGTGCTCAGCGATTTCTCCGGTTATGTAGAATACATTCCTCCTCTCTACCACACCCCACAATACAAACAAGGTGATTTCCAGAGCAGAGCAGCATTATCTTTCGCTTTAAGCAGTATTCTCAAAATGGAGGCATTCCTTTAAGAAATGAAATACTGGGTGCCAAAAGGTCAAGCTAAAATTTGCATGTGGTTAGATGTCTGGTGTTTTGCATGCAACAAAAAATTAGGATGTGATTTTTTAATCTTCAATTTCATCAGTCATTCAAGTTCTAATGGTGAGCAGCAGATAAATAAGTATAGGAAGTCTCACACTTTATAAATATAACACATAGATTCTGAAGAATTTACACAAGTTCAAGCTTTTATTAATTCCATTCAATACTCAATTGAGGGTTAAATCTCCAAAATAAGCCATTCACCCATATTCAGTCTTTTTCATTCTCCCACGATAGTGAAGGCGTAGAGATGATCACATTTTACACACAATATTCAATCACTTCTTGAAGAGTAACCTATTAACTGAACTAAAGAAACATACTCTCCTATAAGATAGCCAAAAGGATTGCAGCACCTATTCAAAGAAGTCATTGTTCCGGTCTTCTGCGCCTTGACCTGCTCTGCCTTCCCCCACCTCTACAACGTCGCCTGGCTCCGCCACTGTCTCACACCGCAGGCCACCGAAATCCTCATACATGCTTTCATTACACCGAGGCTCGACTTCACAAACCCATTGCTTGTTAGCCTCCTCAACTCCTCCCTCCACAGGCTGCAGATCATCCAGAACTCTGTAGTCTGTGTCCTCTCCCACATTAGGCTCCACGACCCTATCACCTATCCTCGCCCAACTCCACTGGCTTCCCATCAAACAGAGGATAGTATTCAAGATCCTGTTCCTCTCCTTCAAAGCCCTCCACGATCTTGTCCTCTCTACCTCTGTGAGCTCCTAACCCCCTAACATCCTGTTCGCTCCTAACCCCCTAACATCCTGTTCGCTCATTCCGCTCAGTGGACTCCTGCCTGCTTCACGTCCGCCCTTGCTTCCCCCACTTTTGGCGGGCGGGCCTTCTGCCTCTCTGCCCCCACCCTCTGGAACTCTATCCCACAGTCCCTCCGTCTCACCCTCCCTTGCCACCTTCAAGACCCTCCTCTTCGACCGTGCTTTCAATCTCCCCCCCGCCTTCCACCCTCCCCCATCCCAATCCCGACGTGAAAAGCACTTTACAAATGTAATTTTGTTGTTGTTGTTAATACCACTTTAACATTGCAAAACAACTCACTGAAAACTATTGAGACACATTCTTTAATAATAATAATCCTTGCATTTGATATAGCACCTTATCACCTCTTTGAGACGTCTCAAACCGCTGCACCGAATATACTGCAAAGTGAATTGACTGAATATTTTGTGGGCAAAACTTTATGCTTCTACTGCACCCACTGTCCCTTTAGAAGTTCTATTCTATGGAAATTCTGAACGAGGAAAGGCTGGTTTCATCAACCTCCTGTCTAATGCAGAATGTAAAATGTTTTACAATAAGTGAAACCACAGACCAACTTCCGATTGCAGCACTATTTCAACAGCAGTGACTTACTCATCAATCTCCTTGTAAGGACAACAAATTAACAAGTCTAAGTGAAAGAAAAACTACACTTAAAAAACATAGTTTCTGACCCCAACCATTTAGAATTTATTGCCTTTTTTAAATCTATGCCCTGATCTATTTCGCCTCCATTGCCAGTTGCTGGAAAGAACAAAGAGGATCTATGTAAACAAACACTGCAGCACTGCACTTTTTCTAAATACGGTGGACCAGTGGATGCTAGTATAATAATAAAGCAAGCAATGTGAATCGCAATGTGTAAAGAAAGTTGTAATGCTTTTGAAATTATATTTATTTCTACTTCACAGCTACATGACATCTTCAGCCCTTGTATACCGAGTGCTGTATGCACAAAGATTTTTATTCAAATTAATATGCTTGGTGTCAGAATAATGAAAACAGCCTTCGTTTTAAATAGAATTACAAAAACCATTAAGCACAGAATCAGGCCATCCAGCCCAACTAGTCTGTGCTAATATGTATACTCTATATGAGCCTCCACCCATCCTAATCACCCTCTCCTGCTCATATCCATCTATTCTTTCTCCCTCCTGTATATGTTTTGCATTAGGAGCAAGAGTAAATCATTTAGGTTAAAGCCACACCCATCTCAGGTCAACTGGGGTGAACACACATTAACCTTACTTGTCTAGCACGATTACACCTAACCGTAGTAACGCTATACAGTGGGTCTGATTCAGTTTTATCTGAATCTCTGAGCTGCAGAATACCAGATTGTGGGGCAGTGCCTTTGAATCACCCAGCGATGAGTCTGTTTCAGTTAAACTCATAAATCTACTTACCAACAAAAGTCTATTAGTGTGCCCAGTAAGTAAGAAGACCAGCAACAATACACATCAAGACATGCACACGATTCCAGGACATTGCATTAGCTCCTAGGGCTATATTCTAGCTCAGACAAGACTGATCAAGCCATCACTTCTACTGGTCCTGATGTTTGCAACTAGGACATTTTATATAATGAATATTAAATTGAGCATTGAATTTAAAACACAAAACTTTGGCATCTAATTTAGCAACCAGCACTTTTTTTAAAAAAAAACTACCTTCTTTCCCATCTCTCCCCAGTTGCCTCCCTCCCACCACAGCTCCCAATCACATCTGGCTCTTAGTACACATCTGTGTTGAAATTTAGACTTTTCTGTTGTGGCTCATACCCACCAAAATTGGTAGCTCCTCAAATTTCACACAAGTCCCTTGCAGCCAGCAGAAATGAAACTGTCATCCATCCTCACAAGTTGAATGCAGGCCAGAGATAAAATTCCGAGTGCCTATCTCAGAAAAACTTTTATATCTTATTTGGACCCCTGCCTGGTTCTCCTGTTAGTATTCAGTGCAATTTTTCTTTTTTTTAAAAAGGAGTCATTCACTTACATGATAAGAATAATAATCCTTGCATTTGATGTAGCGCTTTTCACGTCTTCAAAACGTCTCAAAGCGCTTCACAGAATAGACTGCAAAATGAATTGACTGTATATTTGTGGGCGAAACGTGGCAGCCAATTGTGCACAGCAGTGTCCCACAAACAGTCGGATTGAGTGACCAAATTATTATTGTATTGTTTATTTCTTGAGGGATTATTAGCAGGTGTGTGGAGTAAGGAATCTTGCCCAAGTTTTCGCCCTGCTGGGAATCAAGCCCAGATCTCTTATTTGCAAGGCGAGCGTTCTAATCACTGAGCTACAAGACTCCACAGGAATGATACAGGAATGATATTGATGTGTTACTCATACAAGTCTAGTCAGTTGGCTTTGGACAATTTTCGTTTCACTCCAGGACCCGGCCCCACACGAAGGGCACTATATAAATGCAAGTTGCTGTTGTTGTTTTCTCTACTCTTGACGGAACAATTTTTTTTGCTGCGGTTAAGTTGCATGGGGCATGTTCAGTCTCACACTACCTCAACCAAGTGACCAGTCTTGTATGAGCAACATCTCAATACACTGTTGTCCATGAGGGTCATTACAACAAACAATAATCCTGTCCACCAGTATGTGTATCTGGGGAGTGAACTGTGGCAGACTTCTTCTCCAATAGCCCAGGGTCCAACTATAGTGTTCCAACTGTTAAGTCATCCCAATTGAGGCTCTGAACATATCTTCTGATATGGTTGGCACTGAGGTACTGGGCACTGCCTTTAGCTACTAAGCCATTAGGAAAGCCGGAGGACTGTGTGATTTAAAGGATTCATGATAAGAGGACCTGAATTCACATCACTTTGATGAAAAAAATCACACCACACTTTTGAAAAAGGTACATAATCATCTGTGTAATGAAGAGCATCAACCTATTTCTAAACGTGCTGTAACTAATCTGCTTTCCTTTTCACTTCTGTGTAAAAATTTAAAATCCACACCTAGTTATTTAATTTTAATAAATAGAAGAATGTATTTTCAGTCTGTAAGAATAGCTCGCGTATGCCTTCATGAAATTAGAACTCATTGAGCTGTTTTCCACACAGGCCATTACTCACATGCACATGAAGCTTCAGCGAGATCAATATGTATTACACAGGTCACTTGGGACCTCAACGCACTAAGTAAAATTACAAAGACTAAATTAAGACGTTAGTTCTCCTAGCAACAGTCAATATCCACCACTGCTGACAGATCTTGCTGCACTTTTAAGTGTTTCTGTTATCCACTGGAAAGAAGTAGTTCAGCAAAGCCAAAATTCTGTAATCAGCTGAACAGCTTGTGATGTCATCTACAACTCTCTAAGGCATTTCAACTGGCTATCGGTCATCTCAGAAAGATCTGGTAAAGCTTTGACAAATGCACTAAGTGGTACAGTATTCTACATAATGTACAACAGATGCTCCTTCAGCTAACACATTGCTTTAAGCACATCTGTGTGAAGATTCAAGTGGTTTATTATTTTTTTCAAAAAAATAGTGCACTTTTTATTTCTGGTAACAAATCTAGGTAGCCTGGTCCATATAAAAGTGTGTCCACGTATGAATTACCATTTTTTTTTTCTATTTATCTTTCTGGCTGAAGGAATGCTGATGGAAGATTCCATTTTTATTTATGATCGCGTTTCTCAAAGTAAGGCAGTTTAGCCAATTAAGAAAGCAATCTTATCCACTGCCTGTACCGATGAGACTAAGTGGAATCTTAGCCAGGAAAAAAATGTTTCCGCTCCCTGATTATTGAGGGTCACAAGTTTAAAACGAATACTGGCAACTACTCACGACTCTTTTCAGATACAAACCTACAACACAAAATGCTCTGAATTAAGCACTTAATTGTTTAGCTTACTCTACAGGATGCCCGGAAATGAAGAGAAAGCTGAAAATTTGGCATGGTGTAATATTGTGCATTGGCTGCACTGTGCTAAGAGCTCTGACCTGCTGCACTGTGGAGTTACCCACAACCATCCAAACTCAAGAGCTTTTTTATGTCAGCTGTGACACTCCAGGGAAACAATAAGCAAAGGCCATGTACAATAACAAGGAGGAAGTAGGCAAAAAAAAACTGCCACCCAAGTCAATAGCATTAAAGAAAACCTCAATCATTGCTACTCAACGCCTACTTCCATTTCCCCACTCCACTTTTTAAACACATAAAAAGTTACAGGAAATTCTGGCAGGCAAGTTGTAATTTCTTCCCCTCTCTCTGGTCAATGATACCCTTGACAGAGATCAGGTGCCTTGCCCAGGATAATAACTCTGAGACCTTGATGCACTGCACAGTTTGATGCTATTCGGAGCTTTTACTCAGTGAACCATCAGCAAACTATAGATTCCTGTTACCTCTCCTGTCTCCAGATTTCCTTTTCTTTATGTTTGAAAAAAAAGTACAAGTAATATGCCGCATTAGTCTGTGCTGAACAACTAGCAAAATATATAATTCAAGTACAATATGCCCCCAACTATGGTTCAGTTAGAAGCAAAAGAGGAGTTTTGCAGAATCTAACCCCTAGTTGTTACAGTGGAGGTTTAGATGCCGAAATGAGCAATAATTTGTATAGAACAGCCTCTGGGCTTTGCAGTACTTGGGTTATAATGAACTTAGTGTTGATTTATAACTGGAATAACAAGCCCTCAGGTTTCCCCATCATTCCATTAGGAGTATTACAATGTTACAGGAGTTGTGACAAACTTGGGAGTCGCACAGTTTCTCTTCTTTTTTAAAAAAAATCCACCCCCTGATGTATCGATTGCAATTGATGAGCAACAATGTTGGGCACTTAAATAAACACTCGTGGCCTTTTAGTGCTTTATCTGCATCAAGAATTGGTGCTGAGACAACGTGGATAGATAAGAGAGAGAGAGAGAGACACATGGCCAGAGCTGCAGAGGGTGTGAGGATTGATGCCATCCCCCAAAACCCAATCCAGGACTGTAAATTGCAGTTTTTAAACTTTTAGTTTCATTTTAAAAAACACTGAAACATTTTGCTAAAGACACCACTGGCGAGTCAAAGACCCTCACACACACACACTCACACTCACACACACACACTCACCCCCCCCCACACACACACTCACCCCCCACACACACACACTCACCCCCCCCACACACACACACTCACCCCCCCCACACACACACACTCACCCCCCCCACACACACACACTCACCCCTCCCCCACACACACACCACCCCCCCCCCCACACACACTCACCCCCACACACACTCACCCCCCCCACACACACACACTCACCCCCCACACACACTCACCCCCACTCACTCACACACACTCACCCCCCCCCACACACACTCACCCCCCCACACACACACTCACCCCCCCCAACACACACTCACCCCCCCCACACACACCACCCCCCCACACACACTCACCCCCCCACACACACACTCACCCCCCCCACACACACTCACCCCCCCACACACACACTCACCCCCCCACACACACACACTCACCCCCCCCACACACACACCCCCCCCCCCCACACACACACACCCCCCCCCCCACACACACACCCCCCTCCACACACACACACTTACCCCCCCCCCACACACACTCACCCCCCCCCCACACACACACTCACCCTCCCCACACACACTCACACTCACCCCCCACACACACCACCCCCCCCCCACACCACCCCCCCCCCCCACACACACACTCACACCACCCCCACACACTCCCCCTCCCCCCACACACAGACAGACATACACACACTCACACCCCTCACACCACCACCCCCACACACTCACCCCCCCCCACACACACACACACTCACCACCACACACACATACACTCACCACCACACACACATACACTCACCACCACACACACACCACCACCACACACACCACCACCCCCCCACACACACCCACTCCACACACACCCACTCCACACACACACACCACCACCCCCCCACACACACCCACTCCACACACACACACACTCACCCCCCCCCCACACACACCCACTCCACACACACACCACCAACACCACCCCACACACACCCACTCCACACACACACACACTCACCCCCCCCCACACACACACCCACTCCACACTCCACACACACACACACCCACACCCACTCCACACACACACACCACCCCCCCACACACCCACTCCACACACACACCCACTCCACACACACACACAGACTCCACACACACACCCACTCCACACACCCCCCCCCCCCCCCCCCCCCACACACACACACAGGAGGCAGTGAGCCCCTGGGTGGCTGCAGTGGCTGGTGTGTGAGGGGCAGTGGCTGGTGTGTGAGGGGCAGTGGCTGGTGTGTGAGGGGCAGTGGCTGGTGTGTGAGGGGCAGTGGCTGGTGTGTGAGGGCAGTGGCTGGTGTGTGAGGGGCAGTGGCTGGTGTGTGAGGGGCAGTGGCTGGTGTGTGAGGGGCAGTGGCTGGTGTGTGAGGGGCAGTGGCTGGTGTGTGAGGGCAGTGGCTGGTGTGTGAGGGGCAGTGGCTGGTGTGTGAGGGGCAGTGGCTGGTGTGTGAGGGGCAGTGGCTGGTGTGTGAGGGGCAGTGGCTGGTGTGAGGGGCAGTGGCTGGTGTGTGAGGGGCAGTGGCTGGTGTGTGAGGGGCAGTGGCTGGTGTGTGAGGGGCAGTGGCTGGTGTGTGAGGGGCAGTGGCTGGTGTGTGAGGGGCAGTGGCTGGTGTGTGAGGGGCAGTGGCTGGTGTGTGAGGGGCAGTGGCTGGTGTGTGAGGGGCAGTGGCTGGTGTGTGAGGGGCAGTGGCTGGTGTGTGAGGGGCAGTGGCTGGTGTGTGAGGGGCAGTGGCTGGTGTGTGAGGGGCAGTGGCTGGTGTGTGAGGGGCAGTGGCTGGTGTGTGAGGGGCAGTGGCTGGTGTGTGAGGGGCAGTGGCTGGTGTGTGAGGGGCAGTGGCTGGTGTGTGAGGGGCTGAGAGGAGATGAAGGGACTCACCACAAACAGCGAGTTCCTGACCGCCTCCGAGGCGCTCTGCCGCAGCTCCGCAGCAGTGCCGAGTTTGCTGAGCCGTTTGGTGAATTTCCGCACTTCGGACATTTCTGGGCGAAAGGCGTCCGATTAGTCCCGACTCCACAGACACATCGCCGGGAGAGGGCAGGGAGAGAGGGGAGAGAGGGCAGAGAGAGGGGAGAGAGAGGGAGAGGGCAGAGAGAGGGGAGAGGGCAGAGAGAGGGCAGAGAGAGGGGAGAGAGGGCAGAGAGAGGGCAGAGAGAGGGGAGAGAGGGCAGAGAGAGGGCAGAGAGGGGAGAGGGCAGAGAGAGGGAGAGGGCAGAGAGAGGGAGAGGGCAGAGAGAGGGGAGAGAGGGCAGAGAGAGGGAGAGGGCAGAGAGAGGGGAGAGGGCAGAGAGAGGGGAGAGAGAGGGGAGAGGGCAGAGAGAGGGAGAGGGCAGAGAGAGGGCAGAGAGGGGGAGAGGGCAGAGAGAGGGAGAGGGCAGAGAGAGGGAGAGGGCAGAGAGAGGGGAGAGGGCAGAGAGAGGGAGAGGGCAGAGAGAGGGAGAGGGCAGAGAGAGGGGAGAGAGGGCAGAGAGAGGGAGAGGGGAGAGGGCAGAGAGAGGGAGAGGGCAGAGAGAGGGCAGAGAGAGGGGAGAGGGCAGAGAGAGGGGAGAGGGCAGAGAGAGGGGAGAGAGGGCAGAGAGAGGGAGAGGGCAGAGAGAGGGGAGAGGGCAGAGAGAGGGAGAGGGCAGAGAGAGCAGAGAGAGGGATGGAGGCAGCGCTGAGCCTCTGCTGACTGATTAACACACACACACTCACAAGCTCCAGTGACTGCAGCCACACCCCAACTCCTCCTCCTCTCTCTCTCTTTCTCTCTCTTTTCCTCCTCCTCCAACTCTCACCCCCTTGCCCCCCCCCCCCCCCCCAAAAAAAAGGGGTTGGGTGTTGGGGGGGGGGTAGAGGAGCTGCTGAGGGGGCTGCCACTTCCACATGTTGGGCATCACTCCTGCCCCTAAATCCACAGGATCAATAAACAGTTACATGTGACCCCCCCCTCCCCCCCCCACCCCACCCCAACACCCAAAGTGCCAGATCTGCCATTCTTCAGCCACAAACTATTTTAGTGAGAACTTTGTAACTGAAAAGGTTTGTGATAAGCGATGGCAGATGTTCCCTAAGACATCTGTGCTGTAGCAGAACACTGTATGAGCTCAGACCATGACTGGTTATATTCCCCCCCCCTTACTGGCTGGAAGCTTCCCTTTACAGGTTAGAAGTACACTGTTAACTTTATTTCCCGGCTGCTGTCCATTCTCTCTCCCACCCTTGTTTTTAGGAGTGCTGTGGATCAATATAACTCTCTTGAGGTCTTCACCAATTAGATCCTGTGTTTTTTTTTTGAGTTATTATCAATCACAACTGTCCTGCGATTCACCGTTATCAAATGTCACTTACGTACAGTTCTTCGCTGTTTCGAAACGGTTCAGTTTTATTTTTACGACATGGGCGGCCGTGCAATTAACTGAGAACCGCCCAGTGGTCACCAGCAAGAACCCAAAGAAGAGGGTCATTCATGCGTTCTTGTACGAGAAATGCGACTGGAAACCTAATCTTTGTGAAAATTATTAACTCATGCTCGCCTACAAAAACACGTTGCACTTTAAGATTAAATCCAGTGCAATGCTTCGGGGCACCCTGCTAACATGAAAGGTGTTGTATCAAATGCAAGGATTATTATTTTTACAATGTTCTGTTAGTATAAGCCTCTCTTCCTAAGCTTGAAATAAATACTGTTAGTAAATATTTGTATCATTTATTGATACAGTAGACATCAGACAATAAACATTAGAGATTTGGCCCATGTGTATACTGATTATACTGGGAAGTTGATGATCAGAGAGTGAGTGAGTGAGTGAATTCAGCTTGAGACTGGTCGGTGAACTGAAATCTTGGGAGATATGGTGGGCAAGTTATGTCCAGCACACAAGAATGATTGCAACTGTAATATAATGGCAAGTAGAATACTTAAATAAATTAGAGATATTTAGAGCTTGGCAAATAATTCAGGGTGAAGTTGTGCTACTTTTCTATGGCATTAAAGTTTAAACTTTACAAAGTAAAGTTGCTCTGATACTGATCTGCAAGGAGCTCAGTACATAAACAAAACTTGTCTACAACAAGTACCACAGGATTCATGAAATTAAAATGTTTATACATTGTTTTTGGAGTATTAGATCATACTCCCAAATACATCAGTAGTTTACAGAGAAATAAGTAATGGATTATCATCATTTGACATCTAATACCAATAGATTGCTCGGCTCCGCTACTGTCTCACACTGCTGCCCGCCGAGACCCTCATACACGCATTCATAACATCCAGGCTCAACTATACAAACTTCCTGCTTGTCAGTTTCCCCAATTCCTCCTCCCACAGGCTGCAGATCATCCAGAACTCTGCAGCCCATGTTCTCTCCCCCACTAGGCATTGGTGACCCGATCAACCCAATCCTCTCCTGACTCCACTGGCTTCCCATTACACAGAGGATACAGTTCAAGATCCTGGTCCTCACTTTCAAAGCCCTCCATGGCCTTGTTCCCCCCCTATCACTGTGATCTGCTACCCCCAACCAACCTGCCCGCTCCCTCTGCTCAGCGGGCGGACCTTCAGACACTCTGTCTCCACCCTCTGGAACTCCTTCCCACAGTCCCTCCACCTCACCCCCTCCCTTGCCTTCTTCAAGATCCATTTCAAGACCCTCCTTTTTGACCATACCTTTGGTCACCCTCCTTCCCCCCCTGCCCTCCATCCTCCACAAACCCGACACCCAGATCGAGCCCAAAACACTGATTGTCTTGGGATGTCCTCCTGACATGAAAGCGCTATAAAAATGTAATTTTGTTGTTGTTGTTATAGGTATTACATAATAAATTGCTTTGAGAAAATAAAATAAATAAAAATAATTTATTTGCATTAAACATCTGCTCATGAACATGTTGCGATTCGTTGACCATTTTCACTGATATCTACAAAGTGTTCATTTCTAAAGATGCTGCCATCTTATGGTGTCCCCTTCAAAGACACCTTTTCTTCTTGTATTTCACAGATAGAACTAACAGTTGCCATTCCTTCCTTTGATGACTATTGTCTTAATCCTTCCATCACTATTCACATTCTTGGCTTCACTATCTGATCTCTTAATCAATGCTCACTTCTCTGCATTGCAGAGCAGTGTCCAAGAAGCATGTCTTCCACTTTCATAACTCTCTAATACCCAAATTAATCCAGAACTTGAATACTATGCCCACTTCAGGGAAGGCCATTCTTGGATTCCTCTCACTCTCCTTTGTAAAATACAAGGAAAGGTTTCACACCCCTGGTACGATTCATTCTTTCCTTGGACTTAAAAACTGTAGAACTTCCTCTCTCCTTCCTCCTACAGTCTTTAAGCTTTGAAAAGCCCAACCATGGGTTCACCTAATCGTTTTTCCTTTCTCCAACTCTTTTCAAATTGGTGGTGTATTGCACTTATGGGTCTTGGCCCTTTGCCAAGGTTTCTCAATATAAAAAACAATGCTGATATCAACAATGCCAAAAGTGAGAATGTTTTCCATTTCTCGTACAAATGTTCCTTGCTAAGCAACCATATTTACAATTAATGGTAGAGCTGCTGATATACACTCCGAGGTATTACATACAAGATTTGTCTTTGTGACTTAAACAAGCCCAATGACGATGATCACACTATAATTGTGATACATTGTCCTAGTTTACTATTACACTCTGTATCAGTAGCATGGTAACATGATGTGTACTTTACGTAGCACTGTCCTACTATAACAAAACACAAAAATATTGTTTCATTTCTTGGAACACTGAGACCAGTTAGTACACTGATGTGCTAAATCATAGATATGCAAGTTTCGTTGAAATACGTAATTGTAAATAAAAAATTGAATTACAACATTTTTAAAGCAGATTATATTAAGACAAAGATCCATAGGAGTGATTACACCTTCACACTGGTTGATGTGCTCTTCAGATCTTTTCCTCACCACTGTAATGAGCAACTTGGACCTTTCATATAGGATGAAAATAATAATAATCCTTGTATTTGATATAGCGCTTATCACGTCTTCTAGACGTCTCAAAGCTCTTTACAGAATATACTGTAAAGTGATTTGACTGTATATTTGTGGGCCAAACGCAGCAGCCAATTGCGCACAGCAGTGTCCCACAAACAGTCGTGGATTGAGTGACCAAATTTTTTTTTTTTGAGGGATTATCATTCCCAGAAACAGGCGTGTGGAGTAAGGGAACTTGTCCAACGTTTCGCCTTGCCAGGAATAGAACCCAGGTCTCTCACTTGTGAGGCGAGTGCTCTAACCACTGAGGTACAGGACTCATCTCAAAGTACTTAACAGATGTGAGAGGAAATAATAATCCTTGCATTTGGTATCGCACCTTATTGCATCATCAAGACATCTTAAAGGACTTCACAGAATTTTTTTTAGTACTTTTAGGCAAACTATAGGCTGTGAAAAATGCCGCATATCTAAAGATGGACTATTGTTTAATAAGGAGCCAGAAAACAGACTGTAGAACCATAGAAATTTACAGCACAGAAGAAGGCCCATTCAGTCCACCATGTCTTTGCTGCCTTTTGTTAAGAGCAATCCTTTTAGTCTCATTAACCTGCTCTTTCCCCATACCCCTGTAGCTTACAATCAAAGCTTGACTCTAAATGTGGTTAAGGAAATCAATTATAAAGAAGTACAGAAAGCTAGGAAACGTGTAAGTGCTTCTTGATATAATCTCCAGCGTCACTAGTACTTATATATTCATTAAATGGGTAATTTTTTCTATTTCTGAGAGCACTTATTAATCTGAGAGCACTCTGATGAAAATAGTAGATGACTTCCAGGAGAGAGTAAAACCGTATTTTTTGTTGTTGTTGATGCAGGACAAGGGAGGGGCACAGTGAAGCAGATGAGTTGCTCATCTATTAACTATTTTTAATAACGTGACAGTGACCTAAAAAAAATAAGGTTACATTTTGGTAAATCTGCACCAATATCAGGAGCTTGGGCTGTTTTGTACCATTAACACAGAAAATGACAGGTAAAATCACTGTCAAGCAAACTCACTGTGAAATAGCATTCCAAATCCCTCTTCAATTATTTGCACCAATTATGCAGCATCTACCTGATCAATGTAATTAGCAGGTAACAGGGTAAGTCAAACCAGTCTATAGAAATAACTTGTTCTGCACAAATCCTTTGGGATTGTGTTCTTCTACTGATTCAGTTCCTTGGAAGCAGATTTCCTCCAGCTCTTCTGGAATGTGTTTGCCAGTCTCATTGCTCTGTAGGTGGAAGTGAAATTGCTGTATAACTGATACATTATACACTGTTCCTTCTAATTCACACCATGATCTAGAAATATCCATACTGGGCCACGGCGTTGTCTTATTGAAAACAGAAGGATTAGCGCACTGCATTCATCTAAACCTAAGCTTTTCAATTTTCTTCAACACATGTACAACATTGAGAGACACTGTCTTTCTTTGCAGGGATGATTTATACAATAAAGCTGGAAGCTGGTCCAAGATTTAACTACCATATATCGTTCTGTATGATCTCCTTGTTAATTTGAATGAGTACTTTAGGAAAATTGTAGACTACTTTCATAACTTCCTGTGGGACAGCAGAATGCCTCATGCCAGTACACACCAGAGTGCAGAAAGGCAGATCAGCTGGTCAGATAGATTTGTCAAACACAATTAGCTATGATTTGACTTGCTGTTGAAGCCCTTTTAACATGGTTAGAATTTCACTTCTGCCAATCTGCCAAACTGAGCCCTTAATATTATAATAATAATCTTTGCATTTGATATAGTGCTTCTTTGAGCCATTTCAAAGGACTTCACAGAATATACTGCAAAGTGAATTGACTGTATATTTTATGGGCAAAACCCAGCAGTCAATTGTGCACAGCCCATGGAAATAACATTCCCAGCCTTCTCTACATGCCAAAACAACAGTCATTTACCAAACCCAACTGTGGATCACATTCCATTTTGCAGACGCGCTGCTTGTTTTTGTATTGTCCTCCCTTTTTACTTTTTTAGGCGTCTTTGCAAGATCAAACCCCAGAATGAGTGAAAGAGCAGGCAACTGATCATTTTGTCAGCCTGGATTCAATGCTCATCTGAATCCTGCCACTATGAGGGCAGTTTAAGGTTTCTCTTTATCGAATTTTATCTCATACCCTTTTCCCTTGCTTTGCTTACTATTTCCCAATGATAGCAATGTTAGGGTGTGCTAATACTAAATAACACAAATTGTTAGGGCTCACACTAGTCATATAAACAACCCATCATTCCATCATTTAAATAGTATTAGCAAATCTGCCCTTTCTTCCCAGGCCTTTCTTCAGTCAATATCAAGAACTGCTACAAGTAGAAAGAGAAAAATAAATGAATGTAGAGCTAAGAGGAAAGAGGAAAACTAGCTCTCGGGTGCTATTTTGAGTTGTGGGCGAAGAGTATTTCACTCAGTGTATAGGATCGATTTGGCATTGATGAGGCAGAGAGTGCAATGTTTTAGCATCTTCTTCTTGTGATCGAATTCCTTCGCCAAGCAGCCTTTTGGCTTGCACAACTATCATCAAGTAAGCTTTATTGTACTTGGCACCTGTCATTGCTTCCAGGGTACCAGTCTCACAGAATGATGAAATAAGGCAAGTTAATTGCCCCTGGAGAACCTCTCATTGATTAGACAATAGTAGACTGTTCATTTATAATGCAGAAATTCACGTACGTTTTTCCTTCAGTTGCATCTAGACGTTTTGCAGTTTTATTAGTCAAAGATTCACCTCCCATCTCCCTTTAGAAAATGCCCAGAAATTAAGTGGTGGTCTGATTTTAGATTCAAAGCATATTTCATAAGTACAGGACTATTTATAAAATCAATACAGAAATATGATAAGTGTCAACTTCAAATTATTTTGAGGAAAAAAAACACATGAGTTTGAGCCAACAAGTGCTGCAGGTGTGTCCAATTCCCTACCAATATTTGTGTGTGTTTGGGGAATGGGTTATGCTCAATATTGGTCTATTGGAAGATGCATTAATGTTCCTTAGGTCTACCACTGGCCTCAATCCTCAGTCTCTCTGAGTTTGAAGCCTAGATTATGAATCTATACGTATATATATGTAAGAACTCTTAACACTACATTGGCATCTTAATCCTTTTGAGGACAAGATACAATGCACAATTAGATCCATAAGCAGTGGATAATATTACTCAGTTTTCAAAGTGGCACACAGACAATTGCTAGCTTTTGAAAGGATATTCAAGACTGCCATCTTGTGGACCAATGCATTATTTCTGTTATAAAAAGCAGGTTTATTCGCAGCATTTCAGTGATAATACTTTTAATTCATTGCAGCAGTTCTGAAATAACATAAAGTACTGCCAACAGCTCAAACAATGCATTAGGCATTCAATGGCATGAAATAATTCATAAAAATATATCTTTCACTTCAATAAAATCATTTGATGTTCACTTGCTCTTCTGATAACCAGGAAACATTCACAAAAGAACAGCATGGCAGCAATTTTGGGGAGACTAGGACAAGTTACAAGCATTCTTAAAACTGTAATTCTTTGAAAATAAACATTTTTGTGATAAAGTCATCAATGGCTTTAAATTTATAGATGTTATAAATATATGTGGTGAGCAAAAGATAATACAATAAATATCTCCTCTGTTGAAGCAGACACATTGCCACCTTTTAGTTAGTCAGCAACCCACAAATTTCAGTTGTATTAAATAAATGTTGTATTAATGCTGAGTTTGTTAGATGCAAGAAATGCATGTGACATTGTTGAATTAAAATTTATGTATCTTTTACATGTGTACACATAGCGTTATAGACATAATTATTATTGCATGTGACATAAGTGCCTTTCATATCAGGACATCTCAAAGTACTTCACACAATTCACTGTAATGTGTAATGACTGTATTCTTGAAGGCAAAATATCCATTTATACTCAAATCTACAAAGCTGGATATCTGATATAGTCACAGACATTGGAAGTCACTGCAATATGTTCTGCTGTTTTGGCTCGTCACTCCCAAGTCTTCAAGTATGTGGATTTGAATTCTGAAAATCTCCTGTGAAGTTGCTTACGGCACCTTCTGACAGTAGAAACATTATCACAAGAATGAAGAAAAACATCATCATTGAAAAGAAGTTATATATTCTGCATATGTGAAACAAAAACGACAACCAAACTTTAATGTTAACCTAATGGAAATCAAACTCCATGATCATTGAAAATGATCAAATGTGGTGAGGGACTCATTGAGACTGCTCAAAGTGCTTTACAGGATATATGGCACAGAGAATCGACTAGATTTTGTGGGCGAAATACAAAAAAAAACTTGTAAATCATACTATTTAAGAAAGAAGGAAGTACTAGACACAAATTCTTTACAATATGAATATGTTCTCAACAAAAGCAAACGTGTTCCAAACATTGCACTTATTGAGTCACCACTGTGATATCAACATCTTCTTGTAGAGAATTTATCGTCTTTTTCTATTCTGTTCTATAAGTTATGATCCACCGCAAATTATATCTGATTACTTTTCACAGTAGAATTTTGGTCTTGAGGAACTGTCTTACATAAACAGTTTCTTACCAATTTCAAAAATATGCCTTTATATTGTCTGGAGGCAAACAAGTTGATGAAGGGATCGAGGCAGCAGTTTATATTCATTAAGGCAACAGTAGATTGAAGAAATACTTGGAAATCTTGTCTCGTCTTGCAAATTGGCTCTTCTATCAGCATTTTGACCACATGTTGAGTGAGCCCAATATGGTAAGGTGTAAAACAAACCAGAAACACAACTAGGACAGCCAGAACCACAATCTGAGATCTATAATTTTGAGCTCTGTTGCTCGTTCCACCGGAGAGATTCTGTTTCCTCATTTGATATAGTTTCAAACTGATACAAGAATAGCTGAAAATTATAACAGCGAAAGGAATATAATAGCTAACTAAACATCCACAAAGTATTAGGGGTAAATATTCAGATTTTTCAAAGCTTGAAAATTCCATACAGGTTTGATGACTGCCCTCTCTTTTTACTAATTCTTGAGTGAAAAACGTCAACGCAGTTTGTAAGAATATTACAACCCAGACACCGGCACACACGGATTTTACAACAGAAACACTTCTGAGATTTACAGACTTCATGGGATGGATCACAGCCAAATACCGGTCAACACTTATGCACAACATGAAAGCTATACTTACATATGTATTCATAAAAAAAATACAGCTAATAATTTTGCACATCAGCTCACGTAATGACCAGTAAAATCCATAACTATAATAAACAATTCTTGCAGGCAGCGAGAGTGTAAAAAGCAGATCTGCAGCAGTGAGATTTATAAGATATATCATTGTTGAATTTAACTTTGACTTATTGTAGAGGACGATGTAGAAGGCCAAAATATTTCCAGGAATACCAGTAATGCACAGAATGCTGTATAACAGAGAAATGAGGACAGTTACAGTTTTTCTGTGTCCATACAGCTCACAGGTAGAGTTGTTCGAGTCATTGGCAGTAGCAACTGTGGAAAACTCCAAGGCCATTTGTATCCACAGATCTTCTGAATAAAATAAAATATATTATTTGTCATTGTACTGTGTAGTAATTTCCACGTAGAAGTTCACAGGATGGTACAGTATAAGTCACAATTGCAATTTTTATCCCATGTTGAATTGATTTCTGTGCCGTTATAGAAAGTAATTTAATTCTGATCTACTCATGGGATCCATATTGTGGCCCCGGAGAAGGGATTTCAGCTGGACTTATGGCTGGTTATTGGCAAGTTTCCCATTAGCAATTCTGAGTTGTTATTAGTGAATCCTGTTGCTAACTGCCACATTATTAATCCCATTCCCAACTTTGGAAAAAGTTCTCTGAAAATTCAGGTGCACATTATGAGCAGCATCATTCATATCAACTATGTCAGTAATATCTTTCAGAAAGACCAGCATGTTAATTAATTCAGGACTTCCCTTTCCAGAATCTGGGAGGTAAAAAAAAAGTGCCATTCATCAAGTTTTGTTTTTCGATGTTTTTTGATTGATATAATTTCCCCACGAAATGAAGTAAACCAAAATAGTGTTAGACCGAAACCATTTATTCAAAGCACCAATATTAAAAATAAATCATGATATGCAATACACAGAAGTACAAAATAAGCTAGAACAGATTCAACAAGTTGTTGAGAGGGTCAAAGCAGAAATGCACATCAGTATATTTGTGCAAGTTGGTAAGCATTTTACAGTTACCTTTAGTGAGTAATATTGGCTAACATACTGAAAAATGCAGGGTTTCCTTCTGCTGATAGCAAAGTTGCTTCACTGCTATTAGAGACACGAGGAGCAGGAATCCAGACTGATACAACCTGTTCCACATCATCTCAGTCTTAAAATGTCTTAAAAGTATGATTTTGATCAAATTTTCAGTATAAACGGTGGTTGAGGCAGCAGAAATTCTGGGGATGCGGTTGCAATTCATAGCTGTAGCAGTCTGAGTGTGGTAGGTTCAAATCAGATTTGGAAATCATATCCATCCAAAGTGTACAATCTCACATTTTGTAAAGTAAAACTCCCATCTATTATCATTTTATCTACTCACTAAATCTATTCTATGTCACTTTGGTATAGTCTGTCGTTTCCATAACCTACGCCACCTTAATATTATACGTAAACAAGCATTTATGTAGCGCCCTTCATGCTGGCTAGTGTCCTGGAGCGCTTCACAGTGGCGGAGTCTGACCCCGAGCCAGGGTGAGAGTGAAGTGACGGTAAGCACTATCGAAAAGGAAGATCTTCAGGCAGGATGAGTCATAGCCCACTCATTACACGGTAGAAACTCAAAATCCCTGTGCGTATTTCTCACACTTTCTGGTCTGATTTAATCATACATTCTTTTGACATTTAAAATACATTTCTTTTAGCTGTAACAAAATCAAAAACCCATATTTCTGTTTTCTATCTGTTAGTCTTGATTTAAGATCTATGGAGGCCACATCAGGTTACTTCCAGTAAGTCATCTTTTTAATTTTCTTTAGGGATATCCAATTCTATTGTTTGAAACTGAACTTCAAAACAAATATTACTGCAATTTAAAATGACTTAACCTGCTGTATTTTGGATGCAATCTCAAAAATACTGATCTGTTATAGGAAAGGAATTGATTCACATTTTTTTGTCCTGTGCAATGATGAAACCATACCATATATCTGTATCCCTATATTACAGCTATGCTTCTATTTTATCTGTAAACTTTTAACTTTGTGTCTGCATCTTTAAGAGGAATAAAATATATATTTTCTAACTGGTTACATGTGATGACTAGATCATGAGAGGTACAGATGAAAACGTTTCTTTAGACCATCCTTCCAGAATATCCACCCTATGATGACTCATTTCAAGCTGTTTCTTAAATGAGTGTTCAGACTACACTCAAATATCCTTCCTGATAACTTGTTTCAGATATTAAGTACATGAATAAATACATCACCAATAAATGTTGAATAAATATTTTGATATACATATCCTGAAATTTGGCTTCACAAACTTGACCCTTGTCCTGAAGACTTGATATATATTTAAGAAACAACTATTGATGAACAATAAGATTAATTATCTACAGAAGATGAAAGAAAAGTACAATGAGACTCACAATGCCACATGGAATGTGCTATGAAGCAGATAGTTGTTCCCGGCTGAATCAAACTGACTGATACAATTCTTTTCATCATGCACAAATAAGAGTAAACCATCAGCACAAGCTGATATCAAATCTTATAAAGGGTGCGTCAATCACTGTGGTTTTCTTGAGAACATGAGCCAGCATTGGCATAATAACTGTGCAAGTTATCAAATAAAGATCGACTCCTTTATGGTTACATCTTTTACTTGTAAGTGCAAAGTACTTCTGCTATGTTGGCTAAGGAATTAACTCAAAAAACATGAAACTATGCAGTAGTCACAAACATATATAACAGTCATGAGGGAACTGGTAGTTGGTAAAGTACTTTACTCTGCTAGTTTATGGGTTAACATTGATTATTGCACTTTTATCATGCCTCCACTTGGAAATTATCGGTTTCATTATCTTATAATTTTGTTATCTGTTCCGTTTGCTACTGAATTAGTAAAACCAATGTTAATCAGAAAGTTACAAATCCAAAAATACACAGCAGGGAAATTTACATTCCTACGTTGCATAAAATTGATCAATGATCATGGCTTGAACAGTGTGCAAGAAGAAAATAAACTGTATGGATAATATATTTCTTTATTACTGTCAGTGTCAAATTCAGTAAAATCTAAATATTATTCTATACATTAGTTATAGGGCCAGGATAAATGTTTCATTTCAGAGTATTTTAATGCCTGGAAATGGAAGTAACAAAAATAAATTAAAAAAACCCAAAAAGTTTGTTTTCATCAGGTTCTATTGTTGTCCTACCTAGGATGGCAATTTGTTACAAAGGATTTTTATTACTAAACAAAAACATTCTTCTGAACTGCAGACAGATTAAATAACAAAATTGTGGAAAGAAGCTTTTGTCACAAAATACAACAAAACCAATTTATTTTTGAAGGAAATTATATGACCAATCTACTGTTGAAGTGTAATGCTTTTAATAGATATTGTACTATGGTACATTGCACTGCTTAGTAGGTTATATAATTAGCTTATAGCCATATCCAAATTGTAATTATACAATTATGTGAAACTCAATACAAACTCCAATATAATGACTATCATTACAATGTTGTGTGATGTGTTTTTACTATGTTATATTACAGATTAAAAAAACTGAAAGATGTTAATTGGTTTAATATTATGGATTAAATTGCTGGGCTAATAATCTTTCAACTAGTCAAGCCCTTTCATGGAGGTTTTTGTTTTAATGATTTAAAGAAAAGCAACATTTTGCACATGGTACATCATTCCAGAATTCTAACCCAATAAAGGTGAGCCATGACACGCTTGTAAAATAAAGGAATTAGTGAAACATGAGGCACTAAATGTAGCCAAATAATTGACTAAGCTTGTTCTTGCTTAACCCACTTATTGTACCCGACTTCCTCTTCAACATATTTATTGGATGATGCATCCTTTCTGAATATTATTATTATAGTGCAATATGAAGCAACAGGAGACTCTATGGTCTTCCACAATATGTATAAATTGTGATCCCATAACAGAACTGTCTTATAATCAAGCAGTCAGTTAGAAAAAGTTATTTTCCCTGTCTGCAGGTTTAAAGTAAACAAATGTTTAGGTTTAATACAATGCTTAAAATACTGCCATACTTCCTCCCATATTCTCACCTTCAGGAAGTTAGGATTTGAGGGCATATAGCTTCTTTTCTAACGGATAGAGGGATTTTGTAAAGGATAGAGGGATTAAGGGATATGGGGATAAGGTGGGCAGATGGAGTTAGAAGATCAGCCATGATCTTATTGAATGGCAGGGCAGGCTCCAGGGGCCGAATGGCCTACACCTGCTCCTAATTCCTATGTTCCCATGTTCTTTTGTTTGAAATGTTTTTTGATAGAAACTGTTACAATTCTGAGGTTACAAGGCTTAGAAGCCTGATGGACAGACAATAAATAGTGCTAAAAAAAAATCAGATTCACTGTTGACAAAGCAATCTTTATTTATACATTTTGCTTATTTCAGACTAACAACCATCAATAACACTCACTAGTGCAATTGATCTAGGAATGCTATTTCATTGGTATTGAATAGTCTTATATACATAGATGTCCCTATCTGAGTGCCACGTGCCATAACAGCAAACAGTTCTCTCATCTTATCACAAAGCCGACAAACAAATTAAAATTTCATCACAGCTATTTTACACAGTTTGAACATAAATTGGTTTAACACAATGTAAAGGTTGGTTCAAGAATTCATTCAGCCTAGTACCAGCAGAATGAAAAGTATCGGCAATAAACGCCACAAAGAAAATCGGATATTCATAACCTAGTGTACAGAGTAAAAAAAGGTAGAGCTCAAAAACAGAATATATAAAACAAAGGAAAAGCACACAGCTGGATTATCAGTGGCTATGCACTTTTAGAACAATGCATTTCGTACATTTTAGAAACATCTTGATATTTTTTCCCAAAGCATATTTGCAGTTGTAATTGACAGTAATTATTTTAACTTGGTATCAACTTTTAAAAGAAACATTGCGTCTTGTGCACAAAATGCATAGGCAGTAATTTCTGTTAAATTGATTCAACCACAAACAAAACAGATTTTCGCTATGATCATCATTGATACACTTTCACAAATGGGCCAGAGCTAGTTTTACCAGATACCTTACAAGGCACACTATGAACTATGAAATCAATTTTTATTTTTTCAAACAGAATCCCAACAACTGATCCTGTGACCAATATTCACAGAAATAAATACAAATTCAATATGCAAAGCACAACTATACTGTTTCTGAGGATGGACAGGGTACTTATGGACTTTAATCTTTAAATGCTCCACACAAGGATGTTAACAGCAATTTCTGCTGTTTTTTTTACTGCACAACCAATCTCCATGTCCAAACCAACTTTGTGAACTTGAGCTTAAAACTGAATTTATAACAGTATTAGCCATTGCAATGTTTCAATTTCCGATGTCACCAGTAGTAATTATAAGCACAGTATTTGCAACAAAGTATAATATGCCACATCAGAGTTTGATTTCAATAATATAACAGAATTAGTTCTTTTTCTTGATAAAAACTTTGATTGCTCCTGTGAAATCAGCGGACAAGAATACCTCTGCAGTATTGGATTTTTGTGCACCTGTTGGGAAGAAGGACAAGTTATGGGCAGGTCTAATCGAGTAACTGATAATTCCAGATACCTTACAAGGCTTTCTTCCACCTCCGACACATCACTCGTCTCTGCAAATACATCTCTCCGAAGGCCGCTGAAACCCTTTGTCACCTCTAGGCTGGACTACTCCAACGCCTTCCTTACCGGTCTCCCATCCACCACCATCCATAAAATCCAAATCATCCAAAACTCTGCCGCCCGCATTCTCACCCGCACCAAACTCCGCTCCCCGATCACCCGATCTTGCCAGACTGCCTATCCCAGAGAGGATTGATTTCAAGATCCTCACCCTGATATTCAAATCCCTCCACTCCTCTGCAGCCCCCGACCTCTCTGAACTCCTCTCTCCTCAAAACAGTACCCGTTGCCTTCGTTCCTCCAGGTCTGGCCTCCTCCTCATCCCCCGAGTCCTCCGCTCCACCCTTTAGTGCCTTCAGCCACTATGCCCCGAGGCTCTGAAATTCCCTTCCTCACTCCCTTCGCCCCCTCTCTTCCTACTTTCAGGTCACTACTGAAGACCTTTCTTTTCGACCGCGCCTTTGGTCACCTTCCTCCCCCTCCCCCTGGATCGGCCCCGGGACTCGTTACTGTGAAGCGCTCTGAGATGTCGTCCAGCGGTGGAGGGTGCCATATAAATCCAAATTGTTGTTGTTGTAGTAATTGCATATTTCCGATAAGAAGAGAAAATATGGTACCTGTTGGTACACATCCACTTCAAACCATTAAAGAATTGACCCAAAGTTTACTTTAAATAAAATCAGGCTTGCTTAAAATTCTCTTTACTGCTCATCTAACATACCTACTCCTATACTCTCACTTTCAGGAAGTCAGGATTTGTCTGGAATACAGAATTTTCCATGCAGCTTCCAGTTTTAGCTTCAGTGGCGTTAATCTGGTTGAGCAACCTCCCCCCACCCAACACCAAGATATAAACAGAAAGCTGAATTACTAGATATAAGACAAACTAAATTCACCACTGAGGTCAGGCACCTTCCAATGAAAGTTGAAAACATGAATTGAACTTTGAGGGGCCAAAGCATGTCCAAAGCTATGAGCTAAAAGACCACCAAATCACAATTCAATTCTTTATATTTTCTAAGCACTGCTCTAAATTAGAGCCTTGGTTAAAATATCTACAAATACGTAACGCACATAACAATATGAACTATCAAAATACTATATTGGTCCATAAAATACCTAGGGAATATGTTAAATTGAAATAGACAACATACCAGAAAGTATTTGATCCAATGCTGGAGTATCAATATTCACGTTATCGCCTTCTGTTTTCTCACTTTTCTCTGCCTGGGGTACATCTGGGACCATTAGGCTTGGATTTGGGGCAAATATTGCTGATGTGACCACTGCATTATGTGCTGATGAGGAAACAAAACTATCAGCAAAGTTTATGATAGAGCATAAACAACTTATACACAATTTTGCGGTCAGCATTATTTATTTTATGTGTATGAACTTTTTTGAAATTTGTTTTCTTGCAGCAAAAAAATTAAACACAATTTTTTTTACAAATACAGAAGGAATTCCCGTAAGTTTGGGTTTATACAAAATGCATATTATTTTTAGCAGTTAAATCGAGAGTTTCCAGGCAGTGTCTTTTCATGTTGCTAGATATAGTCGCATGTCATTTGTCAAATCTGCAGAGAATCCAACAATTTTTTTCATCTGAGAGAGATAATTCAAGGATAACTGGAGGCCTTTTTTTTTCCTCTTTGCTTTTCTATTTAGCCTCCAGGATACAACTACGTTGTTGTTGTTGGACACAGACCACCGCTTAAAACAAGATTCCCTTATATTAGTTAACTAAACGGAACAAAGCAATCATTTGGAATTTGGCTTCTATTGTGGGCTAGGATACCAGGAACATACTGGGGGCAGGGGGAGAATGTAATGTTATTGGGATTGCTCTATGTTTTCTTAAACAGCAATTACTGAAATGGAGCAGCATTGGCCTGAAAGGCTTACTGAACCTGACAGTTGCATTCCCAACTGATACAGTAATTGGGTTAATGACATACATAATCAGGTCAACAACTGTCTTTTGTCAGTGATTAATGCTTAGTTTAAAAAGAAATCACTGAAACAAGTGTAACCATAATTCTTCTCAACTGCCAGGGATTTTAAAAGCAAGAAAATACTTTTTTATGCTTTATGTCGATTTGTTTCATAGCTAATGTCTCAAACCCTTCACGGTTAATTACTGTTAAGAATGAATTATATAATTGTTTTTGTAAGCAAATGAAAGCACCATTTATCAAGGTCTCACAAAAGGTAAAACACTGACAAAACTATTTTCTCTTTTTGGAGAGTGTCATAAGGTCTTTAATGTCCATCTGATCAGATCGGTTAAATGTCTTATCCGAACATCAGCACGTCTGACAATGCAGGACTCCCCCGGTGAAGCAAGCTGGTGATACTAAAGATTGGAAGGCTGGAACTTGGAAAATAATAGAACCCTGGTTTATGTGATGCATCTTTAACAGATTACAAGTTACCTTTAATGCCCTCCCAGAAGTCATTTCGATCCCTTCGCACTGAAGTAAATTTGCTGACATCATGGTAGGTGCTCCAGATATAAAAGTATCTATCTTCAGATCCACTTACTATGTAAGTGTAATCATGACTAAATAAATAAAAAAATGTTATTTATATAGTATCTAAAATAACCTGAAAGAAGAATATGGAATAGAATTCAAATAATCCATTAAGACAATGTTGGATGTGTGTCCGTGTGTGTCAGGATTCTGTCAAGTTCTGGAATAAGCTTGGCTGATTTCAGCATAGAACCAAAAGATAAATAAGTCCTTTCAGTTTAACTTCTGAGGTGCAGCTATGAGATGTACTGCTGGTAGCTAGTCCACAAGGCTCCTGTCAGAACAGGCTTATAGGGCCTTAATCCTGAATTCCACACTCTGAAATCTTAATGTTACCTATCTATACTGTAGCTAGATATACAGTATTTCAGCCTGTCTTCGTACTGCACTCAAGATACAAGATAAGAAACACTAAAAGACAATAATGAGAGAGGATAAGTAGCCAGAGGAGGCAAACACCATATTTCCCCACCTACTAGCTTTGAAACAAACTCTCAATATGGGTGTTATAAAAAGTCAGTAGGCACAGAAACATCAAATTTGTTTTCGTATTCTGTTGACATCTATTTAGTTTGATCACAAAACCATTGAAGAATCTTCCCAAATCAAGCAGCTTCTAATATATATTGTGTCTGCATCAATCAATAAATAAGCGTCTAACTTATACTTCCAATTCCTTACCTAAAACTTGCTTTGATTTGGCTGCTGCTGTTAACATAGCCTTTGTATTTCATAGAAATGGACAAATCTCTAAGATCGTATAGGCGAATTCTTGAATCATTGGAAGTCACAAGGATCTAAAGTTAAGAGTTCAAAATGTTAATATAGAAATTTCTATTGCAACAAAAGTTATTATTGTACTTGATTTCCCAAACAAAGAGTACCTTGTTTTCACCAGGCAATGGTTCAATGCCAGTAATTTTTCTCCCAACTCTGTTTCTCCCTCTGGTCGAGCGGACATGGATCTGGGTATGATACTTCAAATGCTGGAGAGGGAACATGTTAAAAATACAACCAATTATATTGCTTAGATCTTTTAAACTAATTCTACAACTAACAAATTAGCTTAGGAGTTACACGACTAGCGCATTAAAAATACCACATTTATATATATAAAAAAAGTTGATTCCTTCAAATTACATGTAGCAAATTACACAAAATTATCAGTCTGCTTTATTAAACATATCATACAACAGTAAGACTAAATAAAACTACTACAATCTTAATTCTGTCCCACACATACTAGGAATTTACCTCAGTGTCATAGAAGATGCACCTCCCATCATAGGTGCCAATCACTGCATATTTGCCATTTTGGCAGAAATTTGCTGCTGTTATCAGTTTTGTTTGTCCATCAATTTCATTCCATAATGCTACCTTCTTGTCTGGAATGTTCCACAATCTGAGTTTGCCATCCAGAGAACCACTTAGGAAATACCTATCATCCTGAAGAAACCGTTATGGCAAGCATTAGACTAGAAGCAGCAAACAAATGGTTCTTTAAAACACCGAGGTACAGCAAGTCAGACTTATACAGGAACAATCATATCCATAGTCACAACACCAAAATGCTATTACATTAAAAGCTTAAAAACACTCTATAAACTGCCTATGGATTGATAAATTACAAAACAGCAATATCAAGTAGACAAATAAGACAAAAATATTTAGCATTCTCCATGAGAAATAATAGCTGAGAAATCTGTAAAGGTACTAATTGGTTAACATTTAGTTGATTTGTTTTTATTTGCAGTTCAAACACAATCAAACACAGGAACTCTAAATGAGTCCAAACTTCTAAATTATAAGAGTTATTGGTTCTCTTATACATGAAACTTCGGATTATGATATAGTATTACTGTAAATGGCAACCAGATGATTTTCATGTCCGAAATATTATTTAGTTTGTTTTATAATAAAAGTGTTAAACTTGGGAAAATGGGTTCAGACAATGGGTATTCGTAATTCTTATTAAATAAAAGCATTAAACAAAACACTTAAGATATTTAAAAATTCTTATGACAAAACTCTCTCTTAAGCTTCAGCAGGAGTCTTTACCGAACCAATTTTGAAACATTTACCATGGTTAGCAGTACTCTGACCAAAACATTTGTAGTGGTTAACAGTACTATGGATACTATAATAGTGACTATATAACAGTGCCACTGTTTATCAGCTAAAATACATAGCATAAAAAAAAGAACAAAGGATATGCAGACTAATTCAGAATTATTCCTTACCCTTGGATGGAAAGCTATAGCAGTAACAAAATCTATATGTTGAAAGCAGCAAAGACACTCTCTTCTGGATATGTGCCACAATCGTACTGTTTTATCCATAGACGAAGACAGTAAAAAGTAGTTCTGCGGGGTTAAAACCATAAAGAGGATAAAATGATGGATTTTAAAATACACTGGAAATCAAATGGAATATTACATGATGCAACAAGATTTGATTATATGGATTGTTATAACATTTGGAAACAAGGCAGAGAATACTGATTTACTTGAAAGCTCCAACAGCAATCCAATCATTTTAAATGAGAAAAGTTAAGGGTTCTGGTGTGAAGAACTTATATGGGTCTGGAAAGTTGGTCAGATGTCCTTTGCTTTTCAAACGTTATTTCCAAACTTCAATCTGATCTTTGTCATACCTTCAGGATGTCAGGATGTTTATCTTTCCTGAACACTAGGATTAAATATACTATCCTATAAGATATGGGAAGGGGGGTGGGGGTGGGGAGGAGAAGAGAAAAATTATAAAGATCGGGGCCTCTTTAAATTCTTGTTCGTTGGAGCTTTTAATGACCATGTGATCGTCATATGGTATGTGATGATCAGTTCTTAGATTTTTCGGTAGCAGACAACCTATAGGGTCTACTGTGTTTAAGATCAAAGTACTCCCAATCAAAGAGTGTTCAGCGGGGGAAGCGAGTGGAAACTGTGCATGTGGAGGATAACCTTACAATTAAGATAAACATACTGCAGATAGGTATTGAACATTATTCCTTCTGAATTTATCTCCCTTACACACAATGTTAATAAGAGACCTATTTTAGATACAAATCCGATTTAGATTGCAGATCTCTACAGCTCAGTTTCGGTCTGTGCGATCAGAAGTTTAACAACTTGCACTTCAAGGCAAATTCTATCTGGAAAACAAGCATTCAAGATCACCCTAGTAATGTGCTGGCATTTCCAGATCATTTAGCTGAGCAAAGCACTTTGAGACATCCTCCTGACACGAAAGGTGCTATATAAATATATACTGTAATATATATTAACTGGAGCAGAGATGGAAGTCGTCAGCAGGCACCATTCTGGAACAAGTGTTTTCAGATAAAACACTCCAACATGAATACAAATGGGTATTACATTGCTATGAAAACACTGATGAACCAATTGATTAAATAATCTAGGTATGGAATCTGTTTTTACCTTTGACCACGAAAGGTCGAGAAGGTCAGCAGTATGTCCTTTGTATTTGCAAAATGGATGCTGTCTAAACGGTGCATTTTTATCTTCAGGATCAGACTCTTCAGCTCCACTGTAAGCCTGTCAAGTCATACACAGAATACAATTAACTATCTAGAAATCTATAAGACAGCTCACTTCCCACAAATCCAAATAAGATGTTTCAAATCTCAACTGCCTACATTTTAATAAATTCAAAAGTTTAAAGCTGAACATTTTAACCAGTGCATTTTTAAAAACATTTTACATATAGAAATTTACATTTCAGTACCAATATCTACATAACAATGAACTGCTGTCAGAATACAGCTGTAAAATCCCAAGTACCCAAAATTACTACATACACATTATACTTTAAAATCATTCATTTACAAACTGTGACCGTAATGTCTCATGAATGCAGATTTTCTTTTAAAAATGTCAACAAAAACAGTGAATCAATTTTCTAATATCATCTGCTGTTAAATCCATTGGATTGGCAGACATGTCAATAAGCCCACCGTGTTTTTCAACACAGCTGAATCCTAACTTTGGTGTCCTGTAGCTCAGTGGTTAGAGCACTCGCCTCACAAGCGAGAGACCTGGGTTCGATTCCCGGGCAGGGCGAAATCTTGGGCAAGTTTCCTTATTCCACACACCTCTGTTTACCTAGCAGTAAGTAGGAATCTGGTTGTTAGTCGATTGACGGAATCACTTTTACGGGGGTAAAATTTCCTTCAAAAAAATAATAATAAATTGGTCACTTCAATCCACAAGTGTTTGTGGGACACTGTTGTGCACAAATGGCTGCCGCGTTTCACCCACAAAATATACAGTCAATTCACTTTACAGTATATTCTGTGAAGTGCTTCGAGACATCTCGAAGACGTGATAAGGCACTATATCAAATGCAAGGATTATTATTTCAAGGATTATTAGTTATTAGCATAGTTTGTACTGACTAGAAGATAAGGTCAGATTGCAGACTGAGAGGATCACACTAATGCAATTATCCTTTAAAAGGCAATATTTACAGGATAAATGGTATTATTGTACTCAAGTGTTTCATTAGCAATATTTCTAACAAGATCAAGCAATAGTTTATTCAAACTATTTTATATTACAAATGCTGATGTTATTTTTATAATACTGAGCTCTTTAGAACTTAAAATATATTTAAACTTATTTATCTGTAATATACAACAACAACAAAATTACTTATTGAGCGCCTTTCACGTTGGGAGGACATCCCAAAGCGCTAAAGTCAGAAGTTGGGACCTGAGCATGGGGGAGGGGTGGTATAGGGTTCAGGGAAGGCAGAGAGGTGGGAGGGAGACCAAAGGCACGGTTGAAGAGAAGGGTCTTGAGACCGGCCTTGAAGGATGCGAGGGAGGAAGTGAAGCAAAGGGACCGTGGGATGGAGTTCCAAAGTGTGGGGGCAGAGGGGCTAAAAGCCCGGCCACCGATGGTAGGGTGGGTCGGGCGGGCGACATGGAGCGGGACGGAGCCTGATGAGCGGAGGGAGCGGGCAGGTTGGTAGGGAGTCAGCCGGTCAGACAAGTAGGAGGGGCAAGGCCATGAATGGCCTTAAAGGTGAGGATGAGGATCTTGAACTCGATCCTCTGGGGGTTGGGGAGCCAGTGGAGTCGGGCGAGGGTGGGAGTGATGGGGTCGCAGAGCCTGGTCCGCGAGAGCACAAGAGCTGCAGAGTTTTGGATACATTTTTACAAACAGACTTACCCCTGTGTCTGTATCAGATTTTGATGAATTTAAACTTTCTTGTGAAGGGGATGGTGAGACGCGTCCTAAATAAAAATGAAGTCACAACATTATCATGAAGCAAATTAAAGAAGAAGCATCTTATTAATTATACTGAATCAGGCATCCTTTGGGGTACTAAATATCTTGAACTCAGAATTAAATTGGCTTAGAATAAGATCAGAGTTTACAATCCAAATCTACTTGGTACATGGGTACTCACTTGCCATTGATAAAGTGTGTGGGCTTCTCCTTAAATCTATTTAATTTCAAGCATGACTCCTAACTCCATCACTCTCCTTGTAGTCAGCTTACATTTTTGCAGTTATTTTCTTCTGCCGATATTGCCCATTGCATGTAAATTGGTGTGAGATTTCTAACAAGTAATTTAAAAAATGCTCATTGCAAACATCGTGATTGGTGCATACATGTAGTGGACATGCTACAACATTTTAAAAGGTCCTTTTATGGTGATCATGCTTAATGGTGGAAGGGAAAGAATTACTGTCCATGGATGTGAAGTTAATCCAAAGTATTATCCCTGATAATTTACAAGTCATCACAGGAAACTTTATATGTCTGACCATATAACTATATGTCTGACTTTATATGACTAGAAATGTCTGCCAAGATTGCAATTCAAATCTGAATTTCCCATCTTCTAAGAGGTTCTGTGGCCAATTCACAATCACAATTTATTAACATGGAGATTATATTAGACAGGTATTCATTACAAAAAACAACTACCTTCAGTGTTGTATTTCATTCTCATATTGTTGAAATAGTCCCAAGCGTTTTTTAAAACCCATATCCTTACAACATTATCTTGTCCAGCTGTTGCAAGTAAACGGCCACAATGTGAAAATTTCATTGTCCACACAGCCCCCTAAAAATGAAAATACACACAACTTAAATTGTTCCACCACAGCCTTCCTTTATATGCAAAATTTTATGAAGCTCTTCATTTTTATTTTAAGCGGTATAAGAGAGGGAACAGCATGATTTAAAAAGAAATTATAACAAACCAATCAGACAGTGTTAAGCACTGGACAGAGGCTGTTTAGAGATTCGAATTAAAGCATTTTGCTATTAAGCAGCTGGTTGTGTGAAATAGGTGTGAGTGCTTAGTGCTTGAAACAGGATTGCTCCATTCTTCAGTGCCAACAATCTTTCTTTTATTATATGCAAAAATTCATCAAAAATTAAAAGGCCATGGGTAACCTTTAGTTCTTTGTCTACACTTATAAATCACATGATAAAATCAACTCTTCTGAACCTCATACCCCTAGATTTGCACATCGTAAAATCATGAACGTTATGTTCTCAATGTTATCATAAAGATGAGATTCAAATAATTAATGGGTGATCTCAATTGCAATAATGGTTCATGGTGTCCCTGTACTCCCCTCGTTTATTCTGCAATTTTTAATCATCTTTGGAATCTGCAGAATTAATATGTTTATTCTACAACATGTGGGAGGACAAAGGCTGCACAACTATTTAATGATTAAAGCATGTTACTGGCATTCGCTATAATCAAATGTCAAAACACCCACTGTTAAGACCGCATGTTAAGCAATGATGCACTACAGTTAAAGGGAAATGTTATGGGGTGAGTGGGGGGAAAAGTGAGGAAGGAAATAAAAAAAGCTTCACGATAAAACATATCCTACGAAGCTCACGGGAGGAAAAGATTTTGAAATTAATATATATAGGAGCTATTTATATTTGAGCGGTTTAAAAAGCTCAACAAAATCCTACAAAGTCAAGTTTTTACTGCAAAATCATGGTTGAATTCATTAAGCAGCCCCTTAGCTCTAATTGGCATTGAGCACAGATGTGATCTGCATTTTTTTCTGTGCATACATTTACCATATACAAATACATTAGCTGTCTGAATTAAGATTTGATGGTGAATGACCCAATCAAATTTAAAAGTTTCAATATCCCAATTTATCAGGCAAGAAAAGTAAATCGCACACACAGTGTTTTGTTTCTGCACAATTCCTTTGCCTGATGGCACACACACCTTTTTTCAAAAATACCTACACTTACCATGTGCTCTCCGCTGAGATCTTGCACCACTTTAACCTGGTCAAAGTCATAAGGCCCTTTGAAGCCATGTGCTGCTTTGAACTTAACAGGTCTTGTGTAAGGCATTCCCTCATCATCACTGGATGAAGCATCATCTTGGTCCATGTGGAACACTAAAGGCATAAACAATTGCACACAACTGGCTTTGTAATAAACTGAATTAAATGTGGATAATGTTCAATAAATTCAATAAAACTCCAGTTGTGTAGATTAGAGCTGTGACACAATGCTGCACTTCAAACAGGTCTTCTTAGACTGGGAGTCTAGGGGTGCACTGCTGGAATCCCCTTCTAAAGTAGCCTTTTGATTTATTTTTCTTCTTTGCTATTTCACTTTACTGCAGACAAAGTACCCGATAATTTTCCATTATTGCGTTTGTAATTGTAATCAACTCTGATCAATCACATCTGATAAATAGGGTCAAATAAAGTAACGTAATACAGATAATTAACAACTTTAAGTGATATTCCCGATTCTGCTCAGTACATACAGTATAGAGACTAAGAATACAAAAAAATTGTTATTTTCAACCTACCTTCATCTCGGACACTTTTCACCTTGTTTACAGCTTTTTCACCATATTCTTCAGCGAAATGCTTGGCTCTCTTCACAGATTTACCCAAAAACTTCTTTAGCTGATTCCTGTAAAACAGTTGCATTTTTTGTAACCATACAACAATAGCTTATCTCCCACTCAAAGATCAGGGTGTAATATCCTCCAGAATGTACCAGTTGGATAAAGCAACAAACAAAATGCAATATCAATAAAAATGTGAATTTGGCATCATAATGTGTAAATAAGATCCTGTCAATGAACAACATGCAACAGTGACCGAGAGCAACATCAAATAGAGATGGGTAAATCAATATGAAATACGTCAAGAGCATACGACTTTCACCAGCTTGGATTGGCGCATTTGTTTCCAACACTTAATTCACAATCTCAATTTTCTTATTGTGTTAAAATCAGCGGTTTGTGCAAAATTCTTGACATTAGTAAAAGTCAAAAAGTTCCTTTGAATTAATTTAAATAATTGTGCCACATTAACATGTTAAAAATGCAATGCAGGCTGGCGTTCCCTCAAAATAAGCTTCTTAGAATCAGTCTGAAAATCAACAATCCAAACCAAAATGTAATTTATTTGTCCTGCACAAAGTGAAACACACAACACATCTTCCATACAAAAAATAAAACCCCATCCACAGAACAGTTTTGTCAATGGTAAAGAAACCTAAATTGAATTAAGACTATTCGTATAAATTAGACTGAAAAATAATAATCTTTGCATTTGATATAGTGCTTTTCACGTCTTCTAGACGTCTCAAAGCGCTTCACAGAATAATCTGTAAAGTGAATTGACCATATATTTGTGGGCAAAACGCGGCAGCCAATTGCACACAGCAGTGTCCCACAAACAGTCGTGGATTGAAAATGACCAATTTATTATTGTTTTGTTTTTTTGGAGGGATTATTATTAGGCGTGTGGAATAAGAAAACTTGCCCAAGGTTTCACCCTGCCTGGAATTGAACCCAGGTGTCTTGCTTGCAAGGTGAGCGCTCTAACCACTGAGCTACAGGACTACACACAATTCGACACATATGTTGAGTGAATAATAATCCTTGCATTGAATGTATTGAAATTAAGCAAAAGTAGATCGAGTTAAAGTTTAAGTAGTTTATCAGATCTGAAAGAACAAATTCTTTTGAAGATTCAGATGTATAAACGGAATTATTGTATTATGTAGATGATAGGAAACTAATATACACTTCAAGGCAACAATACACTCAGTGGTTTAGATGGCATCAAACTCCTAGTGGCATTTACTAGTGAATCACTGAATTAAGACTAGTAACTTTTTAAGCACAAGTTAATAAGTTAACTCACGTCTTCTGCTTGATTTTGTGACCATCTGACTCAGATTGCTGGATCTTTTCTTCATCATCTGACTGCGCAGCATCATTACTACAAAAGAAAAGGCCTTATGATCAAAACATAGCACTGCTGTAAGCTGTGGCCTAATTGTTAACGAATAAAATTAAGGCAGAATCTGACTTTGTAATATATAACATGCAATAGAAAGGAAATCTACAAAATAAACTGTGCCTAATAATTTTTTCAATCGTTGCAGGGCGGGGGTAGGGGTAAAAGAGACGAGTGAATCACAAAATCTACGTACCTCACATACTCTTTTGTTCGGCGCATAATGTGTAATGTTAGAGGGTTAAGGCCTTTGGGAAGTTTTTCCTCGGCCATATTCAAAGGGATCTCTTCCCCAGTGTCTAGATTCTTTACCATCACACTTGCTAGAATTTCCTTCAATAAAAGTTAAAAGATGTTAAAGTAAAACAATTTTACAGGCCTAGTGTAGTGAACAAAACTTCTCAGCCTCAAAGTGGAGTGCAATAGAATGCACTTTACCTAAATGTTAAGCTTGATTTTTACATGAGGCACACCCATTTCATTATATAAATAATGCAAGTGAGATAAAGGTATTTGGTGACATTAGGAAAAAATAGCGTAGGAGTTCAATAACTCAGACTGACATAGTAACATCACTATGGAAGTGGCTTAGTGGTTAAAGTACTCGCCTCGCAAGTGAGAGAACCTGGGATCGATTCTTAGGCAGGGCAGGCAAGTTTCCTAACTCTGTTTACCTAGCAGTAAGTAGGAATCTGGTTGTTAGTCTATTGGCAGATCGCTTTCCTGGGGTAATAATCTCTCCAAAATAAAAATATTGAGGCCATTCAGTCCACGACTGTTTGTGGGACAGTGCTGTGTGCAATTGGCTGCCGCGTTTTGCCCACAAAGCAGTCACAACAATAACAACAATTGCACTTATATAGCGCCTTTCACGCAGTGTACCGTCTCAGAACACTTAAACTGCCAAATCTGGTAGGTCAAGCACAGAAAAATGTTGATCCAATTTCAGTGATGCACTTTACAGTGTATCCTGTGAAGCGCTTTGAGACATCTCGAAGATGTGATAAGGTGCTGTATCAAACGCAAGGATTATTTATTATTATTACACTAGACGTCTGGTGATGTCATCAGGATTCAGTTCTTAAAACAAAAAATCATCAAAAATATCGATTTCTAAGCAAGGAGTTATGTCCTTGAGCCAGCACCATGGAGGACATAAAGACCTAAATGAAATTGGATCAATGTTTTTCTATGCAGTTAGGTTTATTCCTGTGCTTGACCTACCAGATTTGGCAGATAAAGACCAAAACTCAGAGAAGACAAATTTTTTCATGGTGCTGAGAAAACAAAGAAAATGATGAGTAAAATGATTTGCTGCATGTGCCAAAGGCACTTTGAAGGCTGCTGCTTTCAACACAGGCCCAGATAATCAAATTTAGACTTTGCTAGGATCTTAAAATTAGCACAGCCTCTCTCTCAACAAGGACCAGATTTTGTTACTGGCTATGAATTTCTACAAGGTGCAAGACTTCGGTATCATAAAAGCAAATTAATGTTGTCACTGAAGACTGAAAGTCTCAAAACTAATAATCTGCACAACTCTATGAGGGAACAAATCATTTTGTTATTTGTAGCATTTTATGCACAAACGATCTTTCTCTTTTAAGGTGTCTGAGTATGTGGTGACAAGACATTGGAATCATTGGGATGTTCATCTTATCACGATAAAATTATTTTACGTTTTTGTTGTTGCTTATATTGGAATATGAATGATAGTCCACAAATTTGAGGTTTTAATATAATATGTCCGCTATGTAATTTGATTATAAAATAGAACTAATAGAAACCTCACCTCATCTGTAAGTTCTCGTCCAGAGTTTGATCTTGGTCTTTGTGGTCCTATAACTTCAGCTCCAGGGTCATCAGATTCTCCTGTTACTTTTCCATTTTCCTGTAAATTGGATTTTAAAAGAAAAAGCTTTCAGCAAAACAAAATAATTCAGTAGTTACCTTCATTTTCACTTATGTAAACCTAAGATCTTCCTAAACCACTTTTTTACAAATCAAATATTCAAAATTGATCAAAAGTGAACCAACACTACCTCCACTCCGGTAAGAGTGTTAAACAGTCGCAAATATCTGGATTGCAAGGACTATTACTTCTAGGTACTTAAAAGGACTGGTGATATAGGTTTATTGGACTCTTTGACACCAAGGCATCCAGCAGATTTCCTTTGACCTGAGTCACTTGGAAGAGAAGGAAAGAGGGAGAACCTGTGACAGAATATAGTGACATGGCAAGATGCCGAAAATTCAGTGTATATAAGTTACTTAAAGTATTTAAGCCTAAAAAAATTACAGAATACATAATTGAATTGAAAAATTAAGCACAAGGGTTTTGGTGCTGTACATTGTCAAATCTGAAATCTGACTATTGGAAGAAGAATATTTAAAGGTACACAGGCAATTCAAAACCTTTTTTTAAAAAAAAACAAGCTGATAATATTCATTTTACAAACCTGTGCAGTCACAATTTTTTCCCCACTGGTTGCACTTGCAAGATCTAAGGAATGCTGCAGTTCTTTGGTTAGATTTTCCACAGCGGTGCTGGGACTCACAAGCCCACTGGATGCAACAGGATCCGCAAGAACTGCAAAGAATAAGTTAATAAATATACAGCAATTATACATTTTCACTTAATCTGCTGTCTTATTATCCCAAAGGTCTTTGACTACACATAGGAGGTGAGTACAATTCTCCCTTAAGCAAACTCAAGATGCCTCAATTTTAGTTTGGTATATAAAAGCTTCATTGCTATGCAAGAATAATCCATTATAGAACCCAGAAAGAGGATCTCCAGTCTGCACAATGGCCGGTAATAGTCACTGGGACACCCGCCAAAACTACACATAATATTTCAAGTAAGGTCTCATTAACATTCCATACAATGCAGCAGCATTGAATTGCATTTATATTATGGTCCTTTCATCCTTCCATGTAAGGTAAATATAAATGTAAATTATTATTGTTGAAAACCAAATAATAAATGAACTCTTTATCAAATGCTACAGCCTGGAACTAACTCCCACTTTGGCTGCAAAGTTGATCGTCATCCACTGGAGTATGAACCAGGCAAAGGGAAATCCGACTTGCTTTCAATGTCACAGTACAATGTCTCAGAGTCTTTCTTCTCCCAGGATCAATCAAGGCCAATATCTCCTTTAGCAGCACTAATACCACTTAATTCATTTGGATTGTTGTTATGGGTCCTAAAGGAGAAATTTGGGTTCAGGCAAATTCAATTTATGTTGCACTGAATGTAAATTCAGAACATAAAACTAACCATACTTGGGTATCAATTGAGCAATTCCACTCATTGAGAGCAAAGGAATCATTATTATGGGAAATAGAATGATTAAGAGGGAGAAATCATTGGAAAATTTCATTAAGGCACTTAACTAATGAAATATAAGCTGCTTCAGAGGTTACAATTTACCAGGCAAAAGCTTAATGTGACCATTCAGTATAAAAAGTATAATATTTTATTTGCAAGTATTGGCACTCTCAGTTTGATTACCAAATCAATCATTAGAAAACATCTATTCGTGGAGTCCTGTAGCTCAGTGGTTAGAGCACTCGCTTTGCAAGTGAGAGACCTGAGTTCAATTCCAGGCAGGGCGAAACCTTGGGCAAGTTTCCTTACTCCACACGCCTAATAATAATCCCTCCAAAACAAAAAAAACAATAATAAATTGGTCATTTTCAATCTACGACTGTTTGTGGGACATTGCTGTGCGCAATTGGCTGCCGCGTTCGCCCACAAATATACAGTCAATTCACTTTACAGTCTATTCTGTGAAGCGCTTTGGGACGTCCTCCTGACGTGAAAAGCGCTATATCAAATGCAAGGATTATTATTATTATTATTATTGATTCAGAGCTCATCCCACAATTAGCTGAGCCATACAGCCTGGAAAAAAATCCTGATTTGATTCTAGTCTGCATTCAATTAATCAGTTTAATCTAAGGTGAAACGAGAATTGCTACATTTGGCCTCCAGGTTTCAAGCTAGGGAAAGTAAAATCAGTTGTGTTTCTATTCCTGATAGGCATTTAATTATTCTTGATATAGGTATAAATGCATGAATCCTCAATGAGGTTAGCTGCACTGTCCTTTGTAGTCAAATAACCTGCTGACGCTCCCTATCAAAGCTCACTCATGATGAATAGGCAATCGAACATGTTACTAAGGAGCATCCAAATCACTAGTAGATGGAAAATCTAATTAAAAGAGGGAAGAAACTTTGTGGGAAAAATTTAACAAGAAAATACCATTCTTATAAATTTCAGCACCAACACGTGAAACAATCAACATACTGTACTTACTAATTAGAAAGGGTGCTTTTTCAAGACCACTTTCAATTGATATACAAGGGTTGATGGGTCTATTGTGAAACTATTCTATCTCACCATATTATATATCTTACAGCAGACTTCATTAACTTCACACTTCACTGTAAAGCAACACTGCCAGAAACCAATGGGAGGTAGGTCGGCATTTGAAATGAAAATTTAGGTTAATATTTTCCTTTCAAGCATGATCTACCATTAGTACTGCTGGTTAATGGTTGTGCCAGAGATATAAACCTATCTTTCTCCTTCAAATGTTCATTGATTGGCTGTGAATCTCCAGAATTTGTTTCAGATATCCAGCATCTGCAGTTTTCTTTTTACACTGGATCCAAATTATGTTGTTGCTAGGCCCTTGAATAATATTCTTCAATTACCAGTCAAAAAAATGCAACTACAGCATTTTTAACACTTAGCACATCTTCTGTAAAGATGCAAATTCACAGAGCAATGGTGAACATGCCCACTAATTGCAAGACCGAAGAATTCAGTCATCAAATTAGATATTCTTTTGAAGCTTTGCTGCTGGTTCACTTAGCAAAGACATTACCTAGTCTTTTACCTTCTAATAAAACTAAATTGAGTCAAATTCACGTGTGCACCCTCTCCTTCCCCAATCAAATAGTTCTCTTCACTCAGTGCCTCAGCTCATACATTAAGAATGGTCACTGAGGCATCAAAAGGTCCTGTTCAGGAAGATTGGGGTGGGGGGGGGGGAGTAAAGAGGAAGATATTCTTTGATTCCAAACAGTTGTTATAAATGTCAAAGGCCTCTAAATAAATATTCATATCATCCTCCCACACAAGCTGCTTTGTGAGCTAGTATTTATGAGAACATGGTGCACTCCTGTTAGTACATGTGTTAATTAATTTGGGGTTAAATAGACAGAAAATATATGCAAAGTATGTTTTACTACAAACTTTTAGAATGAAGTCTGCTGTAGGAAGGTTTTGCAAACCTACAACTACATACATAGTTGTAGCCATAAGGCAGCAACACCTAACATCCTTATTGCTCATGAGTAAAGTTCTAGTGAAGGCAGTTCAGAAAGGGTACAGATTTATTGCGCTCATTTCAAACAACTGCCATTAAATAAGTTTAATTTGCAGTGGAAGCCGCTTTAGCCGGACACCAGTTAATCCTGGATGCTGGGTAAATCGAGCAAAATTAATTTGAATTCTTATCGGTTTTAAATATGGCGATTAAATGACCAAAAATGTGGTTAATCTGGACAAACTGCCACACTAGTTGCTCCTGCTTTAACTTACTCACCGATGCGTCCGGTTTAAACCACTTACCCTGCATTTTTATTTCTCTTCTATACAATTGGCAAGAAGGCAAAATGCTGCTTTCCTTTCTAAAGGCATCCTGGATTTTCTATAATAGTTTGCATTATTATCCATTTGCTAAAATAGCAGCTATATTTACCTTCTAGAGCTGAAGGTCTGTTTGCATCGAAGGCAATGTCACTTTTCTTTTTACGAGGCGGAGGGGCAGGTCGTGCAGGTGGTGGTGGTCGAGGAGGGGGCACGTTGGTTCCTGGTGGGGGAGGTCTCAGTGGCGTAGGTTTCTTGGTGCTAACTATTAGATCAGGTTCAATGTTAACCTGTCTTGGCGGTTTTGTTGGTTGTTTTTCAGCTGAGAACACCTCTTGGAGGGGCAAACAGTCTTCAGTAACATTTTCCAAAATGTCTGCCTTCTTGACCTCTTTGATTCTCTCAGCTTTGTCTGATGGCTGCTGTGAAGTTGTAAACGCGTTTTCGTTGGCTTTATCCTGGCACATTTCAGTAACTGGTTTTCTATTCCCATCATTTATTGGCAGTACTAATTGAGTTTCTAAAGAGGATAAAGATGTCTGAGTTTCTTGTGGAAAACCTGTGTTCTCAGTCTTTTCATCAAAGGTACTTTGCTCTATGAATTCCTTTGGCTTAGAACACACTATCTGATCGGTGATTAAGAGCTCAGGGAAACTGCTAAGTAGATTAGCTTCAGATGATGTGGTTACTGCAACTTGGTCTGTTTTTACACCATTCTCTTCTCCAATCTCTGAGGATTCATCCTTTGGCTGATTCTTCGGGTGGCAATCGGATTCTTCTTTATCAAGGATCTGAGAAAGGTAAACATAGCAAAAATATAATGTATTGTAAAGTATAAATATTAAAATACCACAAAGCCTAAGAGCAATTTAATATTAGCAGCGACAGTACCAGCCCAATCAATAAATTTGAAGTGAAGCATACTTTTCTATTCAGTATCTAAAATGTAATTTTTCTCTTCTTTCCTCTCCTGAAGACAACTTCAGCTCAGGCTTAATTCCATGGGTGCCATCAACTCTTACCTAAGTGGATGTGTGTCCTTCATTCATGAGCACATACTCTGAGAATTAGTAAGCTTTTTGATCATATACATACACTTTTCAACAGGAGTCAAAAGTAACAAAATTATTTTTCTTTCTACAGCTAAGGGACACTAAGGCCAACACTAGTAAGCACAATATACCAACAATTGAGATCAGCAATTCAGCAGGGACCATGGAATGAATCTACAATTGTACTATTCCAACAATAAATGCACCTACCAAAACACCGAGGAGAGTATTTTATTTGTAAAATGGTTTGTATAAGGTATGTGCAAAATAACTAACCTCATCTTTATTATCTTCATGACTGTGTTCTTCAAATGGCAAATCTTGTTCAAGTTCCTGTGTGTGAATATCTGTTTTATCCTGTTGAGACAATAAAAACAATTATGAATCTACAAATTAACTTTGCTGTAACATGTGCAGCCAACTACCATTTTAAAACATCTTTCAATAGAACATAGAGTAGCACATCAAAGAATGCTTCCTGTCAGGTTTGTATTAAAATGATTCACCAATAGAATATGCTTTATTTTAATATAGTCATCACACAGCCATAAAACACTGCTATTTTCATGGTATTTTTCCAAGCTGAATCACCCTACCAGTTAAGGAATTGACTTGAGAATTGTACACAAGTCTGTACAACCAAGTGTCAATCATGAGGTCATATAAATGAAGCTCATAAAGGAATTATATTATTAAATTCTAATGTTATTAGGTGAATTTTGCACTTAGTAACTGAAATCAAAAAATATTTTTAGCAGTCAGTAACAAGATCAAACAATCCCAAATTCAGATAGAGAAAATATTGACTAACTTATGCTCCAAACTCAGATAATCACTCTCAGCTGCAATTCTCACACTGCTATCTCAATGGCTTCTCTGAAGGAATCTTAAAAATTACTGAGAAAATGTCTGTGTCAAAATCATTACAGAGACAAGAGAGGAAGGCACAACAATCAGATTAAGTCTCTCCTGTTTACCATCTACTGTCTTGTTACATAGTATTGGGGTACGGGAAGGAGGGATGAAGTTGGAGAGTAACATTAGTTACCTATGGAAGGAATATTTGGCTAAAACATAAAACATACACTCGAGGTTTACAATGAATTCCCAGAAATTACCACTTTAAGCGGTATCTTTGACTTGTACATTTTTTAAAATTAATTAAATCAGATACTGGAGAAGCGAGGGTGTCCACTGCATGGTGAAAGGCTAATCATTAAACTTTGTACTGTTGGCTGGAGAGCAATATCTGTCTTCACAGGTTTTTGTATCAAGCGGTGACAGAGGCCAACTTCCCCAGCCTATTTCAAGGGTATTTTCTCAGAAAGACCGAAATAAGGCATCTGCTGTAACACGGGTAAAGTCATCTTTATTTTATGAACCAAGCAATTTCAAAAAGATATAGTACAGTAGTTTCAAAGGACATTAAAACTTAAGATGGTTGAATAATGCAAAGAAAGTTAATATACGTTTCATATTTTAGTGTCTATGAAATTTATCCAACCAGAAAAGATAACCAAATAGATAGTCAGAAGTACATTCTGTCTATTCTTTGGATAAATTATGCTGTATTTATGGGGAAGGTTTTATTTGACAGAAATTATGTTGGAGGTTTGTGTACAGTGGAGCACTGTTGCAGTGTTCTTGTAAAATGATCACAGCTGTACATGGGGATAATTTTTTAGCATTGAGCAGAAAGGAAGTGTTCTGTATTGTATCCTGGGATCTACAAGAACTGTTAGCATAAACCATTAAAATTAGTCTCACATTCTCATTGCCATATACAGGATTACAATATACTTTCAACACTTAGAGACCTAAATAAATTGTATCTACCATGTAATATACTCAATAAACTTTTTTTAAAAAAAAACGTGATCTAACTGCAATGTTCTGATGAAATTATCAATTTTTCTATGGTTATTTAATTTATTCCACAGCAGTAGGCAGAAAGGAAATGTTATGTATCACATGCTGAGACTTATAAGAACTGTTAGCATAAATAGTTCAAATTAACCTCACATTCTTATTGCCTTATATGGGGTTTAACTATACATTTTGAATACTTTTAGAGATCTAAATGAATTATGTCCATCAGATCTCGAGATGCAAATGTATAAAATATTTATGTTTTAAAATGTGGTCTAAATTTAAAAATCTTTGTGATATTCTTTTCTTTTTAAAACATTTTTAAACAAGAAGAGAAACAGATACTATTTATTTATTGTACAAGCCCAAGAAAGTGCAAATAGGGAAAACAAATGAAACTATACTTCTTTTTGCCGTATGTTGATTAAATAACAGAGGTCTGCAGGACATACCTTTGTGGAAGCCAAGATTATTTTTGCTGGCGACCTAAAAGGAAAAGACACACGTTAGTTTAATACTGCAATGAATGATTCGACAGCATTGCAAGATGACAAGTAACAATGACCACAACTATTACTTCAACCCTAGACACAAGATATTACAATTCTTTAAGAGAAAGCAGATTCTTCAGGCACATTTTCTCCCTCGACAACTACCATGGATTTCTGGTCCAGAGGCAAGAGGACTACTAATTGAGCCAAACTGATGTGCAGTCAAACAGCAGTGGAATACAGTATCTGTATATTAGGAACGTCAGATTGAAACAAGTTTGACTTCTGCTACCCCCATGTGACTGCTTAGAATGTTACAAGAGAGAAACCACCCAAGAATGAAGAGAAACATGAATCCACAACACCTAAACAATACTCGGGATTTCCTCAGATGAGACAAGGACCTTGTGTGTGTACTTTAATCTCACTGGACACAAATGTACAAATGCAAATTCCTGCATCACTTAGGTACTTAACCACATTGAAAGTTTTAAATTTTTATGTTTCAGAAGCAAGGGAGGCCGATAAGAGCAGTAACAAACAACATGTGGTACACTTGTAAAGGAAACTGATTCTCTCAAGCTCTAAATACATAATTTTAATTTCCTAAGCATCTTGAAATCACCTAAACCACAACTTGATTTATCACATCTTTTCTCCTACGCAATAACGTTGTGCACTACTTTTTTTTGCTCCTTAACCTTGATCTTGAACTTGCAACTGATACAGTAACTGATTATATGTGGAAAAATGTTGCAATGGCTGGCCAGTAATCAATTGCATCAGAAGCACTAATAGAAAAATAACTATATTTGTGCACTATTCTAACAAGTGTAAAGAATGTGACTTTCTTTGTTCTCCGACAGATGGTTAAAATACATAGTCTAAATAGTCATGACCACATCCAACCTACTCCACCATTGTATGCTGGAAATTGCCGATGCCTTTAAGGAATAAATTTAGAATAGTTTATCAGCATTACTGCTGTATATTTTTATGCAGTACTGTATTTTTGATACTTATGCAATCGACTGGTGCTATTTTGTTACAGATGTCTAGAGAGGAAATTACATTTGTTTGCATTATAGATTTTTCTAAACATTTAAAAACTATCCCAATATTCATGCTATTGGAATCATCCTTTTGTGAAGTTATCAAAGGCCTGATGAGTAATTCTGCATTCCACAATTCTCCATTGGAGTGTTCTAATTCTGCACCAACAACAACAAGATTTCATTTATAGAGCGCCTTTCACATCGGGAGGACATCCCAAGGCGCTGGACAGTTGTACCCAACAGCCATATTCTGCTAAACAGTAAAGATGTAATCCTTCAAATAAATAAATAATCTTGTCACCCAATCCACGACTGTTTGTGGGACACTACTGTGCACAACTGGTTGCTGCGTTTCGCCCACAAAATATACAGACAATTCACTTTACAGTGAAGTGCTTTCAGACATCTCTACAATATGATAAGGCCCTATATCAAATTCAAGGATAATTATAAGTACAATTTCAGGTTACTGCACACGAGCAGTACATGGTGCCATTTCAGAGTCTAGAAACATAAGCCTGCCATTTGGCACCAATCAGGGCACAGGAACTGGAAGCTCTCATTCTGGGATTCTGCCATCTTTCTTGCTATCTGGAACATGGGCACTCAGAAGCTACCTGCTGGTATTAGTGAATTTGTGAAGATTTATTTAATAAAACAAATTCCTGAAAGAAGTGAAACGAGGACAAATGTTGTGTATCCAGCACACATTTGTAAGGAAGTTTATACGTGCTGAATTTCTCAACAAAAATTCAAAAGGTTCACATTGTGCTAACATATTCAAGGATTATGAAATCTACTGCAATTCTCTATCAGGAATTATTTTGGAGCATCTGGTTAACTACCCAGGCAATCTGATGCACACACATTCCTGGAACTGACTTACTTGCATACACATCACATTGTGTGGCCATTCCTGGAATCAGCAGTGCAGCAAGGTGTTTACATCACAATCTCCCTCTCCACTCCCCCCCCCCCCCAAAAAAAAAACATAGTACTTAGCAGTGAAAATCCGAATAAAAATGATTTTACTGATCATTAAGAGCAGATGCATCAAAAATGGCTCACAGAAAGAATAATTTTAAGAAAGTATTTACATATGCTCGCACTTGCAAATCACCAACTCTACACTTTGTACGTAAACTGACTCTTAGTTGAACACGAACATGCAATGCAACCTGTGGGTAGGATTTTAATTTTAATCATTACTCAGCTAGCGCTCCCAATAATGATCTTCTCCCATTCTGTAGGCAGAGTTGGTTCAGTTCTAGTAATAATAATAAGTTCTAGTTCTAATAATAATAATCCCTCCAAAAAAAACAATAATAAATTGGTCATTTTCAATCCACCACTGCCTGTGGGACACTGCTGTGCGCAATTGGCTGCCGCGTTCGCCCACAAATGTACCGTCAATTCACTTTACAGTATATTCTGTGAAGCGCTTTGGGACGTCCAGAAGACGTGAAAAGCGCTGTATCAAATGCAAGGATTATTATTATTATTATTATTGGACCTTTGCGTGGGTCACAAATCATGATCCAGTTAATCGTAGAATTAGAATATACAAAAACAAAACATAGAATAACGGCGAGAACCTCGAACAGGTCCTACTCGCCGTATGTATTGCCAGCCAAGGCCAGTGTTTTTTTTTGTGTGCGCCAACAAGAGTACTGGGCATGAAGGGCAAATCGCTCCCTGTAAGAAAATCTGAAGGCTGCAAAACTAAATGGAAGGGTTGGTGCGTTTCTCAATGTGTTTGCCGATCGGGAAAAGCCCCAAACCTGCAGGGAAAACAACAACAACAACAACAACATCAGCTAGAAATAGGGAGTCTAAATAAACGACACCGACGGGATTCACAGGGCGACGATTCGTCTCTCAACGCTCTCGAAAAGCGTCGAGAAATAAACATAAACCGTCCATTAAATAAACATGTACGAGCCACCGGCGAGTGACAGCTGTGCTCGGTTATTCCCCACCCGCGACCCCCCTCTCCATTTTTTCGGTCGCTGCTGCGTCTCACGCTGGGAGGGAGGGGGCGGTGGGGGAGAAGCAGACGTCAAGTCGCAGGGCCCCGAGAGCTGTCAGGCGGACACCCCCGAGGGCAAAACACCCGCCCGCCCCGGTACTTACACAGGCGGTGAGGAGACCAGACTGACATCTTCAGCCGCGTCGTAGAACTCCTCGGCCTCCGTGTCACTCGTATCGGACGCCATTTACATGGGGCGGGGAGGCCAGCGCACAGCTGTCGGCCCACCGAGAGGGAGGGAGGGAGGGAGGTGGGAGGTAGAGCGGGGCTCCCCGAGGCCGCTGAGGTGGATCGGGCCGAGCCGGGCCCGCCTCCTGGCCGAGGGCGCTCGTATCTCAACGGGGGCGGAGAAGGTTGTAAGCGAGGCCCTGGCGGTGAAGTATCGGCTGAGTGACGGTGACGGGCCCTCGGCCGCGCGCTGCCTCGGGTCCCGCCTGACGCCAAACAAGCGAAGCAACGCGTTAACCGCGTTGAGCTGCGTGTGCGTGCGCATGCGTCGGGGAGGGAGGGAGGGAGGGAGCGAGGGGAGGGGGCGCGCGGAAGGGAGGCGGGGAAAGAGGTAGTGCGCATGCGCCACCTTCAGCGGCGGTTGGGAGGCACGTGGTGAGGCGCGAGACCAGTCAGGCCGTCCTCCTTCCTCAGTGTCGGTTAGTCAGTCAGTCAGGGGGGGAAGTTACATTAGTATAATCATAATAATTGATGCCCTTATGTTAAATACACCCGTTGGACCATTGTGAAGGTATTTTTTTAAATAAAACTATATATAGATACACATATAAATGCGTGTGTGTGTGTGCGCGTATGAATGGATTTAGATGGGTTTGTTTTTTCAAAAGCAAATTCTCGTGCACTCAAAAATCCTCACGACGGCTTGCGGGGGTGGTTCGGGGACATAGGCACGAGTGTTGTTGTGGTTAAAAAAGGGACCTTGGATCGCTCGCGGTTCGAAGAGAAAGCCATGTAACGCTTCTCTCCTCCGAGGGGTGGGCACAGCGAAAAAGGCAAGGTGGGAGCAGGGAGCGGCAGGCACCAGCCACGCGCACTCGGTGATGTGTTTGAAAATGGCGGCCTTTCCCCCCCCACCCACCAGTGCGGTCACGTCGATGGAATCGCCCTGTAAACGTTACACCCGATCAAAAGATACAATGCCTGTCCAATACCTCCATCCCCCAGTGCCTTCGCCTCGCTTCCTCCCTTTCCTCCTTCAAGGCCGGTCTCAAGACCTTTCTCTTTGACCGTGCCTTCAGCTCCCCTCCCAACTCTCTACCCCCTCCTCGCTCCTTCCCTCCCCTCACCCTGACCATTTCCCCCCTCCTCGCTCCCTCCCTTCCCTCCCCTCACCCTGACCATTTCCCCCTTCCTCGCTCCCTCTCTTCCCTCCCCTCACCCTGACCATTTCCCCCCTCCTCGCTCCCTCCCTTCCCTCCCCTCACCCTGACCATATCCCCCCTGCTCGGGTCCTGACCCAACTGTCCAGCGCCTTGGGACGTCCTCCCGACGTGAAAGGCGCTCCATAAATGGAATCTTGTTGTTGTTGTTGTTTGTTTTCATCCCAATAGGAAGTATCTTTCAAGTCAATCATTTGTTTCTCTTTCAGTGAAGCCTGCTTGCCTATTGGTGGTTCCCACTTATTCCCACGCCATTCCCACCGCGTGTTATAGGAATGGTTTGAGCGCTTTCAAGAGCAGCTTTAATCGTTTACATGATTGCGGATGCTTTGACGTGAAAGATTCTGAGGTTGAATAACTTTCTTGTTTTTTAAAAAAAATCATTGATTTTTTTGTTGTATTCAAGACGATAAAAAATGCCCCCTGAGCTCAAGGATATTATACTGTAATCAAAATCCTCTAAGAAACTTGGTGTCCTCTTCCATGCCAAACACCCTTGTCAACAATCTTACAAAACACCTCTGGCCTCCACCTTCAAAGATGACCTATATTGGGTTCCTGGCATAATTCCTAGCCACCAGGTTGGGCAGATTTTTAGTGAGAAGTAGAATTAATGTATGGCAGATTTCTATTGCTAGAAAGCTCCTTTGCCTTCCCAGAAATGGGTTACTGTTGTGTAAGGACAGGTACATTTATAATCCATAAAGCAGTATGTAAGTTCTGGAGTTCTGATTTTGGAGGAAACCATAGTATTAGTGCTTGGGGCAAAGGTAACCTGATTTCCACAAGAAAGACGCATTTGTTCCAATTCACATACATTGGCTAGGCAAAAATAAGGACTGAGTGTGAGGGATGCTAAGAACACTCAGTTTGTCACATGAGACATTATGCTGCAGTATCACTGACCTCCCCATGAACCATGTGAAATGATATCTAACATTCAGTAGGTCAGCCATCGAGAGTACATTTGTGTAAGAAAAAAAGAATAGCATCAATTTTTCTAAAGAATACTATAGGATCAAGCCACCACACAATATTGATTTTATGAAAAGAGGAATGGAAATATACAAAATACTTATTTAAAAATTACAACCTTGTAGCCATTGGAAACTGTTCAAGTTAATCATTTTCAGTAAAATAGACCCAGAGTTTTTAGATGTTTAATCATGCTTTTGGTCTGACATGTAAGGACACTAAATAATACCCTAGTTAATTTTTGTGGGGATGCAGCTGATCAGAACTACTGAGTCATTATAACTAGTAGCAAATATAGTTGAATTTGGGGTTTTATTCTTTGGCCTACCCTCAATTCTGAACTCAGTTACTACTGCAGCAAGTATGATATATAAATTGTTCTGCCTTTTCTGTATTAGTGGTTGTGTCAAATTTTTTTGTATTAAATAGCCATTTATTGATTTATTATCCAACAAATTAACAGTTTTTAAAGAAGCTGGTAAAATTATGAAGCACATCAATTTTCTGGTGACTAAAAAACAAAGAGTGGAAGCACCTGTTTCCCATTCTCAATATTACATCCATAAATAAGTTGCTGGAGTTCATACAGCAACTTATATTTGCATAAGTTATATTCTTAAGATGCCCATATGTGTTTGAAAAGATTTTTAGAAAGCATTTTATCAATGCATGTGTTGTGTTTGTGTGCAGAGCAGTAGCATCCGTGTTTCTGCTTGAAATTCTCCACATAGTAACTTCCCGAATGTTCATCTGAAATTTATTTTCCCAATAATCTATTCTAGTAGCCATTTACGAGAGGCAGAGGTGACCTCTAGGAGCAGGTTTTCACTCCCTCGCCCTCCCTATGGGTTCTCAGTCTGGTGATGCAATGAGGAGAGAGAAAGTAAGCAGAATGGGATATTTGAAGCTTGAGACAAAGCAGAAAGGAAAGCTAAAAATCTGAAGATCGTGACTAAGACAATAATAACAATGAGGGATGGTAGTAAATATATTTCTGAAATTTTGAAGCCTGTTACTAAATATCTAGAACATCTGTACTTCTCTTTTCATCCTGCATTGTGTTTGTGTGCAGAGCAGAAGCATTCGTGTTTCTGCTTGAAATTCTCTACATAGTAACTTCCTGTTTTTTTTATCTTTTATCTGTGGATTTTTATCTGTGTTTTTGTGGTAGAGAATCCTGGGCCTCAGTGCATGACAACACAAAGTTTGACAATAATAGGAGAGAATTAGGTGTGTCCACTGTAATAAGTCAATATGTCAAGTCTAGGTATCTTACAGTTGCTATATTTTATTTTTATGGATAGCTGCTTTCTTTCTGATAGTTTATCACAGCTGACTTTTCCAGCAGACAGGAGAGTCCGTCTGCCAAATTGCTAATTCTGGTCCATATACTACATTGTGCATGACATAAAATTATGTTGTGTGATCTCTGGCTCGCAAAGATATTGATTCATGTGTATGATTGCGACATAATATTGGCAGCTTTTATTTCTAGCATAATGCTGATGCAGTCAGGCAACAAGATAAAATCAATGAACTAACAGAACTGACCTTGACAGATCTGAGGTCAGATGATTTTCTTTTATCGGTAGTTGCCCATTTCAACAATACAATCTGAACTTATGCAATGTTTTGGCTATCGGGCATTTAATAATAATGATGCTGAGCCAAATCTTGGTAAAGAGATTTGTCCAATTACTCAAGTTTTGTTATGCATTAATTGTTTGGAATGTGAATTGCAAATTAATATTGCAAAATAATATCGCAGAAGAAATATCACTATGGGGAGAGAAGGCCTGTCTGAAGGACAATACGAAGATTTTTTAAAAAGTCAACATTGGAAACAGTCTGTTGTCGCTTGAGATTTCTGCTGAAATAAATTAGCAAACCAGACTGGTAAATTTGACTGTTCATGGTTAATGCTTTAGATTGATTTTACCATTGTTCACCAACTAACACTATACATGCATAATTACTGGAAATCATATCCATGAATGTGATTGTCAAACAGAATCTTTATCTGCCATAGTCTTTCTCTGGATTTTCTCATGAGTACTCACTTCACACCCTTCCCTACCTCTCTTACCCGCTTACACCTCACTCCACTATCTGTTGCCTTCACTCAGTTTGCTCGGAACATATGCATGTTCGTCATTCCCCCTGCTCCACCATTCTTGGCTCTTCAGCTTTCAGTCACTATTCTCTGAATCTCTGGAATTTCCTGCCTCAACCCCTGCATTTGTCCCCCCTTTGCCCTTCTTCAAAAAATACCTGAAAACTTTCCTTTTTGACCGAGCCTTTAGTCACCTCTTCCTCTTTCCAGCTTGGCGTCACAGCACATTGCTGTTAAGCACTCCGAGTTATCTGTGTGAAAGGCATGATATGACTGCAAGTTGATATTTTTGTCCTATGCTTTTTGGGATAACTTCTTACAGGTTAATAAGAGGATACTGCCACACACTTAGAATACATCTTCTGAGTTTTGTTTTGCCTTGAATCTTTTCCTGTTATCTGTTATAACCCTATCTAATGCACTACTCAGTATGTTGAACAAGTTACCTATCATGGCTTAGTAGTCTAATCTGTTTACCCACAGCAGAATTGTTTTGAACAAAGTACTACACAAATAGACTAAAGTGTTCAACAATGTGTTTGGTAATCTGAAAATTGGATTTGTATTTAGAATGTTTAATTCCTCACCATATGCCAAATACATTTGATCTTGTTTCAGAATCTAAGAAATGGTGAAACATTTTTCATGAACAAAGGTAGATATTCTAAGTGCATTGGGCCTTTTTGATTTTGACTAGCATCCTTATATTTTCATCACTGCCCTATGCAGTATTACTCAGATGGGCTGAATAAATAAGTCCATTTTCATTTTAAGCACAGCTTACTCACCACTGACAGTTGTAATTCACAGTTAAGCTTGTTGGCAGCAGTACTGTGTGTTAATTCATCACCCATTTAGCTTTCCTATGTCACCTCAGTTCATGCAGCTTACATGTAGACAATCAAGCCCTTATGCTGCTGCCCATGTT